AAATCGGGATTGAAACTCAAACGTCTCATTTCAAAATGGCGCCTTAGCATTGAAGGGACTACGTAAATGTATACATGAAAATTAAGATGTCAATTCAATAAGTATCACATCGTAAATAATTGTGTTTATGGTTATTAAAATAAGTTCCGAATTGCAAAACCTGATAAACTTGATATACACGTGTCTGTAGATTTGACTCTGTTAACATTTCACGTTGAAAGTCTCAAACTTTGTGAACAAAAAAGAAAAATTGACAGTAAGTCATGCGATTTACTTTTTTAGTAATTTTAGACTACATAAATATCAAATGATTTTGTCATTTAATTGTATTTTCCCAACATATGCAATGTACTTGTTAATAAAACAACGGATAAATATTTCAAATATATTTCTGCATTTTTCCTGCACTCCGGATTCAGTCTAATCCGGCCAAATTTTATGGAACCGTTGGTGTCTGGTTTGTACAAATTATACTGTATATAAATAATCTTTATGTCAATCTTTTATACTGCTTTCCAGGCAAGAATCTGACTTTGAGCATACTTTGAAACAAATTCATACTTTAAACCAAACATTCATTTTTATTTTGTTTCTATATACATAACATTATATTGTAATATCATTCAATCAAATAACCTGTTAATTAAATTATATACAAGGATTTCTTGATTAACAGTATTTAGCAAAGGGGAGTAACTCTCATTTGCTTCACATCACAATTGTGTACTCTGCCTACTAGATACCCAGAAGCAAAGAAAAGGCACATTTACTTATAATTATATTAAATACATTTACATTGATATTATTGCATTTAGTTTGTTTGCTTAGTACTCAGGGGCAGAGGAGAAGTTTTTCAAAGCATTAATGCATTTTGCTAATAAATCAATAGAACTCCACCCAAGTGCAAGAACCCCTGACCCAGGGGCCATGAAATTCAAAATTTTGGAAGAGGCATCATTTCTAATCATAACTATGTATTTAGTTTGTTTAATTAATACCAAGGGGCAGAGGAGAAGATTTTCAAAGCATTAATTTATAAATTAGCCCCCCCCCCCACCACATGGAACCCCTGACCCAGGGGCCATGAAATTCACAATCTTGGAAGAGGCACTCTGCTCATCATAATTATGTACTTAGTTCATTAGCTTAATACCCAGGAGCAGAGATTTTCAAAGCATATATTTATTTTCAGTATATAATAAATAAGCTCCCCCCTCCCCCACATGGAACCCCTGACCCAGGTGGGCCATGAAATTCACAATCTTGGAAGAGGAGCTCTTGCTCATCATAACTATGTACTTAATTCATCTGCTTAATACCCAGGAGCAGAGAAGATTTTCAAAGAATTAATGCATTTTCACTATATCACCATTAGAGCCCCGCCCTAACACCAGAACCCCTGACCCAGGGTCCATGAAATTCATAATTTTGGAAGAGGAGCTCTTGCTCATCATAACTATGTACTTAATTCATCTGCTTAATACCCAGGAGCAGAGAAGATTTTCAAAGAATTGATGCATTTTCACTATATAATCATTAGAGCCCCGCCCTAACACCAGAACCCCTGACCCAGAGGCCATGAAATTCACAACATTCTTGCTCATCATAACTATGTACTTAATTCATTGGCTTAATACCCAGGAGAAGAGGACAAGATTTTCAAAGAATTAATGCATTTTCACTATATAATCATTAGAGCCCCACCCTAACACCAGAACCCCTGACCCAGGAGCTATGAAATTCACAATTTTGAAAGAGACACTCTTCCTCATCATAACTATGTACTTAGTTCATCGGATTAATACCCAGGATCAGAGAACCCCTAACCCTGGAGCCATGAATTTCACAATTTTGGTAGAGGGCTCAATGCTTATTACAATCATGCCAACAGTTTGACTGCTTGATGTCCAGGAGTAAAGAAGACTATTTTTAAAGATTGCATTAATTTTGATGGTTTTAGCCCCACCCCTCAGGCCCCAGGGGGACAGGGGCCATGAATTTCACAATTTTTACTCCCCTTCACCCATAGATGCTATATGCCAAAATTGGTTGAAATTGGTTAAGTGGTTCCAGAGAAGCTAAAAATGTTCAAAAGTTTACGACCGATTGACGACAAACAATGAACGACATACGATGACGGACGAAAACGGATAGCAATAGGTTACCCGAGTGACTCAGGTGAACCAAAAAGCTAAAGTACTGAAAAAAATGATTGGGTATGGTCAATTTTGATTGGTCGGTCGGAGTACATCAAACAAAATTTTTTTTATTGTTGGCCTTGCACAACTCAAATAAGACTGATCCAGGTTGGCTTACATATACTCCATAAAACACCTGCTTACTTTACATTCATCCACAAAATATGTAACAACTGTTAACAAATTGCACCCCTTGGGTACATGATATACACCATGCATATGTAGGAGTATAAATGCATATTCAAAATCAAAAGCAGTCACCCTGTCAATTATAACTACCATGGAATTTTGGGTTGCAACTTCCACCCACCCCTGCCCCATGCAGATGCATCAAGTTTGATGGTCCTAGACCTCACAGGGTGCAAGATATGATTAGGACATGATTCAATTGTGCACAGCCTAAAAGGAGGCCAGGATGATCTACTTTTGGGTCACCATCCCCTAGCATGCTGGTACAACCTTCTTCCCAACTGAACAAGCTTTATGATCCTTGGCCTCACTGTGTGTAAGGAATGATCTGAAGATTTGATTTCAAAATGAAGCCACAGTGACCTACCCTCATACTGTGACACATCTTCCCCTCAAGATTAATCAACTGACAATGTTTGATGTCCTGCAATATAGACCTGTGCAAGATATGATCAGACACAAAAATTAACAAGAGGCCCAGGGGCCACATCGCTCACCTGAGCACTCTGGCTAGGAAAAAGCAGAAATCAGTTCAGTCTTGAAAAGTTTTGATATAAAAGTGGTTCGAGGGGTGGAGGTGGGGGGTTAATTTGAACTTGAATCTATACTTCAAAGGGATGCTTTTGAATTAATATGACAAATAATGGCTATGCTGTTCTTAGAAAGACAATTTTTATCGATATATCATTTGTATTCCTTTGTATAACTATGATCCCCTGTTATGGCCCCTCTATTCTCCTGGGGGTTCATGATTTGAACAAAATTTGAATCTACATTACCTGAGGATGCTTGCATTTAAATATGACTAATTATGGCTTTGCTGTTCTTCATCAGAAGATTTTAAAAGGCTTGCTTTTTCCTATGTATTCCTATGTAAAACTTTAATCGCCCATTGTGGCCCCACCCTACCCCTGGGAGGTCATGATTTAAACAAACTTGAATCTACACTACCTGAGGATGCACCCATAAAAAAAAAAACAATCATGGCTTTGCTGTTCTTGAGAAAAAGATTTTTACAAATTTTTCCTATGTATTTTATGTAAAACTTTGATCACCCATTGTGGCCCCACCTTACCCCCGGGGGGCATGATTGGAACAAACTTGAACCTGCACTACTTGAGGATGCTTCCATGTAAATATGACCAATCATGGCTTTGTTGTTCTTGTGAAGATTTTTACAGATTATTCCTATGTATTCTTATTTAAAACTTGGATCGCCCATTGTGGCTCCACCCTACCCCCGGGGGGCATGATTGGAACAAACTTGAATCTACACTACCTGAGCATGCTTCCATATAAATATAACCATTCATGGCTTTGCTGTTCATGAGAAGGAGATTTTTAAAGAATTTTCCTATATATTCCTATGTAAAACTTTGATCGCCCATTGTGGCCCCACCCTACCCCCGGGGGTCATGATTTGAACAAACTTGAATCTACACATCTGAGGATGCTTCCATATAAATATGACCAATCATGGCTTTGCTGTTCTTGAGAAGAAGATTTTTAAAGAATTTTCCTATATATTCCTATGTAAAACTTTGATCGCTCATTGTGGCCCCACCCTACCCCCGGGAGTCATGATTTGAACAAACTTGAATCTACACTACCTGAGGATGCTTCCATATAAGTTTCATTATTCAAGCACAGTGGTTCTTGAGAAGAAGATTTTTAAATGATGCCATTAATTTTTCATGAATTCATGATTATCTCCCCTAAGAAGGTGTGGCCCTTCATTTGAACAAACTTGAATCCCCTTCACCCAAGGATACTCTGTGCCAAGTTTGGTTGAAATTGGCCCAGAAGTTCTGGAGAAGAAGATGAAATTGTGAAAAGTTTACAACGACAACAACGTCGACGACAGACAACGGACAAATTTGATCAGAAAAGCTCACTTGAGCCTTCGGCTCAGGTGAGCTAACAAAGGGATGGGAAAGCCTATACAAGTAAATAAAAATACGGCCCACCAAAAAATAAGGGCATATAAGCAGCCTCAGTTTTTTACCTATGCTTTTTGGAACAAGTAGACCCTCTGAACAAGTCTTCTCTACATCTCTGTGAACAGCTCGGAAGCAACCGATTACAAATCGAATCAAATTTTAAACAGGCACTCATGCCCCTTCAATACAAGTGTTTATAGCAAACCTCTTAATACAACCATGCATCAGAAGACAAGTGATGTTGTTTGAACCCAACTAATTGCAGCAAAGCTTGTTATCTAACACAGGATAAAACATTCTCAATTGTTCCAACACCAAGATGGACACTAGGACAGGACTAATTTTCATAGTTAATACTACATGCTTCAATTATCCACTTCAATGTTAAGGAGTCATAATAATTGTAATGTATACTTTCCCAGATTCATGCTCTTGTATTCTAAATGGTAAAATAATTTTGTGAACATTCTTAATCCTACACGATACCGGTTTTTTTTATAGCTTACCCCTCCTCCAAATCTGTCTGAACATGCTCACCCTACTGCATATACTTTTGGATAAACTTATGCCAAGAATATATTAGACACAGAAAATAATCTCCAATATACATGTACTATACTGTGGACCCATTTCCCAAATGTTCTCGATTTTCAATAAAAACATCAAACATCACTTAAGGAAATTCAGATTTATTTCCCAATGCAATTTTTAAGTGGTGCACCCACACCACATACTATCACAGTTTTGAACACATTGTGTATATAAATTTCAGCATTTTTACAGGGCCATTATTTGGCCGACAAGTATCACAAACAACTCATGCATTCATGTTTACAATACTGTCACAGTACAAAAACAGATCAGACAAAACATGATTTCAGCTTTTAAAATTTCAGTCAAACTTTCTTATAAATAAAGATCTATAACTATACTCTCTTTCTCTTTCATGTAACACAGAAATTGACCAGGTTTATCACCACTTGATATCAGCCGGTATCTCCATTTATATATTCCTCTAATCTATAAATTTAAGCACTAAGTTATCAAAGAAAAAAATCAATACAAATACAATAGTTAAATATGCTTTCAAACATGCTTAATTTCATGCAAAAAGATATCAGGTCCATCTAGTCAATTGAATAAAGAGATATATCAATTTACACTTCTCATAGTCAACAGCTTAAATCATAGAGACAATGTGAAACAATAACCTAACCCCCCCCCCCCCGTTTTATAATTTCTGAATACTAGTACAATGAATATTGCACATGCAGAATTACATCACAAAACACAAAATCCCTCAAATGCTGACTTTTTAAGGCTTTACAAATTTGGCAGTGTTCTTTACAGTGATTAATGTACCTTGTTCACAAATAAAATTGCACTCAGATAATGTTGCTTTTGATTCAAGACTTTTACAGAAAATGTGTAACTGACTGGACGGATGATAAATAAATGTGCACTAAATGTCCTCACACTCAACCAAATACTTATCTCTCTACCACTTTCTAGACCTGGACTCGCGAGGTAGATTTACATCAGCTACATTATATGGATGATGTGGACAATACATATGCTCACAACTTTACAGGTGAAAATGACAAAGAAATTGATGTATATCTTGCTTTAGGAAATAAAGTACTAAAAATTAATAATATAAAGTTGCAGTAGAAAAGTAGTTAAAAATTTGTAGCTGTAGGTTGAAATACATTGAACCTATGGCAAAGCTAAAATGGACATTCTTTACGTTATCATAGCAAACTTTCATCAAAACTTCTGATATGGCATTGCTGATAATGAACACCTGTCAGAAACTATGAGACCTTGAAACATTTGATGCAAATGGATGGAGATGTAATGGCTGTTGATGTAGTGGTCAATGGATCTGCTGTTGAGTTGAATGCTTGTGTAGGTCTGGCCGGTCATGCCTGGCTGGTCATGCAGAACAGAGTTTGTCACTGTTCACCTTTACAGGACACCACAAACAATTCAGGTCACATCCATTGCTACAACCTTTTCTCGTTTTATGTTATGGATGTTGTTCAGTCTTGCCACATCTTCATGGTTTTGCCTGAAAAGATAAGTAAATATTCAGAATGCTCCTGGATATATTGTTAACAATTGATCAAACTTTGTATAAATGCTTATTATTTAGAACAATGGTCATTGGATAGGCTTGAATAAACTGGCATATTGCTTGAAGGTAAATACAGTATTTTCTTTTCCTTTTATCCTCATTCAGCAGAGATACCCCCCCCCCCCTATCATTATTTTATTTTATCCTAGAACTTTATTTTCCAAATATTGAATGGATATGGTGTTAAAATCAACAATACCTAGGCCCTAGACTTATGTATTGTTAATAGAAACACATACAGTGTATAACATTTTAAACCTTAGGTTTTACTAGCCCACATCGATATTTTGAGGCTTAAGATTTTTTGTTCACTAGGTAATTTTTTCTTCTTCAGTCTTTTCATATAATAATCTCTGAGAAGCATACTTTGCAGCCCACATCCTTTCATTTCTTGCAGATTTTGACACTCCTTGTATGAAATTCAATGTTTTCCTTCACTTTGAGAACTCACAGTCATAAAGTTGACATAATTCATAGTCTAGAAAATGTTTTGAAAGTAGGAAACAGTTGAAAAGGAAAGTGCATTTATTAGTAGAATCAAACCAGGGACAGGGTTAGGGAAAGTTCTGTTAAAATTTTTAATTGCCATATGGGCGATAACATTCTCAAGAGTTGGTTGCCCCCGGCCAAAATTACTCACATTTGCAAGTCTGCAAGTTTCAAAGGACTCCAACTTTAAATTGTGTCTAAGTCACTGTCAAACCTATCACAACCTTCGACCTTAAACCACTGACATTTTGATTTTAAATACAAATTCTATCATCTTGCTGCCTACCACCATAGCAGCTTATCAAAAGATAACCCTCAGGCTGTCAAAATCACGAGGCTTCTTCCTCTGTCCATTTAGCATCTCTTTAGTAAGAATGTGATATACGAAAGATCAAATGTACTCTATTAATAGTGTCAAGAATATTGTTGTGGACACATGCACCCTAGCACTTATAAAATACATGTACACCTCCTTGTAATTTTGTTGTAAGATAATAACACCTGAAGATTTACATCAATATTCAAATCTTGCATTCAAGACTTGTAATACATCTATTACTTCTGATAAATGGCAGATTGAATGGTTTCAATTATTGAATTTACTTACGCAGGTATTGAACCTGGTATAGAGTTTTTGTAGCCTGGTGTAAATTTGAGCAGGTTTGGACCAACAGCAGAGACAGTCTTGTTTGGGATGGACGTTGTTAAGGCAGACAGACTAGATGACAATGAAGATGATGATGATGAAGGAAGGTGAGAATGGTGAGATGCATTGTTGTTGTTGAGAGGAAAATTAAGCTGAAAAACTGTCGCTGCTGGAGAAGTTGAAAGCCCTGTGGTTTTACCTAAAATGAAATGTAACAAATACTATATGAAATAAATACAAAAGTTATAATTTTATTCCAAAACTTTTCAACCACTAGTGTAACCTAATCATAAACAAGAGGCACATGGGCCACAACACTCACCCAAGTTACTATGACCCTTCTCTTTTTTTATCACCAGATTTTTTCAATAAATATTTCTATGTAAAATTACAATAATAATTTCTGGCCCAGTGGTTCTTGAGAAGAAGATTCTGAATAACTCCACCAAATTTTCACTATTTCTTAATTATCTCCCCTTGGAATAAGATGTGGCCCTTCACCTGAACAAAATTAAATCCCCCTTTATCCAAGGATACTCTGTGCCAGGTTTGGTTGAAATTGGCGCAGTGGTTCTTGAGAAGAAGATAAAAATGTGAGAAGTTTGCAACAACTACACCAACGACAGACCACTGACAAAATCTTGATCAGAAAAGCTCACTTGAGCCTTTGACTCAGGGGAGCTAAAAAGACCAGATGACCTTAACCACAGCTGTTATAAAATGACTAATATCATCTGTTAAGGCACACTCAAAGCATCTCTGAAATAATGCAAAGACCAGATCAAATGTGCAAATTCCTCCTGTGAAAATATAGGAACTACCTGAACTCTGTTATTCTCTATAGTCACTAAAATGCATTAAAAAAGCATTCAAGGATGCACTACATCTATGTGTAGAAGTCTGATTTGGATATATATATAGTTAAACAAAAGACCCTTGGGCTACAATGCTCATGTGAGCTGCATGGCTATCCCTCTAAAATATGTTATATCTTTGTGATTCTTAAGAAAGTCAAAGGGTATATATATTGAAGATTGCATGCATACATATTGATTTAACAAAACTGTGTAAGTAGTGTGGTTGTTCTTCGAGAAGTCTACATATTCCTATTTCAAGCTCTGAATCCCACTTTTTTTAACCTTAGGGGCTACGACTTGCACAAAATTGATTCTACACTACCTAAGGAATATGTATATGTGCACATTTGCAAATTAATGTGAAAATTGGTGTTCCAGAGATGTTCAAAATTTGTTTCTAGCTCTGAGGAACGATAGGAAATGACCTAAATGCTGTTCTTAACTGGAGACAGAAAATGTAGATCATATGTGTTATTCAAAGCATGCATCTATCTAAGCATTTGAAAAAAGCTGGGAACAGACCTCAATATTGAGTGCAAGCTTCCATCTACATAAACAATGTAATCCAGTAATAATGTGAATGAAAAGAAATTTTTACTCATAAAATAGTAAGTGAAGAATTCTTAAAAATCCTTACTTGAAACGATATTTTTGTGGTCGATTGGTCCATTACTTATGACACTGGAGATGGGGGGTAGCACAGTTGCTTGGGGAAGCAAAGACAAGTTGGCAGCTGTGCTGACTGCTGCTGCTGGTACAGCATTGGTCAAGACAACAGTCTGTGGTGTTGGGGGATTTTCTGAGGCAGCAGCTTGTGTTCGAGATAATATAGCACCTGATCTCGCATTCTGAATCTGAGATGTGTTCATGACTGCTGACACAGCAAATTTGGCACTATCGGAATCTAAAGTAAATCTGGAAGTGGGTTGTGAGGAAAAGGAATGTTCTAAACCATTGCACGAATTGTTGAGATCAGAGGTGTCTTGTTTAAGCAATTGCTCTTGCTGTGCACGCTGCATCTGCAAGAGTTGTTCCTTGTGAGATTGAAAGCTCTCCATGTTGAATTCTACGACATCTTCCTGAGCAGCATGTGAGGGGTTACCACAAGATGAGGATTCTTCCAACGTGGGAGAATGTGGACGAAAATGTGGACTATTGATAAAACAAGATAATTCTTATATATAGAGATGTTTTTTTTATTAGTCAATGCATGGTTTTACACTTCATTAAAAAATAAACACAGATATGAAAACATTACTCATGGACATTTAAACAGTAAAGCTGTTTAGAGAAATACAATGTACTTACATTCTTTTATCTCTGATGTATGTCACATAATCCCCAATAATCCCTGAATAAGACCCTGATGTCATGTCAATTTGGTGCAGTGCATCATCCCAAGGTGTGGCAGCTCTATCTATTATCACCCTATAATACAGAGGTTGAATAAAACACTTGTATATTGGATATAGCCTGCTAGTAGATGCATTAAAGCAATGTTTCTCTATAGATTGCAGTTTTAAACCAGTTAAAAGGTCTACACTTTCAAGTGACCTATGATTAGATTCTACACACATTTTCAGGTTATAAACAATTTTTGGTCAACTCTATTCCCCTTGGAACTTTCTATCCATTTACCCTTAATGCCACGATTTGATGACAAACCCTTAATGACTAGTTCTGATGCACAGTATTCTGTTGTTGATTTGGCTTGAAATTACCGCTTGTTTATAACTACCACAGCTCAGGTGGCTACCTGAAGATTGCATCAAATTGAACTTAGAAATTGACCAATGATTTACCTATGAAAATGAATCAAAAGATTCATGGAATGTCCCACCCACCAAAATTCAAAATGGCGGACTGTAACATACAATGTTTTCTTGAGTGGAAAACTCAATTCATGTGCATTATTTTTTTCATTCAGTAAAGTATTACAAGGATTTTAAGTTTTAAATTGCCTATGAAATAATGTTTTGAAAATTATTACAAATGAATGACAAAGAATATTCAAGAATAGGTCTTTAGATCTGTACTAGCCAAGTACCATTTTGTTACCAAGATGCAGAAAATAATTATTTGAACATGATTTGACAGTTCAAGCAAACTTTTAAAAACGTTCAGAAGTTGTGTTATCTCAAGCAAATCTGAAAATCGGTCGGCAGGATAGACAATGAAATAGAGCTGCAGTTTATGGGATTTCTAAGGAATTAAACCAGTAAAATTGATAAAATATAATTTTACCATCAATTATGTCATCACACATAATTTCTAATATTTTCTTCAAACAATTTTGTATTGATGAAGCTGATTTACATGTTGAACATATCTCATTTTCATTTACACCTGCCATTACTCAGATAATTTCTTTACAAAAATTTCTGATCTGAATTATGATCACAGATTTGAAAATTTCCATATAAATTCATTGTCATATGTATGATAGTTTATACATACATGTAGCATGAATGAAAAAATTCGAATCTTGAGAGCCCAATTTTTAATTGCATTTGAATTAATCTAAAGCAGTTTTAACAGCCAGGCAAACACTGTAAGGATATGGCCAGTGAACCAATTGTGGCATTAAGGGGAAAAGAATCAAATACTAGTATGGCCTTCCAGTGTCTTTCCAGTATAAAGTATTATAGCCAATATAAAGAGTTCTGGCCAAGACAGAATGGCATTGACAAGTGTACAAGGTGATCCCTTTAAACCACCTTAAAAATTTTTTTGAACATGATTCAATTTTTTTCTTAAATCGAACTAAATGACATTCCCATAAAACTACAGGTCTCTGAAAATTGATACCTTTGTTGCATTTTTTTAAAATATATGTTTGCAGGACCCCCCCCCCCCCCCCCCCTTCCAGTGAAATGGTGTAAAGTCCTTACCCATGCCATTTTGGTTTTCTGTAAATGACCTTATTCTTGCCCAGATGAACCTGGGTCAAGTTCATACACACTCTTAGGTTATAAGGAATCTTTTTGACAAGTTCAAGTTTCTAATTTTTTTCTTTTTCGATCAAGTTTTGACCCAGACAATATTACACAAAACAACAGATGGACAAGTTGATTCCTATGTACTCCCTCCCCACCCCTTGCATCTGTTTTAATGCAGAACAGTGTGTGCTTTTATATTATTTAATACCAGGTACACACTGTCATTAAACCCCAGAGTAGCACCAATTTGCAGGTAGTAGTAATCAGATGGGAAATAGTGCATTTTCAGGGAAAAAGTTTTTCATGTTATACAGAATAATAGAACTAGAGGTATAATAAACTTTCATAACTTTCTTTTTATGTGTACCTGTATTTTTAAAATTGTGAATTTAAAATTTTTCCTTCATTCAAAATGCACTGAACAAGCACATGTGCATAATAATATTCCTAAATACATAGAATATGATTTTTTTTAATCACTATTTTAGAATTTATCTTTTTTTTTTGGTTGATTTGAGGGAGGGGGGAAAACAATCATATTTTGAGAAATATGTATTACCAGTTGAAACTGGGACAAATTTTGGCCCTGAACTCCCCTCACCCAAATTCCTCTCTCACCAAATAAATCAACTTACCTTCCTCCTCGACCAACCCTTCGCCGTGCATATCCAATGCATCGAGAAGGTTGTGATAATGAACAAAGATTGTATCGGAAATTTTTCTTTCCCAATCCTCCCTCTTCAGGACTACACCATGGCCAATTACCAAGTCGATTAAGTATAGGCTGTAAATTCATCACATGAAACATACAGTATAAACTCTATAAAAAATTTGAATAAATTCCTTCACATTTCATAAATATCAATTTTTTTATGCATCTTTATACATACTGCAAAGTAATTGCAATGCTTTCTTCTTCTAAAGGCAAAGGGTCCATCAGGGTCATTTTCATCTTCATGATCCGATGGTGAAGTTCCCTATTAAAAGAAAAAATTATCATTACATATATTTCCAGCTAAATCACTGTCAATTACATTGAGAAGCTGGCAGTTTGTAAAATAACAGCAAGTATCCAAAAAAAAAAAAATAAATATCTATGCCCACCCCCTTTCATCCTTTGGATTAATTAGTAATGTACATATCGTAGTCATCCTACATGTATATGAAGTTTTGAGCCAAGTTTCCTAAGAAATAGCCAACATTTGATATATGGATGTAGCAAACAATTTGCTATCATCTGTTAAACTTGAGATGAAATTGAAAATTTCTAAAATAACCTTAAAGGAGAACATTGTGCATTTAAATTTTCTTCTACAATGTTATAACCAAACAGGAATTTTAAGATGCTAAATCTATAGACCTTGCTGCATGCCACGCCATCAGCAAGAACTTTCAAATTAGTGCCCCCCTTCCCATGTAGTAGTTATGTCATGGAAGAAACTATGTTTGTCAGTACAATAGTCAAACTGTAAACAGTTACCGGTGAGTATCCATCCTCATCAGAGCTATAGGGTTCAGGGTGTAAAACATCAATATCATAATGGCTTGGCTGTACTGTAGGAGTAGTAGGCTGAGTCTGCTTGTGTTTTCTTTTCCTGTACTCCCTCTTCTTTCTAACTCCTTCCTCCTGTAATAGACATTTCTATTTCATATCTGACTGATAACCAGAAACAAATCCATTAGCTTAGAATTATATTTTTAGTTGAATCTGTGAAGAGAATTGTTCACATTTTATGGTGCACCTGCTGCAGGTCTTACCAAACTTTATGATTGGACCACTCCTCAACATAAAGGAAAGCCATCAGACAAGAATTGTAGTAGGATAGAGTGATTACACATGACACAACTACAATTCTTACCGCTGAGCCAGCGCCCCAGCTGTAGGGAGGGATAAATAAGGGTAACTTGTGGCGGATAGACTCAGCTTCTTGAAGCATTTTGCCCTCAAAGTCTTCACCTTGGTATCTATAAAGGTAAACAAACATGCAAATTTATTCATACTTTCGGCATCTATAAATTTACCTTCATAATTTCCAGGGCTCTATTACCACTTTTTAGGACTGGGGCCAGGGTCATTGAAATTGGGAAGATAACCAACCTTTTAGGAATTATGGGAAAATCGCAGATTAAAACTCATCATATCATATGTTTTGTGTGTTTGTTTTCCAATGAATTTCTGTTTTGCAGTATACAGGTACATGTGGGGCATTTTAAATAATTAATTTTGGATATCCAAATAAATTTTCCTATATTTAGGGGAGTAATGACTATTGGGAAAATGAACATATTCGGTTGGGAAAAAAGGTACTTTTTTTTTAATTGGGACTGGAGTCTTTAAACAGCCCCAGTAATAGACATATTAAGAGCTCTGATTTCATTCAAATTGTTATATTCAGTTAATATCCAATACCTACATGTATTTTAGAAGATAAAAATACTGGAATGAGTAATACCTTTTCTCCATGATCTCTATTGTTAACTGCAGCATCTCTTTCTTTGCCTTTTCCCTTCTTTTAATCATTTCTAATATTGTTCTGCAATATAATGAAAAATCTTTTATAATAGTACTATTCACTGAATACAGTAACAGTTTAAATGATAGTTTTATCAAAACAGTTATCTAATATTACCAAGATTACAAGTGTATTCTTCATATGACCAAATTTATCTATATATTTTACAACACTTGATATATATTTTTTGATGAGAACATTACCTACAGAGTCCAAAGTACTACAATAACATTATAATACATGTTTCTAAGCTTGAATACTTACACTGCCCTATTTAGATCCCTTCTGAGTTTCAACATTTTCTCATAAGATGTTTCATCATTCTTTCGATTCTAAAATGTAGTATTAAAAACAATTGTTAAAATATACTTGTTTATTTTGATCAAAAAGATCTTTGTCTGTTCATTTTAATCAAACAAATCTGTATTTAGAAGTTATAATTTACTAAAAATGTTTACCTTTCTTGTTTGCATCTTTTCTGTTCTCCGCCTGAATGCCACATATGGATTATTTGTTGTAGATCCATCTCTTTTTTCTGTTTTTACTTGCAAGATTAAGGGATGTTCCTGCAACATAAAAGTTAACATTTTTTTTTTAATTCTGCACAATATTACATGCCTTGTACAATAGATTCACAAATTTTACATCGACTTACCAATCGTAGTCTTTTATTTAGCCAGTAGTCATACACAGCAATAATGAGATCATCATCTTCTTTTAGAAGCAATTTTGCCTCTTGTAATGTCACAACCTGTGCAGATAGCAATCCTAGTTACTAATTTTACAAACACTTCCTAGCACACAATAGTACTTCTGAGGAATATTAAGGACAATCTATACACTAAAGCATTTTTTTTTTTCTGAACTTTGAGAAAATTGGTGTTAAATTGGCCTTATCTAATTTTCACAACAGGGTACCTGGCATTTAGCCCCAGGAAAAATGTTCAAAGACTATGAAGTATTGCTGTAGTTTAGTTAAGGGGGGGGGGGGGGGGGGGGGGAATAGATGCATATAAAGTCTTCAATTGATTCAACTTGGCCTATTAAAATGTTAAGAATGCTTAAATCTATTAAAAATTGAGTATTACACAGTAGATTTCACTTTACCACCACCATTTTCAGTAGTTGAATTTTTAAAATTCTAAAAAGTATTCAAAATGCATTCCAGAAAAAATTTCATTTACTTAAAGCTCCTTTAACATTAGTAAGCAACACAACTGTATAGCTGCTGAAGCAGACATTTTACAGTGTTTTCACTTGAAAGGAATTATTATAGATTTTAAACTTAAATTTAAAATTTAAATGTAAATTTTAGAATTACCAGAATCATCATGTTTGACTAAGAAAAACTTTGAAATGTGCATTATTTTTCTCCATTGAAATATATGCAAAATTTTGGACCATGTTGCTTAATTTTTTTTTTTTTAAAAAACACCTGTTGTCCACTGCCCTTTTCCAGTCGGTCCATCATTTCCTCAAATTTTAGAGGATTAATCTCCATCTTTTTGCTCTGTTCACTGACCCATGATTCATCTTCACTGTCCATGTCATAATCTGGTATCTCCTGGTCCATTCCATAAGCTGAGGGGGAAAAAAACACACCAGTAATACAACTAAGTTTAAATCATGTAAGTGTCATTGGCTCCGTGTTGTGAAAAAAAAATGCACAAAAATTTGAAAAAACTTTGAACTGCAGCTATTATCTATTATAGATTACAGGTAATTCCATTCTCTGAAATTAACTAGTGTAAACTTGCGCGCAGTAAGGGCAAAATGATTACACATGTAAATGGCGACGTTTTGGTTAAATTCTCAAACCTTTTAAAAATTGAGTAAACATTTACACGAAGGTCATTATCAATGTCTATCAGAAGTAGGGTTGGATACTGGTACTCGGTACCAATACCGTACCAAATAGTTACTTCAAAAATACCGGTAAAATACTGTTTCATTTAATACCGGTACTACCGTAAGTTTTGGGGTATATGTCGATGGGGTATATAGGTCGAAAGGCTCATTTTCAGCCGTAATTTTTAAAAAATCCTTAGATAGGACGAACTCAGAAGATAAGACGAGGCTTTGTATATCGATTTTCTAGAGATTCTTACGTAGATACTACGTATCAGAACATGTAAGCCTCTTTAACTTAACCCGTGATATTAATGTATTGATAAAATAAACTGGTATTTTTATGAGTACAGCATTTTTTTTATACAAACATACCTAGAACTTCGTTGAATTGTGATGTAACGTATTTTCTCCAACTTGCCTGTTAAATGCCGTCGTAGTTTCACTCTGTCGTTAAACACATAAATACGGTAGTATACAACAGCTATAATTAGGGAAATACCCGAAATCAAACAATAATTATTTCTATTTTAGAACATCGTGAACACATTCTTTTATTCCGACATTATTTACCGGGGTACAATATTAACTTCGAAGACCGCCATTTTTATATTTCTTGTCCAGGGATTTGCTAAAACACGCAATTGACTATTACATATAACTGTGAGCAATTGAAATTAATAATATTATCATGCTTTAATTTTGCTTGAGATGTTGTTGTAAAAAATAAATTTAATTTAGAGTACATTCGCAATTTAACAGTCATCATGAATTTCACTGTTTTGTTTGTTCGATGATGTATTAATACCCCTGTAACGGCACGTGGATCTGTTAATCATGCCCTTCGGGTGTTTAAACCAACACAGGTGTTAACACCTTTGTGTACACAGTGTATATCCATTTATCTGTCAGACGACATCTTCGCTAGCCAAGGGTTTCTGATACGCTACTCTCCTCATAAACCCTTGGCATACGGTGCTGACAAAAGACGGGATTGTTTTTGTCACGTGATCATGATTCTTACAGATTGCGTCATCGACAGAAATAAAAAGCGTATTTAAAAAAAAATTGTTTTTAAAGAATAATTAACAAGAAGGTATTGAGTTATGTTAATTTGTTACTTAAACATGTAAAAATGCAAATCTACATCTTCAGTATAGATTCTTAATCACATATTATGCACGTTGCTTTAGATATTGGATGACACCATATAGCTATTTATAGAATGGCATGTAATCTTACGGATCATTGTTTACTTGCGTTTTACATTACCGATGTTAAAGAATCAAGAAATATCCCGAACGCAAATATCGTCATTTAGAAAAAACAATTGCTGATTGGTCGAACGATGTCGATCAACTCCAATCACAACTTGAGAAAAAAATCCCAACTTTTTTTAACACCGTATGCCAAGGGCTTATGAGGAGAGTAGCGTATCAGAAACCCTTGGCTAGCGAAGATGGTCAGACGATGAAAATTATATTAGAAGCCAATCTTTGTATAATTCAGTGTACCCCTTGGGATATAAAACAAAATAGTTATGACTAGCGGTGTATTTAGTGAATAATTTTAGGAATTTACTGGCAACAATTTATTTCACGCATTTTACATTTACTCGTAAATAAATATCACAAGACAATGAAAAAATATTTAGGTATACTATTTCAATTATTCGTTACAAATAAATGGTAAAAAAAAAAAGAAAAAAAGATTACAATTGCGATTGTGAAAAACTCTTCCTTATTTTAAACTTTGATACGGTTGCGGTTTTATTTTTAGTAAACGATTGCGACTTCCAACTTCACAAGATGGACACAACATTTTGTAAATCTACTTTGAGACATTATTTACTAGATGATATTATAAGTTTTCTGTACATTGACGGATATTTAATGGAACTTATTTTGTAAGAAATCAATGAAATAAATAATTAATTAATTCTTTGTTTATTTTTTTTTTTGGGAAAATAATTTTAAAAAATACGAAAATGGCACAGATTTCCTTTAAAATTGACGTTAATTTTACTGATTTGGGGGCATTTTTCGTAAACCTGAGCCTTAGATAGGACGATTCGTTAAATAGGACGACCCCAGCAGTTCTGAGAAAAAAAGTATCGTCTTATCTTCCAAAACTTACGGTAATAACGGTACTATTTCTTAATCTTAGAAACATTTTAATACATTCAAAATGATTTAAAACTCGCTAAAATAGAATTCTCCACACATTGAAAGGGTAGGCTAATTAACAAAATGGATGCTTAGTATGACTATACGACACTTGCTTTCGACTGCCGATATTCGAGGTAAATCAGTACGTATTTCTCTTTTAATAAAAAAGAAAATTAAATACATTAAAATAATCATGTTTTAACTTAATTAATAAAAACTGATAATAAATGTAAATTAACAAGAGGCCCAAGGGCCAGATCGCTCACCTGAGCACTGTGGCTAGGAAAAAAGGAAAAATCAGTTTAGTATTGAAAAGCATAAATGAATAAGTGGTCCCAACCTACCCCTAAAAAGGGAGTGGGGGGGGGGTGGGGGTCATGATTTGAACAAACTTGAATCTACACTATCTGAGGATGCTTCTGTATAAATATGACAAACCGTGGCTTTGCTGTTCTTGAGAAGAAGATTTTTGAAGATTTTTCCTATATATTCCTATGTAAAACTTTGATCGTTCATTGTGGCCCCACCCTACCCCCGGGGGTCATGATTTGTACAAATTTTAATCTACACCACCTGAGGATGCTTCCAAATAAATATGACCAATCATAGCTTTGCTGTTCTTGAGAAGAAGATTTTTGAAGATTTTTCCTATATATTCCTATGTAAAACTTTGATCGTCCATTGTGGCCCCACCTTATCCCCGGGGGTCATGATTTGAACAAATTTGAATCTACACTACCTGACAATAACTCCACATGAGTTTCATCTTTCCTGGCCCACTGGTTCTTGAGAAGAAGATTTTTCAATAATGCCATTAATTTTTTGCCATTTCGTAATTATCTCCCCTTGGAGGAGGGCGTGGCCCTTCATTTGAACAAACTTGAAACCCCTTCACCCAAGGTTACTTTTTGCCAAGTTTGATTGAAATTGGCCCAGTAGTTCTGGAGAAGAAGATGAAAATGTGAAAAGTTTACGACAACAACGACGACGACAGACAACGGACAAATTTTGATCAGAAAAGCTCACTTGAGCCTTCGGCTCAGGTGAGCTAAAAAGGCAAAATGTCGCAAAAATGTGATGTGCATTTCTATCCATCTTCTAATGTTTCGTTGTTCAGTGCAACCAAACAAAATGGGTCCTAGCAACCATGGAAGTTGTGTATACTTGTGATTATGTATCTATTCAAGTTAATTTTGAGATTCAATTTATTTGTTTTGTTGGTCATTTATTAAAAGGTTGAAATATAAACATAGTTTATAAGCTCACTTTAGGTTATATAACATTGAAAGGTTGATGATTGGTGAAAGCATATTTGTTATGAAATGAACCCTTATTCTCATTCATCAAGTCAAGGTATAGTACCGTATCGTTAAAAATACCATATCGTTTCAAAAATACCGGTATGGTATCGTACCGTTTCATCCTTAACGGTATCCAACCCTAATCAGAAGTAAAGATAAATACAAACAAGTTGTTTTAATATTTACCAAAGAAAACAATTGTTTTCTGTTTTAATTGATACCGGAAACATTATTAAACAAAACTATCTAAAACCCGATACCGTCTATCATATATTTAATTCCCATTTTCCAGTAGCAAATACTAACGATGTATTATGATTTGATTTCATTTTCCTTGATTTATTTTGATTAAATTAATATAATACATTTTCACCAGGCTTTGCAAAGTGTTTCAATACAGTCAGTAGATCGCAGTATACTTAATTCAGTATAAAAAGATCCATCTTTGCAAGTTAAATTTGGCAATCCTTATTCTATGCCTGGTATGTAGCCAAACAAAATAGTGATGCAATATTGGGTGACGGGTGTAGAAAGTGAATGAGTTTTATGTAATTCATATTCTTTCATCATAAAAACCAACAAATAAATAGTTATAACAACTCATACTTACAGTTACATTATAGTGAAAGAATAGAGTATTAAATTAGTGTTTCATGAGTAAGTAACCATAAAAATTCAACACAAAATATTCTCCCATTTAAACGGTAATGTTCCGTTTACTGCTGATTGTTTAAACATTTACAAAATTCAGTAAACGTTTCACCCTTAGTGTGCAGTGCTTCATCTAAGCAGATTTTTCCTACTTGTCCATACAAACAAGTTACTGTGAAATTCACTTATCTGAACACAATTTTTACTTGTCTGACAATTTTTCTATAAAAACGTAATGGCCAAGTTGAATACTATTGCATAAATTAGAACAGAATCTTTAACAGACAAAATCTGTTTTGTAATTTACATGTACTTCTCATTTCGAGCAAAACACAAAACAAAATTGTACGAAAATGATTATTTTACAAAACGGAACATATATCCAACACTATCAGTGATTTGGAAAGGTTTGCGCTATAGTCACACTGAAGTGAAAAAATGGCACATTAAATAAATGTTGGCAGAGCACTACATATGTGAAAATTAAATTTAGTTAAAAACATGTTCTTTGTTTACTTCACGTTTGTTTGTCATTTCTGCAAATGGCCATTCAGAATATATAGAGATGGCCAATTCATTTTAAAAATGGCTCATTAAAAATTTTAAAGATTGCACGAGTTCAATTGATCTTCATGGGCTTCCTAATGAATTATGCTATCACTCTATTTGGAGACACACATTCCTGATTAAAAGCATTATGAATGTCCTGACACCATTCCAGTAGTGTATTTACCTTGTATGTGAATAAACTGCTTAGAGGGTTTAAAATCATTCTTGTACATTTCATGATAATTTTCAGCTATATCATCCACTTCAGGAATAGGGATGACAAGAGCCTCCGAAGTTCCATAGACCTGCTGTGCCGACAATGCTCTTTGTAAATGGTGCTCCTACAGATAGATTGTATACATGCATTAATAACTTCAGGACAGTATAGTTGGAATCAGAAAACTTATTTGTAGTTGTGGTGATGCTCTATTCTAATAGTTGACTACAAAAATTAAGCAGCCAAAAAAAAGTGCTTTGATTGCAAATGGCAGCAACAGACCAACAATTACACATCTTAACTGGACCATTGCAACATGTATAACCAATGCATTTAATTTATGGCCAATCATATAAAGATTATTTTTATTTTTTAATCCTTTACACAGATATAATATAAGGAGAAAATACTAAACCAATCTATTTGCAACATATATGAAACTTTTTTTTTCAAAAGGATGAAATGTAAGGACTAGCAAAAATTTGCAACTGCAAATGTCCTGGTCTTGGGAACATGATATTAACTCATCCTATCATAAAATGATTGTTTAATTCAAGGGTTTCAAAAAAACTTCAGTGCACCCCCCCCCCCCCCCCAATTGTGTCCCCTCTCTTTTTGTATCAATATATCATGGGATCTTTTCTCGCTTTTAAAAAAAAATCTCCCCACAATGCTGCAACATTTGAATTGCTGGTAACCCGGAATATCATTAGCAAAATTTTTACAAGTAGCTTTTCAGTACTACCATCATCAAAAGAATACCTTTCCTTTTGTATTCTATTTTATTCACATTACACCTTCTTATCATAAAAAAATTAAACTGATACACAAAAAAAAGTTTGCGTGTCATTGATTCTGAGAGTTTAATTTGATTTCTGTATGAAATCAACCACATCTAATTGAAACGTAATCATTAAACTATAATGCTTTGTTGAGTAACGTTTTCTACTTTCACTTTCGGAGTGAGAAAGGAAATATCACGTGGCTTCTAAAAATAAAACAATTCATTGAACTCATTATTTTAGGAAACAGATCCCTTGTACATAAAAAATAAACAAAAAATAACTATGTCTGAAGTTTTCATGGAGTAATTTAATCATATCATCAGTCAAAATTAGTTCCTTCAATTCTCTTGAACCGAATACACAAAAAATCCAAGATGGCGGACTGTTGACCGCCAAACGGCGCAAAAGGAAGCATACCGTTTCCTCCTCTTTCTCCATTCCTGTTGGCATCTGTGGAACAGATCGGTTGATAGTTGCAAAATCTGGTAGGTCAGGAACTTCGTCTGCTTTGAAAATCTGCATTGGTCTCGTGGCGTCCAGCGCCCGAGCTCGAAACGATACCTTGCTCATCGTGCTGACCTCAAATATGCTAATGAGCAATCCACGTAGAGCCTTCTAGATTTTGAAGGCAAAACCAGTATAAACTTCTTTAAGAAGCGTATTTTACAAATTCAAATCACAATATGCATTAGTTCAAACCTTATTACAATAACCATTGTTTCATATGAGTCTTAATTAGTTCCAGTTTAAGAAACACTTTTCGCGAATTTTAGAAAATCCATCATGGCCGCCATTTCGGGCCGTCAGTACAAATCCCAGGGTCCCCAGTCAGGTATGCGCGCGCAACTTGATTTCATTGAAAAACACAACCACGTGGAAAATGGACCGAAGTAATAATTTTTTCGTTTCTTCTAATGAACATATTTCTTTACAGTATATCTTTGAGAGATATTATAAATTCTTTTTCTCCCAACTATTGATAATTTTTCATTCATATCATTAACTGAATCTTTAACACATTATATGCTAATGTGCGCTTGAGTAAAAATGTGCGTGAGAAAAAAATACCACGTGATAAGAAGTAATCCAACCAGAAGCGGTATCCAAAATCGATATTTCTTGTAACATTTTTTTTTTCACTTCCTGATTTTTTTTCTTTTTTAAGAATATATTTCGCAATTTGATAAATATGCATACATGTATCATATCAGAGAAATATAAAATGGTTTTATGTCTCTGATTATATATGATAAATGTCCAAAACTCAATAAAACTTACATATATATGTATATTATATACACAATAGTATTTGAACTATACTTTTAATAAGTTATGTCATATGTGATTAATTGTAACAAAAAGCTTTTTAACTTCTAGTTGTCAGTTTCTGTACAACTTTTTTTTAAACATGAATATATGTAATTTATATTTAAAAAAATACAATAATCATAGGTTAACTTTTGAAAGGAATTTGTTGATTTTTTTTTTCAAGGGAAAATATCAAATATGTCTTATATCAGGAACCTATATATAGGTCCCTGCTTATATAAAAAAAAGTAAAGCTCTGCTTTAATAGCCAATGCCCTGAAATACTGAAAATAACACACTCATTTATTAAAAAATGTCATATATCTAGAAATGATTGTATTAAATAATTATTGTACAAATGATTGTATGATGTATGCACATCTTCACATTCTAGAATATTGTTTAAATGTATGAACAATTAATGATTCTTGTATGGTGTGCCTTTGCCAATTATTGTAATTGTGTCTGCGCCAATTAATAAATATTGTATTGTATTTATATATGGTATTTTGGTAATACTATTCTTTTTCAATTTTCTATAACATCTGTGACAATAAAAAAAGAAAAATACCATATATTTTTCAGCTTGAAAAAAAAATTAAAAGGGGGAGAAAAAAAATTATCACCTCCAGCAGAGAACGAACCCCAAACAGTGATCAATATTGTATTTATTGTATCACTATATAAACTTTACCTTGCAAAACATTTATATCACTGTCTCAAAAAATTTTGAGGAATGTTTTAAATGATGAGAATAAAGAAACAGACAAGGTGTTTCCTATATACACCCCCAACTTCATTTTCTGGGGGTACAATTATTATAAATCATATCATTAATATTTTACGTTTTGATAATTAAGTTTCAATCTGTAATTACTCACTTTTCTTTGGGCTGCAAATAAGATCTGATAGTCATGCACTAAAAAAGTAATCTTTGTACAAAAAAATATCCATCTATTTCACAGGAAAAATGAAGGCTGCAATCATTCCTGGAAATGGTGCTGGTGATGTTTTTCATGCCAACTGGTATGGATGGGCATATAAGCAAATAAACAAATTAGAAAATGTAACCTGCAATTTACAGAATATGCCTGATCCCATCACGGCAAGAGAGTCCATTTGGATTCCATTCATGCATGACAAGTTGGAATGCAATGAGGACACTATTATCATAGGACATAGTTCAGGGGCAGAAGCGGCTATGAGATTTGCTGAACAGTACAAGGTCAAGGGCATCATTTTAGTATCAGGTACTTTACAATTGATAATAAACATAAGCTTTGATGGAATATGTTATGCATCCTGCAAATATTTAATAATGAAAAGAAGTTTTACTATCCTTAAGGAAATAATGTTGTTTTTGGAAAAAGGTACATGGAATTAAAAATACTGACACAATATATATATATATATATATATATATATATATATATATATATATATATATATATATATATATAGTAAAACTTGTTTAGTAAGAACACAGATATAGTGAATTTATGGATATAACTAATTTTTTGGGAATCCCCAGCAAAATTCTTACTAGTTCCTTGCAAGATATTACAATTATAAACTCTGATATACATTTGTAATGAACTTAAGATATAACAAACCGATTTGTGTACTGTAAGGGTAAAAATAAAGATATATCCTCCTATAGCTAATTTTTAAAGATTTCAAAATTGAAAATATTGAACTGACTTTTTTTTGTAAGTATTTATATTTGAAATTCATCAGAAAACTTTAGTTCTCCAAGGTAAGTTTTGGATTTAATACTTCTCCAAACATACTCCGTAGTCATATTTGAAGGAACACAGGTACATTTTGAATTTGCTATACATACAATACTCTAACAAATTTGTTATATGGATATAACGAATTACGGATATAGTAATGAATTCACAGGTCCTTAGGACTTTGCTATAACTGAGTTTTACTGCACATGGAAAAATAGTTAAAGTTACATAAGAGTTGTACAATTTATTTATAGCATGTGTCACAGACTTGGGAGATGACAATGAGCGTGCCAGTGGATACTACAGCAGGCCCTGGGACTGGACAAAAATCAAGGCAAATGCAGGCTTTGTGGTACAGTTTGGGTCCACAGATGACCCATTTATACCCTGGGAGGAGCAACAAACAGTAGCTGACCAACTGAACACTGACCTCAGAAAGTACTCTGATAAAGGTCATTTTATGAATAGCACATTTCCAGAACTGATAAATGTAGTCAAAGAAAAGGTTCAACAATAAATAAAGTACCAGTAATACGTCATTGATTTTCTCTTTTTATAAATCTTTCATAACTTTTGAAAGTTTTTGAACAAGCACCATGATTTTTGTGAATAAATTACATATTCTTAAAAAATCTGCAAATATAATGGCAAATCTCTTTCATAACTGCAAAAGTCCTCCTTCATTCCCAATTGATATGAACACTTAAATTTCCAGAAAAAGGGAAAAAAAATCTCTTTAACATATAAATTTATTATTCTAAAAAATGGGAGAAATATATGCAAGGACATTGCAAGCAATTTGTTAAAAATGATTATACAAAAGGCCAACAATATTATCATAACAATAAGCACAATTGAATTAGGTCCCCTAAGTTCCTTTGTGTTATTTTTTCCTGCTTAGTACCATGGAGGCCACATTTTCTAATGCATCCCTGGCTTTAGAATGTCTCAGTTCATTAAGTAATTTTATGGCAGCAACACTGTGAGCTTCAGCTAACAGTCTAGTTTGGTAGACACCATCACTCTGAAAATACAAGATACAGCAGCTCTAAGGGGAGGCCAATGATAAATGTGTGAATGTAATTCTCAGAGCATAACATTAGAATTACATATCTGTTTTCAAATATCTACACGTATCTTGTAAATCTTACAATATTTTCTCTTACCTATTATAAATGTTAGGCTTTTTAAAGGGGATCTAAACTTACCTTGGCAACTAGGTTTCTGGCTAATTCTACATCTCCTTCATGACAAAATCGTCTCATTATCAATGCATTTAGTTCCCTGTGTTCCTATGAAAAAAAAATATCATATATCAAGTAAAAAAGTTAACATTTCTGTAAGAAAATGAAAATATCTTGGAAGTTTCCTACTTTCACATCCTACAAAAAATTACTTTTAAAGTTCATTTGTTGTATAACAGGGTGTGAAACTGCAGAGTTCTTAACACACTCTGATTTTATATTTATACCTTAATATGTGGAACATTTATACAAGTTCAGGGATCGACATTAACGGTTGTCCGATTGCCCTTGACAAGTAAATTTTCAGTTTGTGCAAGTGAAACTGTCGACGTACTTGTCTGATCGGGCAAGTGAATTTTTCTCATAGAAATGTACAAAATTTTGTTTACATTAATTTATAAATAAAGCAATAAATTGAACACTTGATTTCCGCCACGTACCTGACTGACTATGTTTTTGCATTCGGAATTCGTCGATAGCGTTTTTGGATCATACCATTCATTTAAAAATCGAGTTCGTTATTATTTTATGCTCAACCTCTAATAACTCTGTTAACTTCTTATTAGGAATTTAGATTATTTATTCACTATAAGTACAGTGTATTACGTTGTATCCTGATCAAGATAAGATGTATGTTTCATAGGAACTATCTTCCTTTAGAGTTGCTTCACAGTTATCTCTGAAAATTACGATTCACAAAAGGATTCTACCAAAAATAATTTTTAAAAATATGAATTTTATTAAAAGGAAACGGAGGATTCTTGCATTCTCTATCCAGAGTTGTCGTTCCTGCTACGCTCCCACATACACCTCTGTCAATGCTTGTTATACAAGATTCTTGGAAAAATTGTAAATGATTAAAAGTTATATTAATAATTGTTTTAATTATCAGAAACCATTATTTATTTTTAATTTATTACACCTTAAAAGGATTTTTTAATTAAGATTTTAATTTTTACTCCGCAAAATACTTCCCTTAAAACTTTAAAAATAAGTCGTTTTGAGGGATTATAGATTTAAAATAAATGATGAATTATCATCTTTATCGATAATTACAATAATTAATTACTATTTGAATTTCAAATTTTCACCTTTTAAAATTTGTACAAGAATCTTGTACAACGAGCGTTGACAGAGGTGTTGTGAGTGTAGCGGAAGACAACTCTGGATAGAGAAAAAGGATTCTTGCTGCATGGCAGTGTGTGTTAACGGCTTAAGTTTACAAGGACAGTAGTATACATTTATGCACAAATGCAGCATCAAAATATTTTCAGGTAGTTCATCTTGTCAAATTGACAGTAATGTATTCAGTCACATTTTTTCTTATCATAACATTTACAATAATAAATAAAATTTCTTCTTAATTTCTTAAGTCCTTTCCTAATTTTGGGCAACCAAGTTTTGCATTCGGACAAGTCAAAGTTTGAGATCACTTGCCCAAAGGGCAAGTAAATCTGAAAGTTAATGTCTATCCCTAAAGTTTGTGTAATTTATGTTAACTCTTTCAATACAAAAATATTCATTGATTGGATCCTACCTGAGCTGCATATAGGACAGGAGCAGTAGCTAGCCCTAGCTTCAGATCAGCAGCTGTAGGTTTACCCATAATGCTTTCTTGGGATGTAAAATCTAGCAGATCATCTATGAGCTACAAATAATAGACTTTGTCATTCTGCTGTTGACAAGAGTTAATAAAACACAGCATCTTTCTACATTAACTCTATTTTTCAGAGCCTTAGATGATTTACCGTACACATTTCTAATGCTTAAGAGTTTTTCACTTTTTCAAAAGCATATAAAGACTCATGGGCCATGGCAGTATCCTGAGTATCATGAGTTTCTCAGAGTATTACAACTTAGCCCAAAGCTGAAAATGTTCAAAAAAAAAATATGCACATACTGCTACCCACATCACACAATGAAGGTGGAAACAGATAGAATAGATCACCTGAGTCACTCAGTGACCTAAAAAAAATCATAAGTAACATGAAAGTTACCTGAAATGCCATTCCTATATTCCGTCCATATTCAAAAGCTACCTGAGTTATCTCCTCACTACAGTTATTTAAAACAGCAACCTGAGAAAGAAAGTGGATATTACTATACATGTACAGGTATGTCAAATCTCCAATGGAACATTATCTTTTATATTCTTGTCTTCTGCTAATGTCTGCACTCTCAAAACAGGCATCTAGTATTGTTTTTGAAAGGGGGGCAGCCAGAAAAAAAAAAAGACCTCTAAAAAAAAAAAAAGGAAAATAAATAAAAATTTATGAATAAAAACAGTTCAACTTTGAAAATCCTATTTTGTGGGGGGATGGGGGTGGGGGTGTTCCAACTTTCTTTCACAACCAAATTTTATTAATTCATTAACAAATTACCATGATTTTACTATGCTACAACAAACAAGAGGCCCATGGGCCACAACACTCACCTGATTAATTTTGGCTCTGCTGTTCTTAAATACATTTTGTGGCCCCATCATACCCCGAGGATAATGATTTGAACAATTTAGAATCTACACTACCTCAGAAAGATTCCTCATAAGTTTCAGCTTTTCTGGCACTGTGGTTCTTGAGAAGAAGATTTTTTAAAGATTTTTTCCTACATATTTAAATGCAAAACTTGGATTGCCTATTGTGGCCCCACCCTACCCCTGGGGGTCATGATTTCAACTACCCCAGGATGCTTCCACAGAAGATTCAGCATTTCTGGCTCAGTGGTTCTTTAGGAGAAAAATTTTAAAGATTTGTTTCTATACATTTCAATATAAAACTTGGATTCTTTATTTTGGCCCCACCCTACCCTGGGGGTCATGATTTGAACAATTTAGAATCTACACTATCCCAGGATGCTTCCACATAAGTTTCAGCTTTTCTGGCCCAGTGGTTCTTGAGAAGAAGATTTTTAAATGATTTTTTTCTGTATATTTCAATGCAAAACTTGGATTGCCTATTGCGGCCCCATCCTACCCTTGGGGTTCATGATTTGAACAATTTAGAATCTACATTATCCCAGATGCTTCCACATAAGTTTAAGCTTTTCTGGCCAAGTGGTTCTTGAGAAGAAGATTTTTAAAGATTTTTTTCTATATATTTCAATGTTAAATTTGGATTCCTTATTGTGGCCCCACTCTACCCCCAGGGGTCACAATTTGAGTAATTTAGAATCTACACTACCCAAGGATTTTTCCATATAAGTTTAAGCTTTTCTGTCCCAGTGGTTCTTGAAAAAAAGATTTTTTAATGACCCCACCCTATTTTTGTCTTTTCTTGATTATCTCCCCTTGTAAGGGGGCAAAGCCCTTCATTTTAACATTTAAAATCTCTTTCACCCAAGAATGCTTTGTGCCAACTTTGGTAAAAATTGGCCCAGTGGTTCTTGAGAAGAAGTTGAAAATGTGAAAAGTTTATAGACAGATGGATGGACGGACAGACAGCGGACAACGGGTGATCAGAAAAGCTCACTTGAGCTTTCAGCTCAGGTAAGCTAAAAATAAGGGGGCGGGGGACCAGCCTTACAAGAACATTTTCAATAGCAAAAGGCTGTGTTTGGAAAAAAGTTGGGCCAGAACCCTCTGTTTAGATTTTCTTTCTATACCAAGTTATCTACATACTAATACTCACTGCTTTACAACTGTTTGCCATAAGGCTTGCCGTTTTCTTGTATGTTTTCTTCAAGTAGTGGTTGAATCTATCATTTGGTTCTTCTTTTGATCCTAGCTGCATAAATTCCCCTGTGAAAATATATTGTTTTAAAATAGCATTCCGAAAAGCAAACAAAGCAGTAATATACCAAACAACAAACTCATATAATTTTTATCATCATTAAAACTCAAGCCCAGAATGATTGCAATGCACTTCTTCAGGGATAGACGTTAACTTTCAGATTCACTTGCCCTTCGGGCAAGTAATCTCAAATTTTGACTTGTCCGAATGCAAAACTTGGTTGCCCAAATAGGAAAATAATTTATTGCCGTACATATTATATTAAGTGTGAACAGATACACTACTATAAATCTGGCAAGTTGAGGTACCTGAAAAAATTTAGATGGTACGTTTGGATATAAATGTATACTGCCACTTTCCTTGTCAATTTAATCTGTAAACACACACTGCAATGCATCAATAACCATCAGTTTCCTTTTTCATAAAAAATCATTTTGGGTAGGATCGTTTTGTTTTGTGAATTTTGATTGATGCAACGCTAAGGAAGATAGTTGCTATGAAACATACATATCTTGATCAGGGTAGGTCATGTTATATTCTGTCAGTGTGAATGAATTAAGTAGTTAACAAAGTTGTAATACGTAGAGCGTATTTAACCTGAAATAAAAAAGAATAACGAACCCGATATTTAACGAACGATATAATCTAGAAATCCAAGGGAGCAATGTCAGTATCTGGCGGAAATCTCGTGTTCAATCTATTGTTTTATTTATAATTAATGTAAACTAGATACCAATATACATTTCTATCAGAAAAATTCACTTGCCCGATCGGACAAGTAAGTTGACATTTTCACTTGCCCGACTGAGAATTTACTTGTCTCGGGCAATCGGACAACCGTTAATGTCAATCCCTGTTCTTATCTAGAAGAACTAGGAAAGGGCACCTTACAGAGAGATTTTAGTGAATGAGTAAATCCGAGTACATGTACCATAATTTACGGACTATACATCAATGTGGTAAATAGGTCAAAAGGCTCATTTTTAGCCCAAGTTTTTTAAAAATCCTTGGATAGGGCAAATTCGGAAGATGTGTGGAGTGTAAGGACCAAAAAGTCTTGACTTCAAAGATGCTTGTCCCCTAAGTCCAGTCAGGAACCATAATTTTGGAAACTTTTTTTTACTATTTATCCATAGATGTGGGATGCTACATGTACATACAAAAATTGGTTGAAATTGGCTTAGCCATTACAGAGAAGACACTGAAAATATTCAAATGTTTATGAGAATTACAACAAACAGGAACAGACAGCAGTCAGTTACCTTGTTACTCAAATGACCTTAAAAATTTACTTGAAAGTCTCCTTTGTAAAATCTTATTTTTCAACAATAATATTAAACTAATACCTATAATAATTAATGTCAAATTCAATGTTTATGCTCAAGGAGCTAAAAAGAATGTGAAAGCAGTCTGACTACTCCTTTTAATCTAACCTCTAACTAGATCTTCGATGACCTGAGACAATATTTTGACCACCTCCTCATTTCGTAGCTGGGCCAGAAGCATGGAGGATACAGAAAGTATATAATCCCCTACCAAGATGGCCTGCAAAGAAAAGGTAATTTTTGAAAAGTTCCATATCAAACATCAAAGCAAGATTTTTGAAATTGCCTGATGATTTTTTTTTCTAAAACAAAATATTAAGGCACTGTTTAATATGAAACAATAGTGGAGTTTGGTCTCAATCCCTTAATCAAGGGAATTTTAGTAAGAAACAATAGCTATTCTTTTTATCATTTTTAAATGAACAATAAGAATTTTCAACAGTTGCAATTTTTTTCCCCTCAGAAGTGGCCAAAATAAATTTTAAAGTGAAGAAAATACATTTTTTAGCTATGGACAGAAAATTGATAATTGCGAAATGCAGTAAATTTGACAGTGCTGTGGTCAACTGTTTGCCAATTAAATTCTCACTTGTTACAGTTATCTCTCCACACCAGTGTTAAATTTTAATTGTACATATGAGCATAAAATAATAATCATGTAAATAATCGTAGATGAAGATATAAAGGTTACTGATTAAGAATAAAGATATTCCAGTTCATGCTAGTTTGAAAGAATTTTTTATTAGATCCAAGTTCCCTAAAAAGAAATGATTGATTAAAACATTATAAATATGAGAGTTTTACATCCATGCATGAATTCCCCCCACCCCCAAACATGACTACTCTATTGCTCCATATATTGATACAGTAAAACACACTTACAATAAACATGCTTATAATGAATTTAAGCTCGCAGGGAAGTGGTTTTCATTCCCTTGTGGCTTTAAAATATATCAAGAACTTCATGGATGTGACAAATTATGTTTATAATGAAGCGAAATCATCTGTCCCTGGCACTTTGTTATAAGTGTGTTTTACTGCAATATCAGCTTACAAAGTTGGTGCCTAAGAAAAATTGTCCTGGCTTCTAAAAATTTGCACTGGCATATAAATTTTTTTTTGCTTTGGAGCCAGCTGGCACCTAAATTTCATAGGTTACTTTAAAGCCTGAGACTAGGAGTTAGCTCCAAGTATGACTGGTAGTAAGCATCCCAAGATACATCATCCTTTCATATTGGTCCAATTCCTTTTGGTTCTTGGTGGAACTTAGGGCCCAATTAATGCTTATATATTAACTTGAAGAAATCCTGCTCCAAAAACTTTAAGCTGGCCTATTCCAGTAAAAATATGTCAGATTCAGTATCAAGCATTTATAAAAAGCTTCCTAACACAGCACATAAAAAGTATGGGTAATAGTTACTTGAAATCTGACAAATTTTTAACCTGGAATTCCGGCATTCCAACATAAGGCTCAATTCCATTGAGGTAAGTGGTAGATCTTAGTTTATGTGAATCACTCTTCATCTACATAACCATGCATACTCTTCATATGCTGTCTGATTTCTGTGTAGAATAAGACTTCTGTTTTTATACCCAACATATATACTCGCCTATAAGTCGGTCCGCCTGTAAGTCGGTTGTATTTTTTAAGTTTAAATTAGAGGGATTGACCTGCTGAAATACCAATCTTTTCAAAACTCATGTATAAGTCGGATAAAGAGTTTTGGACCAAAGTTTAACTCCCAAAAAACTGACTTATAGGCGAGTATATAGGGTACCTTTCTTTGCCCCCATCTGTTGTCTACTGTGGGTTTTCCGCGTCTTGTAGAGGAGTTGTCTATCACATCATCATGTACTAGACTGGCAGTGTGAATCATTTCTGTTATCATGGCTACTTGCTTTTGGGACTGTGAAATTCTGCAAATAAACTTCCTCATGTATACATCTGCTCTGAACTTTACAATAAAATTACTACATAAAGTTCCCCAAAACTCATGCATAAAGTTCACTAATATATCACAAAGGTGCATTTGTTTCTATATTTAAGGGGAATTTTTTTGTGAAACCATCAGGTATTCTTTTTTATACATGTATCATTCTACACATAAAATTTCAGCGGAATAGGAAGGTAATTTTTAAACAATTTATTCCTTCTTTCTAAATTAAAATTTGAAAGAAAAAAAAACACAATAAATTGTATCTCTTACATTAAAGAAAAGTAAAACAATAATGTTAAATTAAGTACAAGAAGATAAGGAATCTGAATGTTATTTGAATGGAATAAAAGAAATCTAATTTCTCATATGTTATTAATTCACAGTCTGTATCTGATCAGGCTTTCATGTCCATGGTGGATATTAATCATTAATAGAATTTATAATTACCAAGTTTATAGTTCAAATATTAATCCAAGAAGTTATAATATCAGAGTTTGAAGCATTAAGCTTTATGTACAAAGACATTCATTATTCTAAGTGGTTATAAAACTTCATTCTTAATGAAACCAGGATTGAATTTCTCATGTATCTCTACAACAAAGTACAATTTATACTGCATCTTGTTGGTTTTCATCAATTCTTTCAGCACCCTTGGTATTTACACATACAATAACTTACACATCTGAGGTGTTCTCATGAGCATTGAGGGTTTTTGCCATTAGGAGCACTATCAGAGGCCGAAAAGTTTTCCCTTGTCCATCAAAGTAGTATTGTGCCATTTCTCTCAGCTCAGACAAATGTGTTCTAAATGTCTACAATTGAAAGGGAAGATTATTTTGATGACTTGAATTGGAAGAACATGACCATCAATTATGCAGAATAAAGAGATAATATTAGTGTAATATAATCTAATATTTCACATAATAAGTATTGGCATTAGGTTTTTGTTTGTCTTTGTTATTTTTGTTTACATCTGTATACATATGCATCAATGTTCATAGATTTACAATTAATAGTAAGTGGATCATTACCTTATTTATATTGTTACATATATGATCAATCTCTGGTTTAGCCAGCTGGAATGGATTTATGTCATTTTTGGAATCTGTATGAAGAGTATGTGAAGAAAGTCCTCTCTGCTGCACAATGCGAAGTTTGCAATGAGAAACCTAGAGAAAATTCAAGTAAGATAAAGCACTACTGATCAATCCACATCATTTTTAATAACTTGATAAACAGGTTGGGACCAATTGCCCAAATGGGATATAATAGCCCAAATGGGATATAAATTTACAGTGCAAAATATGTACATTTATAATTTAGTTAGGAATATTATATAAATCTGCATCAAAATACTTAAAAAGCAAAAACTTTTGGTAAACAAGTCTTTCTTTATTCCCACTGTTTAGGAGATTGATCCCTCAGAGGATGCTAGTAAACTTCTTGGGGATCAATCTCACATATAGTAGGGTAGAGTAGAAAAATTTGCTTGCCAAATGTCTTATTTTAAATCCTACTGTCACTGCATCCTACAATAAAAGGGATACAACGTTGCTTATCTATAATCTAAACTTACTACATGTATACTTAATGCAGTTTTATTCAAAATTATAAAACTGAATATCCATATGACAATTCAAATATTATGTTTTGATAAACCTGAACCAACAACAAGCCATTGGCAGGTTTTTTTCACAGTCTAGAAAATTATGCTATAATTTAAATATCATATTTTAACAATAAGTCAGCAAGAGTACTCATTTGTTTATCTTATGCAACATCAGCTGTTCAAGGTTGTATAATAATAGAGAAAATTCGGGTGTTCCTTTGAAGCACCTATATTAGATAACCTAACATTTATCAACAATTCCAAACACGCTCTATATATGAAGTACCATATGTAAAATATTAAGTTTAATATTACATATGACAACGCTGATAATGCACCATCCTGTTGAAAATACTCACTGTGAAGGTCGAACCTCGCCGGTTAAAAACCGATCAATTTGTGTGATGAAACCTTACCTGCCACGATCTACGTTCCCTCGCTGGTTGGGTATTAAGTGTGTTGTTTCTAGAAATACTACACGTTGAAAAATACCTTTTTAAACATTGTTTTAATACTAAAACATCACGTAATTGTATATTCAGTCTGCTCGAAACGGAAGCCATGCTCAGACGGTTTCGAATTCAGAATATGAAGAATGTCATGCCCGACACGATAGATTTTAACACCCTCATTTTTAGCTCACCTTTTAGCTTTTCTGATCACCTGGTGTCCGTCGTCCGTAAGTCCGTCCGTCTGTCTAGCTGTCTGTCCGTCCGTCCGTCCGTCTGTAAACTTTTCACATTTTCAACTTATTAGGCCAAATAAAAAAATATGTGTGGTTCCGGTTATCCAACCTTCCCTATTTTATACTCCCGACCCTAAACTTTTTTTGGCAATTTTCACATTTTTTCCGAAATTTCGCCTTAACTGTGAAATACAGGTAAGAAAAAATAAAAAAGTACTAAGACAAACTGGGAATTTCTTAATAATAGTATTGTAAATACAAACCTTGAAAATTGATTAGGTGTTTTTATAATGATTAGTTAATTACACAGTATACTAAGGCGAAATGGGAATATCATATTTCACAGTTAAGGCGAAATGGGAACTCCAGTATTTGGACAGGTAATTAGGTTTTGTTTTGATTTTTGTTTTTTTTTTTTGGTTGTCAGAATTTTTTGGGGGGAAGTTGTCCCCTTTTTGAAACCGTTGCCTCGGGCCTAGCTGCCAAAAATGATTCGCGCCCGGATGTTTCGCCCCAAGAATCGGCGTGAATTATCTCACATTATTTTTACTATTTCCTCATATTGTTATTTATCTTAATTATTAGTTATAGAAGAACATTATTATGTTGTGTGCACACATTCATGACTTAAGAATATGCATTGCCAGAAGTAATTTAAGGGAGCCGACTGGGGTTTTAATGTGTGAAAACTACAATAAAAAACATTTTTCATCGGCGGTGTATATAGAGGGTCCTTAAATGGTAGGTCAGTCTAATTACACAAAAGTACCCTGAAAATAGGGTGTAGTGTAGAGAGGGTCCTTAAAGCCCCCCTTTTTTTCAAAAAAGAGAGTAACACCGCCCTCACAAAATAGGTTTTTCGAGTTTTCAGGCATAAAAATTGTCCACATACGTTCTTAAAAAAATGTTGCGATCAGTGAAATGTGAACCGCTAAAAGTAGTAATTTGCAAAGTTTATCACATATACAAATGGAATGCGCCCTTTTTGGTAGATTTGTCAATCAATTTCAACTTTGACCTTGACCTTAGAGTTTGACCTACTTTTCAAAAAACTTTAACCTTGACCATAATTTTGAACAGTCATTGCTAGGGCTTTCATATTTCACATGTGTATTTCTTGTAAAAAGACATTCCCTTAGGTACCAACAATTTTGACCCTTTGAACTAGACCTTGGAGTGTGACCTACTTTTAAAAATCGTTAACCTTGGCCATAAATTTCGAACAGTTGGTGCTAAGGCTTTCATATTTCACAACTGTATTTCTTGAGACAAGACCTTCCCTTTTGTACCAATAGTTCTGAGCGTTTATCCCTGACCTTGGAGTTTGACCTTCTTTTGAAAAACTTGAACCTTGACCATTTCTTTTGGATGGTTGGTGCTAGGGCTTCATATTTCACATGTGAAATTCTTGAGACAAGACCTTCCCTTGGGCACCATTAATTTTGACCATTTTAGCTTGACACTTGATCTACATTTGAAAAAATTTAACCTTCGCCATAACTTTTCAACGGTTGGTGCTAGGGATTTCATATTTCACAGGTATATTTCTTGAGACAAGACCTTTCTTTGGGCGCCAACATGTTTGATATCTTGAACTTAATCTTGGATTTTTTTTTACTTGCATTTGAGAAACTTTCACTATCACCATGAGCTGCCATACGGGGACATGAGAAACTTTCACCTCCGCCATGAGCTGCCATACGGGGTCATCAATGTTTCACAAACACATCTTGTTTTAATTCTTTTTTTATGCCCCCGTATCGGGGATATATAGTTTTTGCCCTGTCCGTCCGTCTGTCTGTCTATCTGTCTGTTTGTCCGCAAAAAACTTTAACATTGCTCATAACTTTTGATTGGTTTGAGCTATGGCTTTCATATTTCCCATGTGTATTAACTGCCTTTCCTTGTGCATCATTAAATTTGACCATTTGACCTTGACCTTGACTTTTTTTTTTGAAAAACCTTTTCCATATTTTTTCAATGGTTGCTGCTAGGGCTTTCATATTTCACTAGACCTTACTTTGGGTACCAGCTTATTTGATTTGCATTTGAGAAAGTTTAACTTTCGCTATAAGTTGCCATACGGAGGCATCTTTTTTTTACAAACACATCTTGTTCTTTCTTCTTTTTTTTCAAAATGGTGGTGCCAGGGTTTAATTTGTTTTCGTGTTTATTTTTTTTTCGGGGGGGGGGGGATTAAGAGTTAATGTCACCACTATTATATCCCCCATTGAAAAATGAAGTCTATATAGTGATGGGGTTGTCCATCAACATAAGTCTGTCCTTTACATCCTTTACACTTCTTTACACTTGGGGGTAGTCTTCCCTTATCTGCAACTCTTACCACCACTGAATGCATAAATTTTAATGAAACTTTCACAAATCTTTATTACATAGTGGCATTGTGCATTTCCTATTTTAGGTTTTGGTCGGACACGGTATCTGGGGTTTCCCAAGACACTGCCATTCTTTCTGTAATATTGATGGTATCCATCTCTTATATGCTCATCTCCTCATGTACCACTGAATAAAAATATATTTTGATCCGACAGACATTTAGGGTTTCCCATAGCAAAACATGGACTTTGTCATTTTTTGTTTAACACAGGAAAGTGAATAAAAATATATTTTGATCCGACAGACATTTAGGGTTTCCTATAGCAAAACATGGACTTTGTCATTTTTTGTTTAACACAGGAGGGGGGGGGGGGACCAATTTCTTATCCGCAACTTCTCCTGTACCACTTAACAAAATTTAATGAAACTTTCACAGAATCTTTATTTCAAAGTGCCATTTTTATGGCATGTCAAACGTTGCAATATTCGATCTTTTCCAATTGTATTGTATAATTTTCCATTTGTATAGTAAAATTTTCCATTTATTCTATAATTTTTCATTTGCATTGTAAAATTTTTATTTGTATTCTATATTTTTTATTTGCATTTTATGCGTTGCATTGTCAAACATTGCAATATTCTATCTTTTCCATTTGTATTGTACAGTATAAATATCAATACCAGAAAAATATCAATATTGACCGAGGCGAAGCCGAGGTCAATATTGATATTTTTCTGGTGAATAACAAACCATATTCACCACCGAAAGAGTCCATAATTGTTTTATTATATAGTCCGGATTTGAATAAATAAGACATTGGAGGTTGAATGATGATACCACTTCCATTTACGAACTTCTGTCGTAGAAAAATTAAAAAAAAAATGTTCAGATTACAAATTATACCTTCCGTGTTTTCCTTATGCTGTTTGTAAGACATCGTAATGTTTAGAAAATAATCCTGCGATAGGCTTGGCTTATGTTTTTCCTGCTCAGATACACAGCTGGCTTCGGCCGTTGCAACCATTGTTTACAACGCTGTTTGAGGTGTTGATTGTGACGTCACAATGCCGCTGCACGCGCACCGACCCTCCGGTGAATACGGCTTCAAAACCAGTGAATATGTAGTGTTATGAACTGTTTGCGTTTGTATCTAGATTATATAGAGACTATAAATAGACTATATAATAATTATTTGTATTCTATAATTTTCCATTTGTATTATGATTTTTTATTTGTATTGTATCATTTTTATTTGTATTCTATCATTTTTCATTTATATTCTATCATTTTTCATATGATGTATTGTATAATTTTTCATGTATTGTATAATTTTTTATTTGTATTCTATAATTTTCCATTTGTATTCTATAATTTTCAATTTGTATTGTATAATTTTACATACAAATGGAAAAGTATACAATATAGATGAGATATTATACAATACAAATAGAAAATTATATACTACAAATTGAAAATTATATGAACATTATACAATTCAAATGGAAAATTATACAATACAAATGAAAAAAAAAACATAATACAAATAACAATTATACAATACAAATGGAAAATTATACAATACAAATAAAAAAAGTATACAATACAAATGGAGAATTATTGAATGCAATTTAAAAAAAAATACAATGCTATGGTATGTCAAATGTTCAATCTTTTCCATTTGTATTGTATGATTTTCCATTTATATTCTACAATTTTCCATTTGAATTGTATAATTTTTCATTTGTATTGTATAATTTTTCATTTGTATTGTATAAATTTTCATTTGTATTCTATAATTTTTATTTGTATTCTGTTATTTTCGATTTGTATCATATAATTTTCAATTTGTATTCTATAAGTTTCCATTTGTATCAATTGTATAATTTTACAATATTAAATGGAAAAGTATACAATGCAAAAGGAAAAATATACAATACAAATGAAAAATTTTACAGTACAAATGGAAACTTACACAAATTGAAAATCTACAATACAAACCATTTGTATTGTATAATTTTCCATTTGTATTGATTAATTTTCCATTTGTTTTTTTTTAATTATTTGTATTGTATAATTTTTATTTGTATTCTATAATTTTCCATTTGTATTGTATAATTTTCAATTTCTATTGTATAATTGGAAAATTATAGAATACAAATGGAGAATTATAGAATACAAATAAAAAGTTATACAATACAGATAAAAAAATTATACAATACAAATAAAAAATTATACAATAAAAATGAAAATTATACAATACAAATGGAAAAGATCGAATATTGCAACGTTTGACATACCATAGGAGCATATGCTTAGTTTTGCCCGATACACTGTAGAGCATCCATAAAGGACTAAAATCTTTGAAAACCATGCATTTGAACATAAAGTGCTGTTTCTTAAAATTAACTGAACGATAATTAGAAATATTTTTCAAAACTAAATTCTTTTTTCTTCAATTGACATGAAAGATTAAATCCATATTTAATATTTTTCAAATGATTTTTTTAGCCAGTGTACAACCCTTAATTTCATGAATTTGTAAATATTTACCAAAAGTCTTTGTGACAGTGTTTTCAATCCTTAATATGATGATGAACATTAGTTGTGTTAGGAGCCTGGATCGCCGGTTGTTTGGGTCCGGATTAAAGCCATCTAGAACGGAAGATCCTAGGTGGGGTCAAATGAGTGCACTTTATATGCAAATGTACAAAATGCTGGATTTTGATTGGTTATTGGATAGGGGGTGAACTGAGTGCATTTTATGGGGTTTGGCTGGGGTGTTTTGAGTCTGGGGTCTTTTTCCCCCAAATCCTGGATGGCTGGGTGTTTTGAGTCTAGGTGGGGAGATAGGCGGGTGTTTTGAGTCCAGGTGGGGAGATAAGCGGGTCAATGGAGTGCAGATAGGGAGGTCAACCAGTACAGGTAAGGGGGTTCATAAGTACACACCATCATCTACAGCTTTTTTAATAAAAAAAATAAGTTTTTAAGTTTTAAATCATTTAATATATGTCTGTATTCACACAAGAATACAAAGTCAATTTTTCTTCTGCAGTTTCAGTTTGTCCTTCACAGTCATATTCTGGAGTTCCCGTTTCAGTTTGTCCTTCACATTGGTAGGAATCAGGGTTTTTCTCCTATGTTTTCTCCAAGTTTTCTTTAACTAGGCCTAATCCCTTGTCTTCTATGCAGTCACTAGCCCAATGTCCTAAATTTGCCACACAAGTCTTTCCGTTTCCTAGGACAGCCAGGTGCCCAATAACCCAGCTCTTTGTATATGAAGCATATGTCTGTCTCTTTAGTCTTTTTCGTAGCTCCTGTAGCTTCTTTTTTCTAGTGAGGGACTCTCATTTTGTTCTTAACGTTGTTCACTTTTGTTTCCAATCTTGCCATTTTTCCAAGTATAAGCTAAGTCCTCCATTCTGAGGAAAATTTGAGGTGGAACATAATTAGGATTCATCATTGCCCTTTTTTCAGGATACCCGGACCCTTCTTCATAATTTGTCTCATTAAATTAAAGAGCAGGGTCAATCGCATCTCAAAATCCGCTCCTTTTGTCCTTTGTTGGTTCCCAGCTAAACAATAGGAGACGGGGACCAGATTAACAAGGACTTTGATCGGAATGACGTTTTCAATCACGTGGTAACACATAACATGGATGGTAGTAATACGTATGTTTCTCAAGTAAACAATTGTTGCAACTAACGTCTTTGGCTACTACTTGCGGAACAGTGTTTGCAGGAACAATGGAGGAACCAGCAGAAGCCCTTCCTGAGGAAACTGAGGAGGATCCACAAGGTAAGGATCGGGCAATGCAAGGCATGGATCGGGGGTAGGAAGTCTATGAAAGAAGAATGGGTGTATGCCAAATAACATGAGTCATTGGAGACCATGAGGTTTCTGACACAAAGCATCATGACTAAATTTATACATCTGACCATTTACTAAAAGTACTATTGAAAACTTTTCCTTTGCAAATGCATTATGCATTATGAGCGTGCTTGATTATAAATATTTATAACCTTGGCTTAAGACATCTATTTGTTCGTGTTGCACTGCAAGTAGGGTATTGCATAAGCATATGCAATGAAGAGGAAAGAGGACATCCTCAGTCATTTGTTAATGAAGATGACGACAGGTGTGTGCCTAGCCCGGTTGCTCAAGTTGCATAGAAACCTGTGACCTAGATGCACCTTGGAGTTAGATTATTGATTACACACATAAAGAACCTACACCCAGTTTTACTGAAGAACGAAAGGAGCTTCACTTTGTATTGATTATTTTTCACCTGAGAATGTCAAATATTTCGAAGTGCAAGGGAATACCTTACATTTTTGGAATAATTTCATTTAGAGTCGTTTAGAACCTTATGATCTTTTAATTCTATGTCAGATGGAGACCGAGAATGCAAATCCTAGCTTGGTACATTCATTTCTTGCAAAGTAACTAGAAAATGTTTAATCTTGCATTTGCAAAACTAGGATCATCACTGTAACACCAGTCTTTTGGTCCCTCCTTTAAAATTACAGTACTGTAGGAGGTTTAACTTTTGTTTCTTTCTACATGTTCTTTAACGATGCATTTATTTAACATTGACATTATGCATGTTATTTTTGTTGTCTTCAAATGTTTTTGTTGAATGCCTGCAGCCTTGTTGCTACATATTGGTATAAAATATATATTATATATATATAATTTGTTATACGGTGTGACTATTGTGGGGGAGGGCAGTTGTATACCATCAAAAACTATTACATAGCTTACACTTTTCACTTTCATCCACCTCTTCAAACTTCTTACCGCATGAGACCCAGTCTAGACTGTGATTAGCTGCAGATCTATAGCTCGCTGGTCAGAAAAAATTGGGATGGATGACCAGAGAGCTACAGTGCCACCCATTGAAAAAATTGTATATTATTGCACACAAAAAAGTGGGCTGTTTCTTGATTTATTTATTTGTATTTTTAAACTGCCATCTCAAAATATTACTTACTGTGTGTTCCTAAGATATTGTTTAACTATTTCCACATCAAAACATTTCCCAAAATCGTTGTTTATAGCCAACCTGGACCTAAAATCTGGACCATCCAAAATTTCTCCTATTAATACTGCCATTTTGGATGACAAGATAATTCGTCAATAAACGCGCTTCTTGCAGATGTCAAGTACAAGAGTAGTTGATAGGGTTCTAAGGAATTTTTTGAAATCGAGCTTTAATTTGTGTAGTTGAGGTAAGAATTTGGAGAAATTAATCAAGAACCGAGTGCAACTTTTTGTGCGCAATAAATATACAGTTTTTTCTATGGGTGGCACTGTAGCTCTCTGGTCTGTCAACATTTTTTTTTTCTGGGGAGCTATAGTTCTGCAACTAGACTGTGATGTCATATGACATTGTATGTTAGTTACACTTCTATAACGGACTCTAAATAATGCAATATTTAATGAAAGGTAATTTGTAAAGAAGATGAAATGTTTTTGTTTCTTTTAAAATCTCCACTCGAACTAAATTTTCACAGTAACTGTGGGCCTGATACATTCACTTTTATCGCATGGAATTGTGGTACAAAAGAATTCTGGAAAGGTTTCACACAAAAATTTGCTTAGCAAATGTACAGATTTCAGTTTGAATTTCTTAATTTGTTCTTACACATTAGTCTAATGAGCTCGCTGCACTCCCTATATCATTATTGAAAGAGCAGGTGGTTATTCAATTACATTGAATTTTATTATATTATAAGTTTTTATATTATTATATTAGCAAGATTGATAAAAAAGCTTTGTGATAATTATCTATGATAGGATAGTATCACATGAACAAAAAAATGAATCAACCCAGAAAAACCATGAGGGATTTTTCTTTATGAACTTTATTACATTCCTGGTGACATACAATGTAAGACTACAGAAAATTTTTACTTTTTGGGAAAAGAATTCACAGAGCACCACTTGAATTTCCTAATGATGCCAGACAAACATTCCAGTATTAAATACCTTCCAGCTATACATCATGATACATACTTTTGATTTTTCACCAATTTATTAAATGTTGCTAGGTATACCAAGACTTGTCAATTTTTTGTACTAAGTATTTTGTTGCAAATTGGATCAGGCTCAGTAAAATCTGAAAAACCTTGTCCAGGCAGCATTAAACCTTTAGGTATGAAAATGATGCAAAGTCCATAGGACTTAGGTACAGGCTATGGTGGGAGTTGGAGGGTGCAGCAGTACTTCAAAATCCAGTAAATTTATCTCCATCATGTGTACATGTTAGTTCTTATTCAGTAGAAATGATACTGTGTGTCACTGTGTACTTAATTCAATGTAGTCAAATTTACTGCAGGTGTACAATAGTTGATTGACCTTTTGGAATAATCATGATCATTTATCATTATTTTATTTAGTATTCTTATGCATCACATATTTAAGGAGAAATCATATTGTAGCAGTATTTATTAATTAATTAGTGCTCAAACCACAGCAAAAAGGCACCAAATATGAATTCTGCGGACAAATGGCACAAGTACAAATTATCTGGAGTATCTTAACTTTTAACAACCTCCTACAATCTTCTGTAACATATAAGTCCCACACCTTTGCATTAGTATTATCATATGGTACTAAGGCTGCTTAAGTAAAGGGAGTAATCCTTTAAAGCCATTCCCTTTATCTCTCTCCTCCCACTGTATCTCTTGAAAGGTTAATTATGGAAATATGCAGTGTTCTTTACATTCTTAGACAGACATGTCTCATGACAAGAACAACTTAAGGTTCATCAACCCCTCTGATAAGAGAGATAACTCTCATTGAGATAAATGACTATTATTCCTTTAAGAGCTATTCCTGTCAAATTTGGCCCCACAAGGTATTTTGAAATTGTGTGTATTTTATTTATACTAGATTGCTATTGGAAAGTCACTAGCTTTAAAGCAAATTTATATTAGCAAACAGAGGGATGATAAACCTTAAAAACATTGCCAGGTAGCATCAGAGATTATGTATATCCAATAGTGTATGTAGTTAGAGAATCTATATAGCATTCAATGTTAAAGTGGAGGGGAAGGGACAATATATGTATGAGTTTAAAAGCTTAATTGTGTTCAGTGTGAAAGGAGGACTTTGGACCAATGGCATACATTAGTTTGAAGCATTTATGGCATCCGGTGTTAAAGAGGATGGAAGGATGCAGTATAATATTGTATTGCTTAAAGATCTTCAGTTCATTGAAAGCTGGGTCATGAGGTGTAAACATGCATAGTGTGCACCTGACTTTATATTTAAAAGTAAAAGGTAAACGTGAATTACAAATGCCATGAGTCTCATTGATGAAATATAAAGATATAAACATGTACATGTTTAAGCAAAGGTCTGAATCAGTATGAATTTCATGCATGCTTATGGTAAAATTTTAAACAATGTCAATGTAAACAAAATGCTTGTGTAAATTAATCCCCTTGTAGAAATTAAATGACTGGAGCAAAGAGTACTTGAGCATGATTATTGATATTAAGTATATACATGTATTCATGGTACATGTATTAAGAGTGCATATTTAAAAGCATGGATCATTCTTTGAAAATAAAGTTGTAACATGTATTTATAACCAACAGTGAATGACTGAACAGAGCGTTGACCTTTAATGATTATATTATGGGAAATTTTGTACAAATGTGTATGGGTGTGGATTCATTGTAGACATAGTTTAAAAGAATTAAATAAAACATATCAATCAGAATTTAAATATTTTGTTGATTTTATTGCTGAGTGCTTCCATGACATACCGTCTCCATTCCCATATACATGTACATGACTCCTGCCCAAGGGGTTCAGGCTCCAAGACAGGGCTTTATATAGTATTTTGTAATAATAAATTTCATGTATAAAATCTTCTTTACCAGCTAACATCTAGGAGACAAACTGAGTGGTTAGCAATAACAAGCAAGTGATCTCGACATAACTGTGAAATTCAGAACCTCTGTCTTGGGGGTTTAGACAACAGGGTGGTGATATATTCTGCACACAGTGAAAATACATTTAATCTATGAGAATCATCCTTTATTAGAAAGCATTTTGATGACAAACAGAATGCATATCAATAAAAAGCAACTGTGATCTTGACATAAATTGTGAAATATCTGACTTCTACCCAAGAGGTTTATGCCTTAGGGTGGGGCTTCTATGCAGTTTGTGGTGAAAATTCATATCATCTCAAAAATCTTTCTCTTTACCAGCAAGCATTTATGAGCCAAGCTAAGTGCATAGCAATAACAAGTAAGGAGGTGTCATAAACTGTGAAATATTTGTACCCTGCACAAGAGGCCAGGCCTCAGGGAGGGACTTATAAATGCAGAATATTATGCATTAATTTAACTAACAATCATATGCCTCAATATAAATTGTGGAAATTATTACCCATATAAATAATGCTGAAGATGTTCAGTTCCTTGGGTAGAGCAATATGTAATATGTGTATATAGAGAAAGTTGAAAATTATCTTTAAAAATAATTTGCTAGCTGCCATCTAAATGATAAACAAGCAAATTAAGCCCCACCCCCCAACCTGAATTTTGAATTTTATGCCCTCTGCCATTGGGGAATTCAGGCCTTAAAGGGGGAGGGGGGCTAAATGTTGTTTTAAAATGCATTTCATCTCCTTGAAAATCATATTCTTTACTACCAAGGAACTAGAAGACAAAGTTGGGTTGAGGGGGATTATTTGATTTTTTTGGGTGTTTGTGTGTCAAAATCAAAAGTCTGCTACAATGTATTGAAGATACACTGTACAGCAGATGCGGCAGTTTCTCAGATGACAAAGTTGGGTTGAGAAGGGGGTTATTTGAATTTTGGGAGGATCCAAGTCCTCTGCAATGTATTGAAGTTACATTGGACAACAGGTGCTTCAATTACTCAGGTGACTGTCAAGACCCATGGGCCTCTCATTTGTTCTTTTTGGAATAACAAAAAATTAGTACAAGTGTACATTCAAGTTAGTCTCAGTATTTACGGTTAGGGTGGGGCCAAAATGCATGTAGATGTGCAAGTTTGATGTAGAAATATATGATGGGAACATTTTTGAGAAACATTTTAAAATTACATGGATGCAATTACTCAAATCAATATGTTTGATCCCTGTATAGCTTCTGTTTTCTTTGAACCATGAACATTAAGTATTTTTTCTCTAATTTAGTTGCCATAAAGAAGGTTAAACCTCCAAATAAGAAAAGATTTGAAGAAGAGTTGGAACAACTCAGCAGTAGAATACGTGACCTGGAGAATGAATTGGTAGGAAGTTTTAATTTTAGTTTTAGACACATCTATTGTGAAATCATCTGTTCTTGTAAAATAATTGATTTAAGAAGTAAAAAAAAATGCAGTAATATGACAGTTTTTCAAGATAATGTAGTAACTGTATAAGAGAATATTTTGACTTTAATGAACTTTCCAGAAAAAACTGCAGCCAAGTCAGAAAGGTGACATTGCAAGTAAAAGGAGTGAGAAAATCGAGATCATCAACACATTGAAGACAATAGATACAGAAATCCGAGCTCTCACTGCAGATGTTACAAAGAGGGTAAATTTCATGGAATTGCTTGGTTTTATTTCCAGATACAAGGCAAATTTAAATTTGATATGGGTAGAATTCTCATATGTTTGTCTTTACAGAGAGCTGCATTAGATAGGTTACAGTCAAACCTAGTGTATAAAAATGAAAAGAAGATTGATGATGCTGTCGGGTAAGTTGAGGCCATTATTGAAACTAATGCTTTTTAGCACAAAAACTTACATGATCAGTTATTTATTGTTGGTATGCATGCTGAAGAAAGGAAAAAAAACAAATACAAATATTGTCATTGGTGGAACTATCTGAAAATGGCTAGATCAAGATTTCAGAGTTGAGATTCAACTTCCAAATTTCCTAACAAAATAAAGATTACATGTACTTACTTACAAAACTCATAAGAAGTAATTAAAGAGGACTTTTATGTAAAATTGTCTTCACATTGAAAGCTTTCTCAATTTACCAGAGGTTTTTAATTGGGAAATCCAATGTATGGAATATCATTTGTTTTCTGTCACAAGAGGATATACATGTATGTGTTATGTAAACTTAAAAATAGAAATAATAAAACATTGTACTTCTATTTTGATATAAGTAAGCAGCAAAATATTTGTTATCTTGAACATTCATGGACAAGGAGTTTACTTTTATCCAGAAAAAAATAGTTTTGGTTTTTTCTTTTCAATTGAATGATATATTTTGTATATCAGTTGACTTTCAAAATTAAGCACATTATAACTCATAATTGATAAAACAAAAGTATGTACCAGTGTATTTATAAATAAACATATGCATTTACCGGGGTACTAATAATATACCCATTGGCAAGCTAATAAGCATTTAATTGACTTCCAAGAGTGGTTGGATTCATTTACAATATGTAATGGAATGTTGATAATGTATATGCTATTCGAGAAACCAAATTTTAACACATATAGTAAATTGCATTAATGGAAAATCCTACTTTATGTTAACAATGGTATACTCTGTAGGAAATTGGAATATCAATTGAAGAGGACCAACTTTAAGCTGTCAGAAGAGAAAAAAATTGTAGCAGAAATAGACAAGCTCCAGCGCTCCAAAAAAGTTCTTGTGTAGGTATCTTTAAAGGAGAATTAATCCATCATTATACATACAAAATGTAAAAATGATTTCTATTTTTCTGTTTTATACTTAGCTTACTGTGATAGTCGTACAGGTATTTCATTGTCTCTGAATACTGATAGGAGACCATGTGTAAACGAATAGCTGACCATTTGCCTGACCTCAATTTTTTGCTCAGAGAGATTTCTCTACAGTCACTAAATGGTAAACTCTAATGATTGAGACTTTGAACAATATATATACATCATTGGGTACTGGAGTTCTAACAATAAAATATATGTAGTGAATCCAAGAAAAAATAGGACAAGAATCGCCAGGATACAAGAGGCTTACTATCATGTAAACATACATCTTTTATTTTTTATTTTAGTCAGTATGTTGCACAGAAGAAAGAAATGGATGATGTTCGAGAAAGGCAGAGACAGTTACGGGAGGAGAGAGATGTAAGTACATGTACCCTTGAAAGTATTTAAAAGAACTGTTGCAGAAATCTTTTTTTTCGTTCTGAGTTATGGTAGGTCATTTGGTAAAGTAGTTAATTTCCATTCCAGCGATTGCAGAAGGTTGTAAACCGGATAAGAATGGAAGAAGACAGCATCAGAAGAAGTAACCATGACAGGAAATTAAAGCTGGACCAGGTTAAGAGAGGTGAACTCTTAATGATAACATTGTATCAATTATCTTTTCTCTGCTAGTAGGGAGAAACTTGATATGATTCAATAATTTTATCGATTTCAAATTGAGAATTTTCTTTTTGAATATTTTTTCCCCAAATCAAATACAGTACATGTATTTCAATGAATAAAAATCATTCACTAATAAACTCTAAAGTGGAAAAAAGTGTTTCAAGACTTGTAATTTGTTGTTATGTGTTTTTTCGATGTTTAATGCTCTTTGAATGTCTTCGAGTCTTCATGCTGAAATGTTGCAAAATACCTGTATGCACTTGTAGAACTGGACGAATTACATGAAATAAAGAGGAGAATGGTCCAGGATTATAAAGCTTCTGAAAAAGAATATCAGGATGTCAAACAAGAGGAGATTAAAGTCAAGAGGCAGGAAGGCCTGATCAAGAAGCAAGAGAGAAGGAACACTATGGAGTCATTCCAGCAAGATCTGTAAGTTATAGAACTATGTAGAGGCATTTTATAGTCACAATGAATATATGAATTCATCAGATTTGAAATGTATCATAGCATTTGGCATATCATGTACAGTGTAGCATTGTAGTCCCCTTTGAACTCTGGGCACTTCTAGAGTCACAAACCTGTACATATAAAAATGGTTATATTCATATAACTGTGGGTGATTTTCTGGAGGACCACTGTAACATTATATAACAGACAGTAAAAAGACCTTTTTAATAGCAGCAGGAGATCAAATTTTCACATAGGAATAATTACGGGGAAAAAAACTCTTTAAAAATCTTCTTTAAGATTAGCTAGGTCATGATTAGTCATATTAATTTGGAAGGATCCTCAGGTAGTGTAGATTCAAGTGTGTTCAAATCATGGCCCATAGATTGGGTTGGGCCACAAAATGAGATCAAAGATTTACATAGGAATAAAAAAGGTAACATCTTTAAAATTCTTCCTCTGATGAACAGCAAATTTTTCAGAACAGGTTCTTCATGAATAGGTTGAGGGTACAAAAGGGGATCAGAATTTTACCAGGGATTATATAGGAAGAAATCTTTTCAAGATTGGCAAGACCACACTAAATCATATATATAAGCAAAACATATCTACGTTGTATGGAATCATTTTTTTTAAATTATTGAGTCCTGGGGTTAGGGTTGAGCTGAAATTAGGGACCCAAATTTTATATAATTCATGTGTACAGGAAAAATAAATCTCCAGAACAGCAGGAGTATGTTGATTGATTGATATTGAAGCATTCCAGTGTTGTGTGGATTCAACTTTGAATAAATCATAGCTCCCTTAAGGCTAGATTTTGGTCCACAATATGGAGTTAAAATTTTTGTGAAATTAAAGATGGAAATTAAAAAAATAAACCTGTTGATGAAGAACAGCAGGACTAAAATGACTCAGATGGGCATTTTGGCACATTGACCATTTGTTTGGAATATATTATTTGTGGTTTTTCTAAATATAATACATGTAATTTACAAAATATTGATAATATAATTTTTAATCTCTTTTTGAGGAAAGCAGCCATCAAAGGATATCGTAATACATTTACAAGCTCATGAAATGTTATTGATTTTAGATGTCAAGGAAAGGTTCTCAGATATTTGCTTTGTATATATACATGTACCTTGGAATATTTTAGGGAGGTTTATGGAACAGCTCGAAAGCCATTTGAAGATGAGGTGAACCTGTGTAACACCCTGATTAATTATCTGAAGAAGTTTAACACTGCAGCTGATGAGACAATAGACGACACGGAACCCTCTCCCCGAGCATCTGGCTGGTCTCTCATCAAAGGTATACTTTAAGTTTTGTTTTGTAATGAAATTTTACATTGCTCAATGGAAAAAAAGTTAGACATAAACCTAAAGTGGAGATCTTTGTATACAAATTTATGGCAACGTAATGTACATGTCTGTAAACATTGTTTAAAAAATGGTACATTCATTTGGCACATACAATTGGTGCATATTTATTGGACATAAACAGAAATGATACCAAGTTACATTAATGAGAAAAAATTTGGAACAAAAATGGAATTTGGAATAGTTAAAACCATAGTGGATTGTAGATTTATAACTCTACTCTACTTTCTATTAAGGAGTTGGGGAATCACCAGGTAACTGAGGTTTTATTAATTTAATTAGACATTATTTAGAGACAGGTTACTTTTATATCATTTTAACCAATGATGAAATGTATGTTTTAGTTGTCCTTTTGTTTTGTTCAGTATTAATCACAGTTTTCACATACTGGAACTTGATTTCAAGGCTCATTTACTCTGATCAAATTTGTCTGTCATTTACAACCCTGGATTATAACTTTGAAATAGTTAGAGGCTTATATTATTATTGTATACCTTGAGATATTTTGCAATAGATTTACAATGTACACATTAAAAAATGAGTTTGTCCCATTTAGAATTTGCTCAAAGTGTTTTGTCACATTTGGGATATGTGCCTTTTCATAGAATACGGTACTTTTTTTTTAAAAATTTGTATCTTGTGCATGAGGGCAATCCAAAGGGGGAAAAAATAAAGCAGAGAAAATACCCATTATAAGGCCAAAATAAAAAATACCTTTGTTTCCCCTAACGCGACCGACCCACTTAAATCCCGCCGACTGAAAAGTTTTTTTAAACAAGATTATTCAAATATTTTCTTTTTTTTATTGTTTATTAACTTTATAAAATACAATTTCATCAAAATCCATTTTTATCAGAACGGCAGCTTTTTTTCTACATTGATTTGGCGCCCACAACATGTGGCCACAGAGGTTAAGTTAGTGTTATAAAACTTCGGCGATGTTTCAATCTTATTATGTATCTTTAACTTATTAGAATCCTACACTCTTGAAACATTTCGTGAATAAAATATACCATGACTAAGGTTTGTTTCAATGGTATTTACAAATTTGTCTACTAAAATTAATGTACATGTAGGTACTAGTAAGCATAGCAAAGCCTGCCTCATGAGCAGATGAGGGGCCCATCTTGTGTAAGTTGTGTATACATATCAAAAAATTTCACTGCATTTCATTCGGTTTGATCTAATAAACAGTTCATGCATGATCCTAGTTTTACTATATGGGACCACAGGAGTTGTAATTCTGTCTTTGTATTTATTATTTATTTCATTTTGATAAATATAATTCAGACGTCGTTTCTTCATTCCTTTTATTTGTGGGTTAAACTTCGTGACTATAACATTAGATATAGTATGGTGTCCGGATAGGGCCATTTGCAAAAGCTCAACAGCGCGTTCAGAAAAACACGCCATCGCGCTAACAAACAACACGCCATCTTGCTATCACAATTATACGAAACACGCCATCACGCTTATACACAATATGACGTCGTGCTAACACGCTTTCAAACAACACGCTGTTGCAGTAACACAACATGCCGTCGCGCTGTCACACAACTCACTAACACAACTTTGTGATAGCGCGACGGCGTGTTGTGTGTTAGCGTGACGGCGTGGTGTGTGTTAGTGCGACGGCGTGTTTTTTTTTCTGAACGTGCTGTTGAGCTTTTGCAAATGACCCTATCTGGACACCAAAATATATGGCATTTTAGTCATTTTTAGCCGGGCTTATTGCTCAAAGAGCAATTGCCGGCTATTGTCAGCCTGTTCAATGCAGGAAGTGTTGACCCCATAGTCGCCAAATTAAAGTTACGTGTAAAAATATAGTACTTACTCTCAACCACTTTTAAGATAATACAAATGCTAAATAAAGCAACAAAAATGAAACGAAGTTTTATCTATACAAATAAACATCAGTAGTAATGACTTTGAAAACTTCAGTCCAAAGTCAAACACCATAGTTCATCTGTGTAATGTTTTTTAATAGTCAATGTTGTCGTAGCCTAGTTCTCTACAAAGATGGAGAAAAGCAGGAGAGGGAACCAGATACATACGACTCTGACCCTGATAAATTCAGAGTGTGGTTTTAGGTCCCAAAAACTAATTGGTTTATCATTTATTTTGATATTTTAAAATCAATTTTACATAAGATTTTTAACAATTTTTTCAAATAAGTTAAGATGTCATTGAACCCTTATTTTTATTATTATTATTATTATTTTTATAATTGTTTGTACATATTCTTCCAATGTCTGCAGAGCTCATTATTTAGCTGTTAATACAATGTACAGGTATGGCTCATGTAAAAAAAAAAACAGCTTTGTAAACAAGCATTCTGAGAGTATTGCATTAGCAATAAAAGACCCCTACCGGCAAGTGTAATCTGGTTCCGTTCCCGTTAAAAATTGAAAATGCCATAATTCCGTCAAAAATTAATGAAGCAGGACGAAATGCAAACTTGATCTATAACTAATCAAGGTAAAGCTACACACCAAAAATCAGCTCAATATCTACAAGTGTTTAGAAGAAAATTGCGGAAAACCCGTAAAAATTGAAAAGGTCGTAATTCCGTCAAAAATCAATGAAGCGGAACGAAATGCAAACTTGATCTGTAACTCATCAAGATACACTCACATACCAAAAATCAGCTCAATATCTGCAAGCGTTTAGGGAAAAAGTGCGGAAAACCAAGTGGGACAGACTGACAGAGGGACAGACAGCTAGACGGACGGACAGACAGACAGACGGACGGATAGACTCAGAGGAAACCTATAGTCCCCTCCGGTTTCACCGGTAGGGGACTAATAAGCCCGGCTCTCTGTACTCCTAAGTACTTTGATTAGATATGATTTGGTTGAATTAAATATTGTTATACAAGTAACTCTTTCCAGATAGTGTTAAAATCTTTAAAATTGGTTTATGTTACAGCCTCCTGAGACATCCAGTGCATTTTTCTTTAGTTAGGCCCTTGATAATAGGTAGTTTCTTTGCTTTAAAATCCCTTTAAAAATTGTTGGGTCGACAACATTTGAACATCTACCTGGTGGAGGGCTCCAAATTTAAACTTTTGCTTGCCATTTATGGCCATTGATCATTAAGCATCAGTAAGGGATCTTTTTCGCTTCAACATCTAGACTGTGACACTGGACCTCCGTCTTTATGTGCGACACTGGACCGAGCTACGTTTTTACGGTCTCATTCGACTAACCAGTCTCCACGTCCCACATCGGGACCTGTGACTTAGAATAAGCTTCTAAATTACATCCTGACTCCAAAATGAAACATTCTAGAACCACTGTGCCACGCGGAACCCTTGACATTTTGCCTGTGTAACCACTTAATGATGATAGAAGGTTTGAAAAATATACTCGGATGTCCGATGGTTGAGTATTTGCGAATCTTGTCTTTTTGTAAATATTCGATTTCAGTAAATTTACACTGGCCTGCGATATTTCATAAGTTCAAATGAATAATATTTGTGAATTTATTTACCATACATGTTGCTTTTAAATTTCATTAGGATGATATTCAGTTTAAAAATCGGTATCTTTTGTTCTTTCTTATTTATAAAGATATTATTCAATTTTTTAGAATGTATTTTCATAACTGCTGTCGGAAAAAAAAAATAATTTACCTACCTACCTACCCAACTTCAGATTTTAGGGTCGGGTTAGGGGAAACAAAGATATTTTTAATGATGGCCTAAAGTATAATGCCCAGGTCAATTTTTGTATGCATGCTTTCTACTTTAAAACTCTAAGAGAAAGCAACATTACCTACTACTAGACAGATTTTTGATGCAGGGCATAAAATACATTTATTTGTGAGCAATGTTACATTTTTATTGCTTTTGGTTGCTTATACCTTACCCATATATTCCCCCATTTAAAAATTATATGTACCTGTGCACTGTGCCACATAATATCTTAACAAAGTACATATAACAAACATTGAATGTATATGTACAATATTTCAAAAGCAGATACAATGTGTAATTTCCATCTCAATGAAATCAAATTTTTTAAGTTCTTTTTTTTTTTTTTTTTTTTTTTTTTAAATTTCCATCTCATGAAGTGATCACTTCTCAAGGAATGTTTAGGTATTTGGTAAAATTTCCAAATTTGAAGCACAGAGCACATAATTAGAGAATATGATTTTATATTGATTGTTTTATTAATTAATTGTGAATGTTATGTGTGTGATGCTTAGTAAGATTATACAACATAGCTTATTATCTTATGTTTCTGTGTAATGGTGAATAGAGGACAAGACATGCATGAAAACGTACATGTACTTACAACTGCAATTCTGTGAGATTGGGTTATAAACATATCATACAAACTGAATGTGTAAGAAAGTTGCACCATTGCCATAATTGTGAAAAATGAAAAGATTTCAAACTTCTTTAAAAATTATTATTACTCATGAAATAGTTTTTCTGAATTGATTTGGTTTAACGGAGTTAATAAGTCTTTATAGCTGGCACCCTGCATACTTTAAAATTCGGACATTTATGACTTTTTTGGTTTCATTTTTAGCTGCCATATCTAATGAACTAGAAGACGGAAAATATGTCCTTCTGAAGAAGGATGAGGATGAAGAATTTCCAGATCGCCGGCTAAGGCGATGCAAAAGACCAAGCAAGAAAGGTCGTAAACAGTCAGTGGTGAGTGTCATACATCTTAACACATTTCCCTTCAGTCAGTTCAATTCACTTCAAGGTTACAGTCATGAGCATAAATAACATAAAACTTAACATAGATTAACCCATACAAAGTAATAAATGGGAGGTAGACAAAAGCCAGAAATATCTATTTACTCATTGTTTGTTTTCTCTGATGTCAATATTATTTGAAGAAAATGGTATGTGGGTTAATTATGATAAAAAACTTGGAACATGATATTTTATTTGAAGTAATAAATCAAGCATGCATGTTGATTTTTTTAAGCCCTTTTTTGTACAAGGAAATTTCAGTGATATGCATTTATCTGTTTGAAATGCCTTAAGTTTGCAAATTTTTCAACATGTTTGGTTTGTTTGCTTTCAGATGAAGTCATTGACCCACCCACCACAGATTTTCTCCCAATTTGCCTCACTTAACCTAAATGCCCCTTCAAATATATCAGAAATTCCAGCATCTCTAGAACAGCTCCATGCTAGAAAGGCAAGTAGAACAAGTATTTTTTACTAGCTTACCTGAGCAAAAGGCTCAAGTGAGCATTTATGATCAAAGAGTGTCTGGTGTCATCTCCGTTAATTATTTGTACACTTTCACTTTTTGAATTTCTTCTCCAGAACCACTGGAGCATTCAACCAAACTTGCCACAAAGCATGTTTGGATGAAGGGAATTCAGATTTATTTAAATGAAAGGCCACATCCTCTTGCACAAGGAAATACATGTAATTCATGAGTGGCATCTTCAAAAAATATTCTCAGAAACCAGTGGGCCAGGAGACAAATTTTTATCGGAAAGCTTCTTCATTGAATATAGATTCAAGTTTGTTCAATTCATAATCCCCAAACTTTGAACCCTCAGTAGGGGTTCAAAGTTTTGCATGGGGATATATTTACAAAAGAATCTTCAAAAATATTCTTTTCAAGAACAAGAGGGTTATGATTCATATTTTTAAAATATGCAAACATCCTCTGGTAGTGCAGAATTTAATTTCTTCAAATCATGGTTCCCTCTGCCCCCTGGGAATAGGGTGGGCGAAATATAGGTAAAGTTTTACATGGACATTTGAAATAACATTTTTAAAAAAATTCTTGGGAACAGCAAGGCCATGATAAGTCATAATTACATCCTTTTCTTGAGCTTGTCAATGTCCGCATTGTACATAACATGCATATTATGCAACCATCCTTATGTAGTGCAGAATTAAGTTTGTTTAAATTGACTAGGGCCAAAACTTTACTTGGGAATGTAGAGAGGAAAATCTCAAAGCTTCTTCTGTAGAACAGCAGGGCCACAATTAGTCAAACCATCCCCAAGTAGTGTAGTATTTGCTTAAAGTCTGGACCTTGGGGCATAGGAGAGGAATAGGGAGTCAAAGTTTTACATGGAAATAAAGAAAAATCTTTAGAAAGTATCCCATACCCCTCTTGATTGGGTGCATGTTCATATTGTAAAATTACTTATTTTTTCAGCTTATTAACGTGTGTATGCTTTATATTTATCAAGTTTATAAATAGTTTACATCTTTTACATGTATCATTTGATTTTTATAGAAATATTATGAAGATGGTGCTCAGATAAAACTGAGAGTATACACCCCATCTGTAGAGGAGAATAGCGATGGTGGAGTGTCAACCAGTGATGGTATATCAGCAACAGAGAGTGCCATGTGTGAGATGTCTCGCCAGGCTAGCCACACAGAGAGCATGGAAAATGCCAGTGGAACAGACCAGTGTCTAGACGAGTTGGTCCGAATGTCCGAGACTCTGAGTGAAAAATCAGAATACACAACGGAACGCAGCAGCTCCGATTCCACAGTAAGGTCATCTGACTCGGATCACTCTGGTCACTCAGTTAGAGAGATTTCCAGAGAGTCCAGAGATTCTGAAAATATGGCTGCAGCGAGTGTTCCTTTGGCTGAGTCCTTGGTTGTTGGGCAGAGAAGTATTGATTCTTTAACTGATGACTGCTTTCAGCCAAATGACCTCGTTACAAAACAAACAGTGGGTCATATATGTGACAGTAATATAGTGCCTCCAGTAAAGATAGAGGATAGTGATATAAAACTGGTGGAGGGTGCCACATGTGGTAATGTGGTGCTTGGAGCAGGAGAGATGATGTCAGCATCATGATGTTAATCTCAAGAGATGACAGCGGGCTGTCATTGTCAGCTGACTAGGTGTTGATTGTCAGCTGGGTTTCTGACGAAGAAAACACAGCGTGTCAGCTGAGTTTATTTATGATTATGATAAACTACCAGTGGTCTAACTCTTTGTTGTCATTTAAAAGAGCCCACAGCACCTACTTCATTATAGACAACATATCACAATCTAAGAAAAATACATCCATGACTAATGATAAGAATTAATTAGCACAATTAGATGATAGAAGCATTTTTATTGCATTTGCTCATTATAATATTATGGTTTTTAATGTAAACTTTAAGTAGTTATATTCCAGCACCAGATTTACAGTAGCAGAAGGCTTGGAAAATAAATTTTAAAAAAATGTCTTATTGTTTTACTGTTTAATTTTATATGTGTTAAACACAGGATTTCATAATATACATACTGAAAGTGCTTTTTATATCAATTATTTATGTTTTTTAAAGTTTTGTTAAGCATGAGAAACAGATATGTGGGGAAAGTATTTTACAATTTTTAATAATTTGTTGAGAATTACATGACATACATGTATATGTTTTCAGTAAAGTAAAATATGCATTATGTATTCAGTTAGTGAAATATATGCATATTTTGGGGTCATAAATTTATTAGAATTGTAGAAGTTGATGTATTTTGAAGGTTTGTAGGTTACGTCAGTATGACTGAAATTCTGTGTAAGATTTGTGGCATTGCACATTATCTTATAAACAAAGAAATACTACTTAAATGCGTTATGAAGTGGACATGTGCATTATTATGTTTTTCTTTGTTGTTAGACCATTTTAATCAACAATTATCATTTATGTGGTGTAGCCATTGACTGTTATGGTGAATGAGTTTCATTATTTTATGTTGTAGAGTTTAATTAGTAGCACCCAATATGATAAAACCCCATTATCATTAACTCTTGTTTTGACATGACTATTTTGTTTGATGTAAATTTCCTGTTTTATTTATTGTTGTAGATTAGGTTTAGTATATGTGAATTAATTGTCCCAGTTTATTTATTTAAGATGTCTCATATATCCGAGATTTTATTTTGTTTCAATAACATATTCATTGTGGCTGGTACAGATTAAATTTTTAACTGTGTTACTTATGTATTTCTGGTTATATTCACAAGAGCTTCAATATGCTCATAAAATACAAGGGGAAAAAATGAATTTCTAATTGATTGAAATCAGTAGATCATCAATAAATTCATGTAGTTTTCTTTCTTTTGAACACAGATCAGGGAGCCCTGCAATTACAATCATATCTTTGTTATTCAGGGTCTGTTTGTGTGTGTGCTTTTTTTTTTCTCCAAACCATATCTCTGCATTGGATACACACTGTACCAAATATATATAAAACCATGACTGCTTCAAGTTTCAGTTTTGGGTTTATTTGGTTGCTTAAATGCTTGAATACATGTTTAAGTCTGATATTTCATATCTCTTTTGGTTGGTTTGTTACATGTAGAAGTACGAACCAGAAATCTACTTGAAAGTGTTTAAGTTTGTGAGAGTATTTTATTCTGCAAGGTCACCCATACACATAGTGTCAAATCACAGTGTCATTATATTCGAATCCAATTCACTAGCAAAAAAGGAAAAATCATTTTTTAAAAATTTAACATAATAAAACAATGCACATTTTGGTGTGCTGTCTCTGAATTTAGGCATAAGTGAACATGTGGGTCATGAGAAATCTTAATTCAGTGTGAAGGCTTGCGAGACTCATTTTGTATTGTAGACAAAAAAACTTACTAACTTAATTAGTCCCAATTTCATATTTCTCCTTTTTTGTTCGTTTTATTTTTGTCAATACTGTATATTCGGATTTTTATTTTTGCCCTAATACATTGTTGAGAAGTTTGATATGCCCGCAGCTGTGTTGTTTCTGTCAGTTTATATGCATTTTAAATGATTAGTTCTGTTTGAATTTTCCCACTGAAGATCAGTGTGAAAAGCAGAAATCTAAAAAAGAAAAAAAGGGGTGGGGAGTTAATTCCATATACAGTAAAAAAAAATCTTCATCCAACAGTTGAATTGCATGATACAGACATTGAAATCTTGTTGTTTTAAATGAAGTGCCTAGTTCTTCTTAAAGAGACTTGTTTTAGAGACTTCTTCGTTCTTTCCATATGTAATCAGCATGTGAACTGCAGGTTTTTTTATGGGAGAGTATTGAAAAGTTCATTTATGCAGATTTTTTATGCATACATGTATTTAATATTCATAGCTTATTAATTTGTATTTATTCTTCACAACTTATTTTTATCAGACATTGATTCTCTATGGATGTTGAGTGAAGCCTGTGTGTTGTTCATTAAAAAAACCCTGTGTATACTGATATTTTGAATGATATAGGTTGACCGTTGATAGAAAATTGCGAGAAAAATTTGTCAAGAAAATACCGGTACAACGGTGTGTTCCCATTTTGCCAGAGCTGTGAGGTCCAGCTAAAAATAGCTGAAAAGTACCAAAAGGAATTGCAAATTTTGCTAATTGGAACTTGATTTTTAAATTACATTTGTATATCACGATTTTCACTTTAAGCATCACTGAATGTAATTAAACTGAAATTAAGTTTTACCTGGATTTTTTTCCAGATATTTTTTTTTTTTAATGTGGGAATTGATTGAATATTAAAAAAAAAATTAAATATCCTTTAATAATGCCATACTTGATTGTATTTTTTAATATAAACTCTAATATGTTTTCCAAAACAAGTGTGTTCAAGGTACAGTACTAATTTCAAATAAATATTGAGATTACATTTTACTTTAAAATTAGATATTATAATTCCATACTTGTTTTTAATCTTTAATACAGATTCCATCAAAATATTTAATTTCATTACAGAATCAATCTTGCTAATTTTACATTCACATTCCTTAAACCAGGTAGATGAACTTAAGTATTTATATATAAATATTAAAACAATTAGCTTTTCAAAAAAAATGCAAGTTATATTGTATCAAATATGTAAGAAACCATTTCCTCATCTAGACTCTTAGTACATAAAAATAATTTAATAGTAATTGTTGTAACAATTTAATAATTATAGCAATTGCTATGTGTTATACAAGTTCCCATTTCATTCTAGTTCCTAAATACCCAATAAGGCAAAATACGTAATTTATTTTCAACCTTGATTCTTTAGCAAAGAAAGGATAGTTACTGTAATAACTTGATAAAGTGCATTTCTATTCTAATGCTGATAATTGTTTTCACATTTTTCCATGTTCACATTATGTCAATTGATACAGTGCATTCCTATTCTAATGCTTTGGTGATAATTGTTTTCACATTTTACTACGTTCACATTTATTTCAATAACAAGTTGATATTTCCCCATTTATGAGTAAAGTAATCAACCCATAAAAGACATGATTATATATTTGATTGTCTGGTAATATTGAGGCTCATCCTTTATTTGCTTGTTCATGTATAAATGATGAAAAGTTATCCCTCAATTTCAATTGATATTCATAATTATTTAATATGTGATTGAAATTTGTATGTGATCAATTTTCTGTTTCTTTTGAGTTTTAATATGAATACATTTTGTTTGATCAAAGTAAATTGGAACTGCTTTCTTATTTAAAAAATATTCTGTATTTTTTAAATAATGTATTTTGGATAAAATAGTAGTTTTTAAATTTGATTGCTCTGTTTTAGAAAAGTATTGCCATTTTATGAATCATGTTTAGATTTGTTTTTCTTAGCATGATTTGGGGTGAAATTTAAGTTCAAATGTCAATGAAATATATTGTGGCAAATTTTTTCATAAATGTACACTGAATTTGAAATTCAATAAAAGTCGTGAATCAAAACATTTGAGCTCTTTATTTATCATTTGACTCTTAATGATTTCATCTTGCTAACTTTACTTACCATACAGACTTTGGCCTTCATGCACAGCATATCTTTATTGATAAATGCTTGGAGCAAAATGCTTTGGTACTGAATACAGGGTTATTTTTGCCTCATGTTTTTTTTTTCTGCCCTTTCACAGCTGCAAACAATTTTGCACCATTTTATATTCACTCAGTCATATTTCTGTGTAAGAAATTATATTGTGTTCTTTGAATTCGCCCTGTTTAAATTTGCCCACCTGAAAGTCGGGCAAAAGGGGCGAAAATTAAATGGGGGCAAATATTTCCCTATATACAGTATAATGTATACAACTTCCCAAGTCAAGGGTTTCTGATCCAGTCCGCATCACATAAACCCTTGACCGAATAGACTAGGTTTGACAGGGTTAAAACCTTTTTGATTGGCCTCATACAAGTTTGCATGAGCCAATCAAAAACATTGTTTTTTCAACCTGTAACTGGATCGTAAATAGAAAAAAATTCCAGTTTTAGTCTAAAAAAAAACCATTAATACCAATTTCATTTACCATTCTATTTTTTTCTTGAAACATACACTTCAAAAATGCATGACAACAGTTTTCTTTTAATTAAAACCATTTTTTTTAAAATTCATAATGTCTGAAAGTGATTCTATTGTTCTATATTTACACACCCATACATAGAGTTTGTGAACAACAGTGGACAATCCATTGCATCAAAGTCACTTGTTCATAATCAAGCTGTAACATGTGTGGAACCTGTAAAACTTGATCCAGGTCCTCTTGATGCAGTCTCTGTCCTGTAAATTTTTCCTGAAGCCTGGTTGTAAATTCCCTGATATTTGGAATACTGCTTTGACAGATAATCTCTGAACTTATAATTCTTCCCTTATCAAAGTTAAATATTACAGATAGTTCAGCTTTAAGCTTATTTGAGATGAATTTTCTGTCTATAGTGAATTTTGGCGTTCTGCCAAATATCCACTCCCAGTCCTCTGAAGACTTCCGGATCTGTGTCACGCCTGGAAATGAGGCTTCATCTCCAGGATCTATCCACTCAATCTCTCCCTAAAAAAAATCCTCAATAAATTTATATGTATATGACATGGTTTTTATTTTTGAAAACTAGGTTGAAGGATTTTTTGACAATAAAATAAGACAAAGAATCAATCTTAGTGACTGTACTTTTAACCATCCATATGTATGCAGTTTCTGGTATCCTACCAGTGTTTTAGATGTGATGAAAAAAAATATATGTCAAGAAGCAATTTGCCACAATATTTCTTTTGTGTTTTGTACAATCAGAATGTCCTGTTTTTTATTTTGTTTCTGCCATTATACACACATTTGAAATTGTTTTTGGATATTTTCCTGATATATAACAAAATCTTTATTTCATATTTCTATGAGTTTGAGTGCTTTTCTTCCTATCAATTATAACGTAATTTTTAAGTATTTAAGGTGGACAATGCTACAGAACTGTACATATTTTCAACAATTTCTCTGTCTCATAGTCACTCACAGAAAATCCTTCAATCCTGACAGTGTGCCATTATACTCACCTGAGCTCCAGCAGCCTTAAAATACTGGTGACCTATGACATCCACCAATGACATAAAGTCTATAGTGAAGTCACATTCCGACAGGTTCTTTATATGGGATCTCTTACTGTCTGTAGCTTTGCTATGGACACCCAACTGCAACAATTGAAATTTTTTATATAAAGAAATTAAGTCTCTTCCATATGTATAATTAAGTCTTTGATCGAATGTACAGTTGATTATTTTTGATATATATATATATATATATATATATATATATATATATATATATATATATATATATATATATATATATATATATATACATATATATATATATATATATATATATATATATATATATATATATATATATATATATATATATATATATATTTACTGGTATCTCAATCATTGAAATACATTTCTTGTTAGGAATGAAATATTCATGTGCTTCTTTTACCTTAAGTAAATATTACCTTCATAGGACTATCCAATGTCATTTCAAGATTCTCACTATTGACATCATGAAGAAGAGTAAAGTGATGGAATGTGTTGTTTTTACCTAGTTTGGAGGCTGTTCCTGACACCTAGCAACACAAATGAGATTTTGGTATCTGTGCACAACCGCTAAATACATGAGATTCTCGGGAAACAATGCTCAGGCCTAACTTAAAAATATTTTTTTGTTTTCAGTTGCCTACCAATCCACTTAAAATGCATTCGACCCCCCCAAAAAATTTCAGCTATTTTCAAAATGATTTTTTATGCTCAATTTTCCCAATTTACAGAAAATCTGCTTAGTTTTCGTATTTAGTGTTACTTTTATATCTGTCAACTAGGCACATAAATTAAGTGTAGCATACAGGTGCATATACTTTTTAGCGCCCTATAGAAATCTCTCTGATTTGTTGTCTTATAAATTGTACTAAACAAAAATTATTTTAAAAAAATCCTTCCTATTATAACTAACCACTCTAATAATTGTGGGTTTGCAACTGCAAACTGAGAATTTTTCAAAGCTTGCATTCAGGCCTCACCAGTACTCTTTGTGTTTGACAGACTTTAACCATGATATCTGTTTGTACGTACAATACAGTTGAACTTAGATACATGTGTATCTCAAACATCAATACATACATGTACTACATGTAGTATCTCAAATACAATGAATATGCTGAAGTGAGATTGAAGTCCCACTTTTCCTTCAAGTAATTAAACCCACAGAGTTTGAGATAACAAAGTTTGACTGTATTTCATTTTTAATCTTTCTAAACCAACCTTGTACAGTCCATCCAACACAATGTCTTCCCTGGCATTGACCTGGAGATCCACATCCCACTGGGTGGTGATGGCTTCCACCACCAAGTCAAGATTCTTTCTTCTGTTGTACAGTTTATAAGTCTTCAGAAAGGAGCAGTTAAGATTCCCCAAATCATGATACACACATCCCCCACCACTGATCCTTCGAGCCAGCTTGATGCCCGACTCCCTCAGTTTGGGAACGTTACACTCTAACCATGGATTCTGATGTCTTCCTATCACCACAGCAGGTTTGTTCTGCCACATTAATAGGATAGATTTCTTTTTTAGATCCTCTTTCTCATAAAGCCATTCTTCAAAGGCTAAATTTGTGTATATATCATCAGAAGTTGAGACATACACTTGATGTGTATGAGTGTTCTGGGAGAAGCTCTGTTTACTTAACAATAGAAATTCAGCTGGGATAAATATTCTCTGCTTCAGTTTCCTACACAGCTGAATCATATTTCCTCAAAAGTATAAACTCTCCCTGTAAATATTATTAATATTCCAGAAAGTATCAATGATTAAAAATATGTTTGATATTAAAAGTATACATTCAAACCTTGTTATCTCGAACTTGACAGGACCAAGAAAAAACTTCAAGATATCTGAAATATCAGGGTTAAAAATAGTTAAAGAAGTAGTGGTTGCAATTGGGACTTCCAAATTTCTTCTACATTTCCATGGTATTCGAGATATCACTGTTCGAGATACCGAAGTTCAACTGTATTTTAATTAATATTAATCAGCTGAGCTAAGTAAATCAAAGAAATAATGATGATAGTGAAGCAAACTAGTGAGCAAGACTGTCATGACTGCATGTTATATGTCTCAAAAATTGTTAATGAAAGAAAGTGTACAGTGGATTTAGGAATTAGATCATCGCCCAAATTATTCTTGATGTAACTTAACTTTGTATAGCATTTGAACTGTAAGAAGAATTCCAGAGTTTGAACTTCAGTCAGCTGTCTACATTTTCTCTGATGCATGCATGGTGCTACATGTAGCTGTGACCAGAGACATACAGTGAAACCTGTCTAATCTGACATGCACTGGGAGACTTAACTCGTGTCAGAATAGACAGGGTGTTGGATTACACAGACGTTAAGAACATGGAAAATAGTAAAATGGTAATTAAAATAAAGGTCAGAATTCACAGTGAAACAGATTGCACAGGTGTCAGATTAGAAAGTTTTCACTGTATATGGGTTATATGTCTCGATCGATCTGCTGTGACCCACAAGCCTTTCATAAATGATGCCTAAAACTCTCACTTAACATAGAGAATTTTAAGACTTGTAATGGAAAGCTGAGAAATTAAATGGGAGGAATGTAGTGAATATGGCCAATCTGGTTCACTGTGGGGTTTATTACTGTTTAAATGGGATTAAAAAAAACACTGACCAGACAGACTGTTTATTTCATTACAAAAACAAACAATCTTACATTTGGATGCCAGCTTTAAAGAAGAATATATTTATCATATATAAAAACTACTTATTTAGCTTTGTCAAAGTGAGTCTTACTCTGCATATTCTCGGTATTATTCTTTTTCAATTTCTTTAAAGATTTCTCCTTTTTTTTGGTAATTTTTTTTTTGCTTTCAATCAAATCAGGGACCTAAATATTTATTATATAGGTCCCGGATCAAATGATTTCCAAGCGCCTGAAATATTTCCCTATAAGTGGTCTGATATGTGTCATATAACGTTACAGTTCTTAAAAGTCATTACCACGCGAATTTCCTCGGATGTTCAATGTTGTATATCAATTTTTGGATGTTTCTAGAAGCATACCTCTCATGGTTCCTATATTAGGTCATTGAATCTGTGGGATTAGTTAAATAAAGTCTATAAAGTATATTAGATGTACAGAAAACAAAACTACATTCATTCATATCGTATCTAGAAGTTTTTCGTCATGCCCTAGTCATGGGCGCCGCCATTAATATCTCTTCGAATCTCCTTGGATGTTATCCTTAAATATCAATTGTAGTACCCGAGGCATACCTCTGCTATAAACATGGCAGCTGCCAGAGTCAATTTTGATGTTTGGCTGGCAGAAAAATTGACATCTTTGAATCCAGAGGTAGATACTGAAGTTTTTGTGACCTACATCATTGGTATCCTTGAGACAGAAACAGATGCTGATGACACAAAAGAGTCCATTATGGATATTTTGGGAGAAGTTTTGGTAATTTAAACCAACGACTATGTATTGTACAGATCTTGATAATCAGATAAAGTAGAATCTGTTAGCCATTTTTTAGTAAAGTACACCAGATAAAGAGTTATTTTTTGTTTTTTCACAGTTTCTTTAATTTAACACATTACAGCTTAGTTTCCATACTAATACATGCAAGGCTCATACTTGCCTATTTCTAGAAAATTCTTTGATATTTTTAGGTCACCTGAGTCACTCAGGTGACCTATTGCTATCCGTTCTCGTCCGTCAGCGTGCGTCGTACGTCGTGCGTTAACATTTGAACATTTTTAGCTTCTTCTCTAAAACCGCTTAACCAATTTCAACCAGATTTGGCATATAGCATCTATGGGTGAAGGGGAACAAAATTGTGAATTTCATGGTCCCTGCCCCCCTGGGGCCTGAGGGGTGGGGCTAAAACCACCAAAAATAATGCAATCTTTAAAAATCTTCTTATTTACTCCTGGACATCAAGCAGTCAAACTGTTGGCATCATTGTAATAAGCATTGAGCCCTCTACCAAAATTGTGAAATTCATGGCCCCAGGGTCAGGGGTTCTGGCCCCAGGGTGGGGCTATATAGATCATATAGTGAAAGTGCATTATTTCTTTGAAAATCTTCTTCTCTGCTCCTGGGTATTAAATAAGGTAATTAAGTACAAAGTTATGAAGGGCAAGAGTGCCTCTTCCAAAATTGTGAAATTCAAGGCCCCAGGGTCAGGGGTTCTGGTGTTAGGGCGGGGCTCTATAGATTATATAGTGAAAATGCATTTATTCTTTGAAAATCTTCTTCTCTGCTCCTGGGTATTAAATAAAGTAACTAAGTACATAGTTATGATGAGCAAGAGTGCCTCTTCCAAAATTGTGAAATTCATGGCCCTAGGGCCAGGGGTTCTGGTGTTAGGGTGGGGCTCTATAGATTATATAGTGAAAAAGCATTAATTCTTTGAAAATCTTCTTCTCTGCCCCTGGGTATTAAGTAAAGTAACTAAGTACATAGTTATGATGAGCAAGAGTGCCTCTTCCAGAATTGTGAAATTCATGGCCCCAGGGTCAGGGGTTCTGGTGTTAGGGCAGGGCTCTATTGATTATGTAGTTAAAATGCATTAATTCTTTGAAAATCTTCTTCTCTGCTCCTGGGTATTAAATAAAGTAACTAAGTACATAGTTATGATGAGCAAGAGTGCCTCTTCCAAAATTGTGAAATTCATGGCCCCAGGGTCAGGAGTTCTGGCCCCAGGGTGGGGCTCTATAGATCATATAGTGAAAGTACATTATTTCTTTGAAAATCTTCTTCTCTGCTCCTGGGTATTAAATAAGGTAACTAAGTACATAGTTATGATGAGCAAGAGTGCCTCTTCCAAAATTGTGAAATTCATGGCCCCAGGGTCAGGGGTTTCTGGTGTTAGGGCGGGGCTCTATAGATTATATAGTGAAAATGCATTAATTCTTTGAAAATCTTCTTCTCTGCTCCTGGGTATTAAATAAAGTAGCTAAGTACATAGTTATGATGAGCAAGAGTGCCTCTTTCAAAATTGTGAAATTCATGGCCCTAGGGCCAGGGGTTCTGGTGTTAGGGTGGGGCTCTATAGATTATATAGTGAAAAAGCATTAATTCTTTGAAAATCTTCTTCTCTGCCCCTGGGTATTAAGTAAAGTAACTAAGTACATAGTTATGATGAGCAAGAGTGCCTCTTCCAGAATTGTGAAATTCATGGCCCCAGGGTCAGGGGTTCTGGTGTTAGGGCGGGGCTCTATCAACTATCTAGTGAAAATGCATTAATTCTTTGAAAATCTTCTCTGCTCCTGGGTATTAAATAAAGTAACTAAGTACATAGTTATGATGAGCAAGAGAGCCATTTCCCACATTGTGAATTTCATGGCCCCAGGGTCAGGGGTTCTGGTGTAAGGGCGGGGCTCTATCGACTAAATAGTGAAAATGCATTAATTCTTTGAAAATCTTCTCCTTTGCTCCTGGGCATTAAGGTGATAAACTAAGTACATAGTTATGATGAGGAGGTGGGCCCCTTCCAGAATTGTGAAAGCCATGGCCCCTGGGTCAGGGGTTCTGGTGTTAGGGCAGGGCTCTATTGATTATATAGTGAAAATGCATTAATTCTTTGAAAATCTTCTTCTCTGCTCCTGGGTATTATTTAAACAAACTAAATGCATGACTATGATGCATAAGGATGCCTTTTTAAAAATTGTGAATTTCATGGCCCCAGGGTGAGGGGTTCCGGTGTTAGGGCGGGGCTCTATTGATTATATAGTGAAAATGCATTGATTCTATGAAAATCTTCTTCTTTGCTACTGGAGATTTTTTAAACAAACTAAGTGCATGATTATGATAGGCAAGGATGCCTCTTCCAAAATTTTTGGGGTTCTTGAGGAGGGGGGCTCTATTGATTATGTAGTGAAAATACATTAATTCTATTAATTAATCATTAACTAATCCTGTCTGCTCCTTAGTGTTGAGCTGATAAATAAATTGCTTAGCTATGATGAAGATGGGAGCTTTGAACAGAATTTTTAAATCTTGTGGTCCTAGGGTCAGGGGTTCTGGCATAACGAGGAAGGGGGGGGGGGCTTTTGATAATATAGTGGAAAAGTGTTAATTCTTTGAAGTCCATAGTTATGATGATGAGGGTAACTCTTCCAAATTTGTAAATTTCTTGACCTTTGGTCTTGGGTTCTGGTGTTAGGGTAAGGCTTTGTTGAATCTGTAGTGAAAATGCATTGTACCTGTGAAATTCTTCTCTGCTTCTGAGCATATCGAAAGCAAACTGAGTAAAAGTTTAAATGATATAAGTAAGCGTATTTCTACCAGATTTTTGAACATCTGGACAATTTGTCTTAGCATTCTGGTCCTGGACAGGGCTCTATTAATTTGTATTCTACTGAGAGAAGTTATTCCACTTTTCCATTCACCTTTGATAATTAATCACTGTAAATAATGTATTTGAAAGATTAATAGAATAAGATACATGTAATTATGCAAGAATGTTTATCGTATAATTCAAAAAGTACTTTCTTAGTTTTAATAATCAGGCAGACCTGTAAGTAATAGATAAATAAAAATGAGACAAAAATAACTTATCTTATTAAAAGTTCTTCAAAGACCATAAGAGAGATCAATGCTAGAGGGCTTAATATGGGTTTAAAAATAGTACAGAAGCACTAATAGTTTGTTAATAGTCTGCATGGTGATAATATTAAGTGGGGGATTAGAACTAAAGTTATGAGTTGATACTGAATACTAGACTAATTATTTTGTTGATCCTGATCTTCCTACTTCTCTTGCTTTAGGGCAACAAAGCTTCATCTGTCAGTGTATTTAACTTCTAAATTGTTGTATTATACTCAGGTGACCATTAAGGACCTTGGGCCTCTTGTTGGTAAATCCCTTTTCCTTTTCCCTCTTACACAAGGTATCGGAATTCATGACATCTCATTCTTAAGAATATATCAATACGTAGAGATAAATAACTTTGTCAGAATACCTCACGTGTAACAATCAAGTCGTACTTAGTAATAAAAGACTAACTTTAGATACACATTTATTTTTTGGAGATAAGGGAAAATGTGTTTTCAAACATACAAGCAGATTTTTCTCTGTGTGAAATAATTTTGCTCCTTAAATTCTCCTATAAATTGAATGTTGAGTAAGTTTTTGACAGCATGTCTTTCAAAAAGTCTGAAATATCTGATGTTTTCCAGGCGTTTTTCAAGATTTTGATATTTTATGTGCCAGGAAAACGGCACCATTATGAAAAGTGGAAATTTTGCCGCCCTCAGCTGAACTTGATTTTGGATACTTGCAAATCAAATTAAATGTCAAACTCACAACTTATCAATAGCACAATGCTTCTAGTTCTCACCAATACCGCTTAAAAGAAAATATCACTCCACATATTGATACAGGTCTCACAAGATTTAAAAATGCATGAAATGAAAACAAACCTTAAAAAGTTTGATAAAAGGTTTTCACCAGACACTTTATATAACAAAGGAACAATAAAAGTGATACTGGTAAGTACTAGAAGCATTGTATTATTGATAAGATGTGAGTGAGACATTTTATTCGATTCGCATTTATTGAAAATCGACCCAAGAATGCCACCTCCAGTTGGTTCTGATGTTTTCCTGGCACATAAAATGTAAAAACTGTGAAAAACGCCTGGAAAAAGTCGGATATTTCGGACTATTCTTTCAATATGGATATTACATTCATGTAGCCATGATTATACATTTACAATGTATTAGGAATTAAGAATTTAGCAGCAAGCATTCAAAAAAATATGTTATGTACTTTAAAGACCTATGTCTTACTATGTTCCTTCTCTTGAAATTTTGTCTGAGGGTTAGTAACATTAATACTGCTAGTGTCAAAATGTTTACATTAGAGGTGTAACAATACATTGGTACATCGATCATATTGATCGCAAGGGTTCATGGTATGCTTGGGTATTGTGTCTTTAAGAATGTATCACGATACGGTATAAGTTTATTTTTATTGTCTTTCTTGAAAAGTCAAAAATGTAAATATGACCTAACATATTGTTGTGTTCAAATATTAGGGAAAACAAGGTAGATTTAGAAGAATCAAATCTTGAGACAATGAATTCATTTGTAATAAATTTTTGTAAGCAGTGTAAAGATATTCATTTTATATTTTTTATATATAACAGTTTATTCAATTATTGACTGTTGTATCATGATACATGTTGTATTGCATGACCGTATCATGACTGATATGTATCGTATCAATGGGTACCTTGCAATACTCAGGCCTAGTCTACATAATATTTTCAAGTGTGCTACTTAACAATAACCGATTCCTGCATTATTTAGGAGAGTGAGCGGGAGTCAGTTTGTGAAGAAGTGATACAAAGATGGAACCAAGAACACAGTAAACCAACAGAACCAGAGACAGGTCAGTCAGCACTCTCTATTGTATTGTGTTTTATACAAACAGGTTCATGAGTAACTGAATTTTAAAGGATTGGCTTAGTATGTAAATCATGGTGGAAGATAAAAATTTCACAAACCTTGTTATGTAGAACTCATTGAGAGTAGAATATATATGAAAGAGAAAGTGGTTGGGACTTCCAACTCACTTTGACATAACCATGGTATTTGAAATATCAAAGTTGGAGATACAAAGTTCAACTGTATAGTGGTTTATCAATTTAAGTCTTTGGAATTATCATCCTTAGCCGAGAGACATTCATCCTTAAGCTGTATTTAAACTTGTTTCAGATACAACTAAACTCGCAACCCAGTTGTCTGATATTCTTGTCAGTGAGAATAAGAAGATTGAGAGCGTGAAACCGAAAGAAAAGAGTGCTGAAGAGATAGCCAGGAAAGAGGCCATCTTGGCTCAGTATGCTGCTGTCTCAGATGGAGAAACGTATCCTATTTAAAAAAAAAAATAGATTTGAAAAGTAATTTTTTTTTCCTGTTTTTAGGTTAATTGATGATGAGTGGAAAGCAAATCAAATTTTTTTTTTTCCACATTACAGATTGATCTACCAAAAAAAAGACAATAATTTGCATTCATGTTATCTTTGAAAAGTTATATAATTTCTGATATTTTGAAATTCTGATAGTTGACTTTCAGAATTTCGGAGTGTGTCAGAGGTCTGATTTTAATCAGACTGTGTTATGGTAGGTCTCACCTTTGTTTGCTTCATTACTGGTGCATGCCTAAACAGCTGATTCAAAGCAGATTGTTTTTTTATTGTATGATGTTCTTTTTTCTACATTGATTCTTGCTTAGGTGTTTTATTTATCTACCTTGACCTTCAAATAAGAGATGAGGAGGAGGAGGAAGAGTTGGGAGGGACTGACGGTAATATTCTTTCTTAATCATTTGACAATAATCAGTTGACATTCCCTCAGACTCTGTTTTATCTTTGCAATACAGGCTCCTCTGCTTTCTAGTTTTATGATCACCTTCTCTTTTCTAGATTTGTGATGACCCATCTAGTATTTTGACATTTCTTGTAGGAGGATTAGTGAAAAATGACAATGCTGAGGCAGTTCAAAGGGCTGTGCAGGAACAGCGAGAAAAGTCCAAACAGGAATACGAGAAAAAGAAGGAGAAAGATAAACAAGATCGTGAAGTACAAAAACAGAAAGAGAAAGAAAGAAAAGAGACAGAGAAGAAACGAACACAGAAAGGAGAGAGACGAAGATAACAGAGGTCTATAGCTAGGATAATTAATTGTTTAGTACTCTTTTTTTATCAGTATACAATTATACCGGTACACACTTTCATGGCTGCAGGTGTACTTTTTTTGCTAATGTGGAAAAATGAAATTTCAGTGGAAAATTAAAACAGATAAATTGTAATATGTATATAGATATGAATTACATGTAGTATAATTAGAAATAGGTTCACTTGATACTTTTTTATACCCCCTGCTTGAAAAGCGGGGAGTGTATAGTGATGGGAGTGTCTGTCCATCTGTCTGTCTGTCTTTACATCCATCCATCCATTATGCTTTGGGGTACCCATCTCTTATCCACAATTCCTCTTATACAGTACCACTGAATAAAATTTAATGAGACTTTCAAAGAATCTTTGTTACATAATGCCATTGTGACCACCTATTTTACCTTTTGATCAGACACATATTTCGGGTTTCCTGTAGCAAAACATAGACACTGCCATTCTTTCTATAATATTGAGGGTACCCATCTCTTATCTGCAACTTCTCCTATTCCACTGAATAGAATTTAATGAGACTTTCACAAAATCTTTGTTACATAATGCCATTGTAACCTCCTATTTACTTTTTGATCGGATCAGGGGTACCCCTTTTTTATCTGCAACTCCTTTTATACCACTGAAGAAATTTAATGATACTTTCACAGAATTTTTATTATATAGTGCATTTGTGCACCTCCTACTTGATGTTTTGATTGGTCAGATATTTGGGCTTTCCCTTACCACCAAATGGACTTTTCCATTATAATCATATGGGAGGTGGGGGTTATCATTTTGTGAGCTCAGTGCTCACAGTACCTCTAGTTTATATTATACAGATTCATATTATTTACGCACATTTTTATCTGGTTTAATTTTCTATTAAAATGTATATTTTTTTCATTTTTGAGTTTTAGCAAAAGAGATAACAAACAATCAAACAAAAACATAAAAAAAAAGAAAAGATTTAGCCTCTTTAGAACATCCTGTATATCTTCACAAATGATTTGTCCTTTAGGAATACATCTACGTATATCTTGGTAAATTGCAGTATATAATGCACTGCATTACAGATACGTGTACCAGTAAGTGAAGTTCCAAATAAATATTGATCCAAGACTGTATAAGATTCTAAATTTTAAAACTCTGACAAGTTCTTAATCAATGTTTTGATTCTGTTTCATTCTTTTGCATTGACACTTAAAAAATATTTAACTTTGAAGAAATATTCCATTGCTTTTTTGGTTGTACAGTACAAGCACAATAGACTGTTTTAGATTTCAGCATCAACATGGCCATACTGCAGACATGTATCAGTTTATGAATATGAAGTTTAGCAATCAATTCGTTTTACTTTTAGGAGATACATTGTATTATGCAGTACATGTAATTGGAAAGGAGTGGATATAAGCAGTTATGATTATCACTGTTGTAATTCATAAAATCACCTGGTATTAAATGAGTACACAATGTTATATTTTTCTCTATACATGTATCTCTGCATCTGTTAGCTTGTACAACATAAATTTATTGCTTTATGCATTGAGACCTGGATTGTTGAAGTAATTTATAGGACATTGTTGAAAATAAATACATATGACATGTTTTCATCTTCAAATTTTCTGTAGAGAATGTTATTTCAGTGTTAATCTTCAGAGAAATCATGAACATGATCAAGTGCATGAGAAAGGTATCTTCGACTACAAAACCAATTCTATTTCCATGAGGGTCAACTCTCTAGAAAGTTTGAATTGAGACATATATTTATTGAATATATTCTTCACGAAACAAAGAATAACAAATTCTTATTGATTTTTTTTTTTATTTTATTCTCTCAAAAAGGGGAAATTTTTTTTTATCAAACTTTATAATTTATCTTTTATAGTGAGTTAAAATATATCACACCATGATTATACACTGTCCATAGATTAGTATTTTATTTACACTGTCAATTATCTTTATTCATGCATTTAATAATCCTTAAATTTTGCACCAGCATCAAATGTTTGACAGGAAAAACACTGGGACTTGCACTGTATAAAGTGTCTTTCAGTTTGAAAAGTTTTAAAAGTGTCCATTTATTTATTAAAGAAGCAAAATTTTCCCATAATACCTGTTTAAACAATATCTGTTCCAAACAAGAAATGTTTCAGAAACATGTATCTCTCCCTCCCCCCTCCCATGTTGCAAAAATAAAAAAAACCCTACAACTTTAAATTTGGAATGTCTGTAAACACAACTGGTCACCTACTAGTTAGGGGCAAATATAATGTACATATACTAATTAAGTTTGATCTCTATCAGACCTCAATAACATTAGGGGTAATTTACATCTCAGAGGATACCAGTGTACCAATATTAATGTCTGTAAAGCAAATGGTTCTAAGATACTTAGCTGATAATCTCTTCCTATGTCTACTGTGATTGTCTGTTTTTTTCCCTTGATATTTGACCTTAAAATCAATAGGGATCATATACTCCTTAGGGGAACCAGTGTAACAAGTTTTGATGTCTGCCAAGCAAAAGCTTCTCAAAATATTGAGCAGACAATATCTTCCCATGTCTAGAGTACCTCGGTAATTTGACCCTTGACCTTGTGACCTCAAACTCTGCAATGGTCAATTTCACCTTAGGGGAAACCAATGTGCTTAGTTTGATGTCTGTCAAGCAAAGAATTCTCAAGATATTGAGCATTCAGCATCTCCCTTTGTCAGGTTTGACCGTTGACCGTGTGACCACAAAATCAACAGTGGTCATCTACTCCTCCATGGAACCATTGTGCCAAGTTTGATGTCTGTCATGCAAATATTGAGTAATCAGTATCCTCCCATGTTTAGTTTAACCCTTGACCTTCTGACCCCATAAGCAATAAGGGTCATTTTCTCTTTCAAGGGAACAAATTTACCAAATTTGAATTCTGTCAAGGAATGGGTTCTCAAGATATTGAGGGGTCAGTATCTTTCCATGCCTAATGTAGTTTGACCCTTGACCTTGTGACCTCAAAATCAATAAGGGTCATCTGCTCTTTCAAGGGAACCAGTATAACAAATGTCTGTGAAGCAAAGATTGATTCATCTGCTCTTTCAAGGGAACCAGTATAACAAATGTCTGTGAAGCAAAGGGTTCTCAAAATATTGAATGGTCAGTATATTCCTATGTCCATTTTGATCACAATTGACCTTAGACATGACCTCAAAATACACAGTGATCATTACTCCTCAACAGAAACCAGTGTACCAAGTTTGATGTCTGTCAGGCAAAGGGTTCTTAAATATTGAGTAATCAGTATCTTCTTATTTCCAGTTTGACGTTAAGGAGGAATGCTACACCAAAATTTTTATTGTCTTTCTTGAAAAGTAAAAAAAAAAAAGTCATATAAAATAATTAAGAGCTAATATCAATCTTTACATGCTGAAACTATGCTTCAACTGTGTTTAAACATTCATTAAATAAAATTTTGGTGTCACATTCTACCTTGAAATAATAAGGGTTATCTACTCCCTGAAGGGAAACCAATGTACCAAGACTGATATGTGTCAAGCATATGGTTCTCAAGATATTGAACAGACATCTTATGTCTAGAAAAGTTTGACCCTTAACCTTGTGACTATGATTCAAAACTGGGATAACCTTACATTTTCCTCTTTCATGTTACATAATTTTCAAACTTGCAGGTGAAAAGCAAAAAGAACTTGGATTGCATCTTTAAGGATGAAGACAAAGGGTATTGGTTTCCTTCCTTGGTCCAGCCATACATTTTCTCTTTTCCTGTTACAGTTTTTTTTCTCCTCTCCACATTCCACCGGGAAGAATGATTGATTGGAGATGCACAGACATAAATTGCAAAAAATGATCAGTAACCATAGGGAGTGGTATATAATGGGAGCAGCAATGGCTAAGGTTAATGCTAGATGGTACAATATACACATAGATGATAACGTGTTCACCTACTTGTACATTGTACCATCTTGCAATAACCAATGACTATAATCATCTTCTCTGACAAAATGCTGAACTAAGGATAAGAGTTGTCTCCCATCCAAGAGCCTAAAGCAAGGCAAGCAGGACATTTAACTGCAGAATAGGTGGAAATGAAAACTACCACTTGTTATTTGAAAACAAACAACTCTTGGTTTTAATTTTTTATTTTACATCATAAATTAATGATTATAAAGCAAACAGTCATTCTGACAAAATCAGCAACCAACATCATGTAATAATTAGAAACAGATGGTTCTTCTCCCACATTTCACTGGATTTTCACAGATAAAAGTATAATTAAGTCATACACAAATACATAACATGATCTCAAAAAATATACATTTTCACAAACAACAGAACACATATGACTCCTCATAATGGAGAGTAAAAAACTGATTGAATATTAACCTGCTATTGTACACATTACAGAATGAAACTAAACAAACAAGTAATCGTTTCACAACTAGCATTTATGCATTTTCTGCAGTCATGTTCTCTAGTAAACACATTTATACACATCCACACACAATGCACATATCTGACCCACACAAGATAATTAACTCCAATCTATAGCTCCTCCTTCATATCATCCAAGTCAATATCACTCAGATCTAAATCCTCTTCCACTGGTAGCTACAAATAAACAAGGATAGTGTAAAGTAAAGGAAGTAATTACTATTATTGCCACTTAAAATAAAATACCTGCATAAATAATATAAATCTTGTGAGTACAACTAGTAGCTCTGAAAACCATACCTCTCCATCTTTACCATCCCACTGCTCTGTTTTCTCTATCTTTGCTATCTTGGAGTCTTTAAGTGGAACAGGCGCTCCCTTACCATATGACAGATCTCTGTCGGAACACAAAATGAAAACCAGTATAGTGTGCTTTTACTTCTTTGTATTAGTGACAAATAAAATTTGTTGAAATTAGCCATGGAATCATGTATGAAATGTTACCTTAAAAATTCGTTGATTCCTTTCTCACTGAATGGTCCCTTTAGTAAGACGTAGATTTGTTTCCTTGTATTTACAGCTGCCATGGCCTGTGAAAAAAGGGCAAATGTAAGATGCACAAAGTGAAAGATGTGTTTGGTTTCATGAAAATTCAAATTGAAGTAATAGATTTAATTAGCAATATGAATGAAGATGGCATACAGGATAACCAAATCCACCAATGCCAAGAGATGACTCTAGCTCCATCTGTTGGCCAGCTTCTGTCCATATCCAGCTACAATCAGAAAGGCTTCAAATTACAATAAACTACATACTTGCACAATGCTAGTCAATGTACAAAAGTAAAAATCACTTCCTTCTCATGGTGAAAATTTTTTGAATCATGTTAAAAGGAGAGGTGGTATACTTACCCCCAGGGTTGTTTCTTGAACTTGGCTCCCATATCTTTGAGGATTTGTAAGTAATCATTCCTACATTTAGATTGACAGTCCAGGATGTGGGGTAAAACAGCAATAACACAAAGCTGTTTTTCTTCACAGTTCTCCTTAATGGTGTCTTGTGATAGGATCTATCAGCGAAATAAAAAAAAAAGAATGCATAATAATTCTTCGAGTTACTCCATTTCTAAAGTAAAGAAAGAGTACATTTATTAAGATTTAACCATTGGTTCTGTCACACTATTATCAATCTGAAAATTAACGTCCAATTTATTATCAAGTTATACATATATAACAAAAAGGAGTTATTCCTTTAACCTACCTGCACAACTTCTGGGGGTGGGAGGTTGGCAGCAAATTTCTCTGTGACCCAGTTTACGATGTCTGATGAGGTCCTTCCTCCATCATAATCCTCAGCTTCCCCATCCTTCTTACCTGCAGGGAACATCTTAATGGTGGGATATCCTCTTACCTATCCAATCAAAACAGGTCATATAAATATATTCACTGTATGTACATATATTTAAGAGTTTTGTTTCAAAAATATTTAAATGAAAATGCATCGAACTCCAAATTTTAAAACCTGATGATTTTGTATAATATTGCAAACTCAACTTGGTGTTCACATAAATTTTACAACAAAGAAGGTTGCATTTAGCAGAGTTCTCTAACTTACTCCATATCTGTTTGCCATGACTGTGTGTACTGTAGCATCCAAAGCTCCAAACTTGACTTTGCCTTTCATTTCTGAGGCAGCACTTTGCCAGTGTGGAGCCAGATTCTTACAGTGTCCACACCAAGGTGCAAAGAACTCAACCATCCACATATCATCACTGTCCAATACGAGCTTCTCAAAGTTACTGTCTGTAAGCTCTACCACATCATCAGCACTGCCACCACCAGACTGAAGAAGTAAAATAAAATTATGCATACATGTTTACGTACAAGGAGCCTGATTATGATGCTACATTTATTAATAGGGAATAATAAATGCATATTTGCTCACTTAACATACAATATACATGTAGGTCAATGAAATAAACATGATCAAATTATGTAAAAGGATGTCAATAGAGCATAGTAATCATTTTAAATAACTTGGAATACAGGGCTTAATTGACTCTTTGGTACAACCTACTCCACTTACGGTTTATTAAAGTCGCTTATTTTGAAATATCAGTTATTTTAAAGTAAAAGTAAACCCCCAATCTCAATTTCTCATTATCTTTGCAATAAAATATTGGTTAGATTGAAATCGCTTATACTGAATTATCGCTTCTTTCGAAGTAAATTATTGGTCCACTGAGCTGATAATGAGTTGTTTTTATAACGATTATATTGAAGTCCTGCTGGCCAGTTGCCGTCATAGTTGGTGACATTGTAATTTACAGGTAGATGATATGGTGTCAGTAGATATATTCTGATATATTAATTAGTCTTCATTGCTTGAATTGATAAGAAATAATTACTGAGAGTTATCTCGTTCTCTCAGATCACATATTGACAGTGCTTTTGAACAGAGTTGTTTGAACACATGCTTGTGAAAACGGGTCAATCACAAGAAAGGTTAATTTGTTTTTAAATAACTAAAATGAATTTATGTCTGCGTAAAAAAATGTGAAATCTAAATCCAAATTAGCGAAGGATAAATCTGGCACACACTAGCAATGGTATACATGTACAAAACAACAGAATGTTGCTGTTTTTAATGTAAATTATGTAAATCTTTGTAAATGCTGTATGGCTATTCAGGTTTTATGTATGGGGAGAGAACTACATAAGTTTCTATAACTTGTGTTCAATCCCTTTAATTGACATATTGTCAATAAAATATGTTCAAAACAATGGATATTAAGCCCTGAAACATCTCATAATTTTTTAAGCTATGAACCTATGATCTGGTTCAGAAAAGGCCCATGTGCAAAAAAAAAGGTATGTCAAAATAAAAATCTTACTTTCCCCCCTCCACTTCCACCACTTCTACCTCCTGATCCTCCTCCTCTACCCTTCAGTCTGTCCTGAACCAGTGTTCTCAGTTTTGACATAGCTTCACTAACAATAGCGTCAGCAGTTCTTCCTCCTTTATATAAAACAAGACATGTTGGTGAAACATAGATTCCTTGGTCCTATCAAACTTCATTAGGAATTTTTACTGAACATCTTATTTTTGCATTATTAGTGATGGTCTTGGCAATGCAAATATTATAAATGTTGCTGATATTCAAATCACAAATATATTCATAAAAAAAAACAATTCCCAAAATCAGTAAAAATAGATTACGCTAATAATAAATGCCCTTTTACGGGATAAAATTGCTAAATTTGTCATTATATGGTATATTAGTAATTCTAACTCATATATTTGCCTACACATGAAATGCTGACAATTATCAAATATAATTTTAAAAATTAATAATTTTACTCTTATGGAATGAGATGAACAACTGTATGCCTTATCCTCTTTGATCACAAATTAACTTGCCATAAATCTCACTTGCAGTAGATAAGTAATAAAAAACTGGAACTATTCATGTACTCTTGGAAATTTCGCTTTAATTATTTGACTTTATAGATTTATATGCATGCTTTAATTTGCACTGATCAAACTGACCACATCATTGTAATATGATTTACCTTGATAATCAGATGGACTGTTTTTGTTGGCTCCAAACACCTTGATGGTTGGGAATCCCTGAATCTGATACTGCCCTCCCAAGCTCTGGTGTTCATCAGCATTCACTGCTGCAACTTTCACTACACCCTGTTTAGTGAAGACATTTTAGAGCTATATATGATGCTGTGCTCACGGGCATAAAGTATTTGTACAGTTTATACTGCATACATGTATTTAATAGTTAAAAAAAAAAAATTCTTTGAATATATGACCTTTGTTATTATGTTTCACCAATTAGCAATGTCAACCATGTTTTGTTTGTGAGAACTTAATAATTTACATGTATTTTAATGTAACATATCAACAAGGCAAAAGACTTTGTGTCAAAATAATTAATAATAAGAATGAATTCGCATAACAAATTGTTATGATGATAATAAAAATTATGCTCTTTGATAAAATACATTTCCTGTGGTCTTGTGGAATTAAAGTCCAATGAAATCTTAGTAATTAGACTACCTTCAAACGTAAGTATTAAATGTACTCTATTTATATAGTGTCTAAAATAATTTTTAAATGGTGAAAAGATTCCAAGGATTTTACCTTCAGAGCAGTTGCTGCCTTTTTCCATTCTGGAGCCAGCTGTTGACAATGTCCACACCTACAGTACATTATGAAACAGATTATAAACAGAGATTCTTTGAGAGGTGAAATGGCAGTTGCACACATTTATCACCATATCAGTTAAGTTCAAATAATTTAGTAGTAAAAGACTTAAGTAAATTGGTTTGTATTACAATATATGCAAAGATTACTAGAATCATAATCATCATTAAAACACTGCACTAGTAAAATAAAAATCATCATTCATACCACGGTGCATAAAACTCTACAAAGACAAGTGCATCACTTTGGATAACTTCTTTGTTGAAATTAGAGGGAGTTAACTCTAGGACATCATCAGAGCTGGAGTACAAGGCAGAGGCCGAAGACACTGCCACCGCCAACACTGAAAGGAAAAAAATTAGATAAGTACAACTTTTTGCATCCATGTTGTCAGCAATAGTATACAAGTCAGTGAACCTTTTCACAAAAAATCTTACGACATATTTTTATCTTACGTGAAAACTTATGATAAAAATCATTTTCACAAAAAGTCTTAAGAAACTCCTAACTGCAAAATCTGTCGTAACTTTACGAGAGCCCCAACCCTTTCTTAAGTATTTTAAAACTGATTTTATTGTAAAAATATAACAGCAAAAACCAAAATACACGTTAAATTGAACTTTTTAAAGCAACTTCCAATAATATTTTATATTTTTTTCACAATCTTAGTCGCAAAATTAAATGAAATACACTACAAAATATTTACGATGTAAGTTTCACTTAAGATTTTCGTATGATCTTTTTTTACGTCAGACTTGTGATTGTGACGTCAGGTTTTAAACTTCCTCGCTTCTCAAACGATTGCATTTGATATTTGTAGTCAATAATGTTTGTTATGCTGACAAATGTCAAAAACTAAGTTTTATTTTAATTTTCACCCACTTATTTAAGGATTATACAGCAAATTTAGGTCGTTGCTAGGGATGAAGTCTGTCGTAAGTAAAATCTTAAGTTCAATCTGCTACGAATGCGTTCGTGAAACGCACTTAAGATATGTCGTAAGAGATTCTTAAGTTAAAATCTTACGCAAAAACTTAAGATTTTTTGTGAAAAGGGCTACAGATCATCAATGAAGTAAGAAGTGAACTCCTAAAACTATGCGTTTAGCACTATCACATCTGTATTACATGCACATCTAGCACTAATGTGTGAAATTAAAGAAGTCAAAGGTTTAGATCATAAACTGATTACAAAGTACTGTTATACATACAATTATGAATACAGGGGTAAAACAAAAAAAAACTTAAATGACTTGTCTAGTAGTTATTTTCCATCGATATTAGCTTTTATCTAATCCATTCTTTTTTTCTGACTTCTTTGTTTTCTTCACTTTACATATAATTCAATATAATTGTTCCCGGCGCAGATCCTGGAATTGAAGTTAGGGGAGGGCAAAAAGTAGGCAGGAGGTCTGGGGGCTGCCTTTGAAGCCCCGTGGGTCCAGGGCGAAGTCCTGGTGGGGGCCCAGGGGGCAAAGCCCCGGAAGCTCCTGGATTCTAGAGATTTAGTAGGGTAAAAATGAGGTCTAACGAGTAGAAATTTTTCCATTTTCTCAATAAAACTATGATGTATACTAACTTTGACAATTTTAGGGGGGTGCCGGGTGCACCCCCCTTAAATCCGCCACTGGGTTCAAAAATAAGAAAGGACCCTAGGAACTTCGCTTACTCTGTTAATTGGTTGTTAAACACATTTTCCACAGACCGTTCAACAATTGACCTACTCCTCGACATTCGGTTAAGCCCAGTTTGGTTTTTACTAAATCTTGTCTGAATATTAAGGTCTTGTACATTTGAATTTTTCAGTAAGGGATAGACATGGTTCTACCACAATCATAGAATATGATAGATCTATCCATTTTGAAAATGAAAATTGACTAGCTTCTTTTCACTTAGATGCATTATATGGATATTAACAGTGACAGGTATTTTTTCGACAATTTAATGAAATCTACTTGAGTGAAATCAGAGACTACACTTACAGAGTATCTTCATTGTCGTTTGTTCTCCCTTTCTCTCAATCTCTACTCGGCTGCCGGTTTTCTGTCAACACGTTGTTGTCCCGAAATAACAAGCGTGGCTTTTTCTGATTGGCTAAAACGAAATACGTGTAAGCTGGGATTCACCAAGGGGGAAGTAAATCTGCAACGTTTACCTCTAGACTGAGTGATAATGTCAGGGGCGTAATATGGTGGGATGCTGCAATGAATAGTGAAATGGAATATTTAAGCTATAACTCTGAAAATCCACGCTTCGTTGACATTTATTTTTTATCGTCTTTTCACTGAATAAAAAATATTTATTGCTTTTTTTTCCCCAGAGAACGAGGTTAAAAACTTCGTTTAAAAACGGAGTTTCAAACTAAACTTTTCGCCATAAAATTCGATTTTGGGCTCACAAAGGCTTAAAACCTCATACTTTTTATTTTTTTTTCGATCGCTCACGCGATCTCATTTATACTGAAGTCGCGTACGGCGACACTATATTTTAGCGCGTTTTTCTGGGGACCGGTAAACAGGTAAAGTCGTTCCAAACCCTGTGACCCCCACTAGATCCGCGCGTTTAACGAGACACCCTACGGCCATCTCTCTCTCTCTCTCTCTCTCTCCACGTTAATTATTTCTTCTTTAGATGGACCAAAGTTACGTTGTTTATTATTTCTACCCTACTGATGGCTCAAGTGTCTTGGGCCTATTTCACCAGCTATGTTGCATTTTGGTTATTTAATCTTTAGATTAAAATCTTTGTTAACCAAGATGCTCGAGTAATTATGAATGATATCTGATTCTTGATACATATTTAAAAATTCCTGAATTTGATTTTTAAAGAATTTTAAAGAATTCAGTAATATTTTATACGGAAATCAGCAATATTTTTTACATTTTTTTTCACCCATAGATTGATCCTAATAGGCTTTCGTAATTTTCTACTTGAATCACATCGTCAGGAATATGCAGAATTACAGACCATGTCACATAAACATATTTTAGAGTTAATAATATTTGCACGCTTTTTCATTTGAGAGTACGAAAGCCCATTGAGCTCATTTTGGTAGGTAAAAAAAAAAAAATTCGCGTTATAACGCGAAACTTTCGCGAATAAACGCGTAACTTTCGCGTTATAACGCGAAACTTCCGCGAATAAACGCGTACCTTTCGCGTTTAAACGCGAAACTTTCGCGAATAAACGCGTAACTTTCGCGTTATAACGCGTAACTTCGCGAATAAACGCGTAACTTTCGCGTTATAACGCGAAATTATACATATAAAGTCATTTTACTCAGGAACCTGTGATCTTGACTGACAGATAACATGAACGCAGAGGTGGACTTCTATGAATTTATAAATGACATTTCTTCAGAAGATGTAAAAGAGAATTGATCGATGCGAGAAATGGATAGATTAATTAGTGTTGATTTTGCATTTAATCTCAAAACCCTACTAATTAATTAAATGAATATTTAAAGATTTCCTTGTTTCTCACTTGTTTAATCAATGAAATTCTGTAGACTAATTTTTTTTTCTCAGGAAGATCTCCACTCGTTGCTTTCTTTGAATAAATTGTCAATGTTTTCGTAAGTAATGGTATGACCAAGTGGTGCAACCTTAAAATACAATGTTGTATTTCTACAGTGAGTCTATCGGAGATGAAATATTTGATACGAATATTTGTCATCCAATTTTCACATTAGGTTACTCATGTGATGTGACACAATTGTTCCGTGAAATATACAAATTTACCTCATTGTAGTCAATTTTCTGAGATCTTTTATTTCAAATTCTATACAGAGTGTTCAATCTAATTAAATTAGACTTGTATTTTCGCTCGTCTACCATACGCTTCAACACTTGTATTGAACAGCATTGAGAAAGACAAAATGTGACGGCAAAAAAGATTTAGAAAGAGGAAAGACACATTCAATGGCGAGAAAACATAAAATTTCAGCTCGTGATAATCTAAGTTCAAAATAGTCTTTCGTTTTTCACTGTAATGAATAAACTAGATCATTATAAGTAAAACAAACCGTAGACTTATGCAAATGTCTCTGTTTTACAGGGAAAGTTTCGCGTTTATTCGCGAAAGTTACGCGTTTATTCGCGAAAGTTACGCGTTATAACGCGAAAGTTTCGCGTTATAACGCGAAAAATATATTTTTTTTATCTACGAAAATGAGCTCAATGGGCTTTCGTATGAGAGAGAGAGAGAGTGGTTGTTCCATTGTTTTGATACTTTATTCACCTGTAGACATTTTGAATATAGTTCGTCGTTATAAATAAACAAAAGAATGGAAACTGACCAGATTTTTTTAAAATTTATTAATTCCTCTTCTCAAATACAATACATGCAATCGTCATGCATCAAAATTTAGAATAGGAGAAATATTAAATTGTATATGTTAGACTAACCTTCAGATGCAGCGTGTTTATGAAACTTTACGCTACACCGACATCACACACAAAAAGTAAGTACAAACTGATAAAAGCTGTCAGCCATTGTTTTGATTATTGCTTTCAGTGTTTAAAATGCATGCAAGGGAAGATATCTTTAATTAAATGAAGGTATGATGTACGCAATGTTCAATCCAATAAGAGATCTCTTCAAATATTAATTCAGAATAATTGCGCGTATCATTCAATTTTTCATTGCATTAATTAGTCTGCTGAAATGATGCTTGCAATAATGGAATTACTGCTCTTTTCAAATTGATTAATGATATTAAATATACTTCTTCAGTTGAAGAAATCAACAATTTAATTAATGTGCGCAATAATTGAATAATTCCGCGCATACCTCTAAACTTCAATTTATTCTTAAACATTTTAATTTTTCCTTCTCTTCAAAAGATAGATCGTAATTAATAAATATATAAAGATGTGTTTTAAAAAGTTATTAAATGAAGCATCAAATAATCATACGTTGGTGAGTGGGAATAACTTTAGCTATACACTAAAAAGAATCTTCGAATGACTTTATTCTTAGAGAATAGAGAATCGAAAACGTATTACTCTTTCCATGAATATTTAAATATCACCTGAAAATGCGACATAACCCAACACTGTACAATAAGCATCTAATAGACATGCCAAAGTGCAAAAATAAGTCAAATATTTCAAGAAAATTATTTTTGAAGGTTACAAACAGTTTTACAGCCCATACTGTTTTGTTAAATTCACAGCAAATACGAAGTAGATAGAAATAATCGAAATTAAGATTTATTGTGATTAAATAAGTTAAAAAAAATCAATTGTAGCATGTTGATATCGGTAGTCCATAATACCAATGCATAAATACCACCAATCAAAAACAAAATACTTGAAGTTGATACGATAAAATCATGGATTGGCCTCATCAGTATGCTTGAATTTGCAGTATGAATATTAATTCAAGTAAATATTCAAGTTACAACACTGTGCATGTTTTTGGCGATGTTCCGTCCGCGTTGTAGTTAGATAACTTCCACCAAATCGTTTTGATGTATTTATGACGCATACTTAATATCTTCTACAATTTAACTCTTTTTGAGAAAGATACGTGTTGAAATTGATCCAATCAAACAGTGACAGGACATAATATTTTTTACATCACCTATTTTAATTTAGGTTTGTTGTTAACAATACACCCCAAGAATTGATTTTTATTTGAAGGAAAAAAAATCTTCGCAGGGTTCTTTTGATTTATTTTTTTCTTCAAAGGCGCATTTATCTCTTCAACACGTGGTCCGTATGATTTTTAAATCCGTGCAACTGAACACGGACATAACCGATATTCAACATCATTTCACCTCTATGCCCATATAGCATAATGATAAAAATGGTATCTAAAGCCAATCTGAATGCCCAAGTAAATGAAATAATCCGACTCTACTGGAAAATTCAGTGCGAGTTCGTTCACTAAATCTTAATCACAACAGAAGTAAAACAGGATAAAAATGTTGCAGAAATGTTTCATAATTTTGATCCTTTTTGCATTAAAATTTAACCTAATTGAGGGTAAGTGTGTTTAGTCTTAGGAAATACTTAATAATTACAAAAAGCTGTGATCTTAAAAGCTTAAAAAAATATAACCAACAACTTTCCAGCTACTACTAGCAATAATAAAAAGGATAGATCAGGATATACAGGAACATTTCTTCCGGCAATAATTTTTTTTTTTCTTTTACAGGAATTGCCTGTACTGGTATGACAACTTTAGGAGCGGATCCAGTTTATAACAACGAGACTTTGGATAACAACACGGGTAAGTGTACCCCCCCCTAAAAAAAAAACTTCTTTATAAAAATGTACGGTACCACTCGCTTCCAGTTCAGTTCACGAAAAAGAATCCTTACTGATGAGGGAGAATTTGAAATTCTTCAGCCATTTATTTTTAATTACAATCGTTGTTATAAGATATATACTTTTCAGGGTTTTCCGATTGTAGGGAAATTAAATCCCCAAACTGATTTAAGGCATAAAATTTTAACAGAGACATCTGTTGAAGATTTACCCATGGTTTTCAATGGTAGTATATAATGCATGAAATTCTTTCAAAATGTTAATCGTCCTACAGATATGGTTCAATTTCAATAAAATTTGGAACACAGGTATAGTAACCTTAGGTAGAAAATTCTGTGTTCCGGTTTTAGATTTTGCTTACAAAAGATATTCCTCCAACAATTATGGTCTGATTTGAATAAAACATGGTACATAAGAATTAGGAAACTATTACAAAATTCATAGATTCTGTATTTTTTAGGCTGTAAAATTCGTTTAAAGATGCTACTTCTGCACAGTTAATAAAATAGTGCAAGTTTAGTACACATCAAGATGTACAATTCTGTAAATGTTAAGCTAATAAAAGGTATATTCCAAGTTCTGTCGCAACTTCTTTTAGTACAAACTGATAGAACTATAGAGTCTCATCAGAGAATCTTGGGTTTCACTCCTCTGACCTAAGCTAAATGCCTGGGTAAGAGGCACCTCTTCAGGTACATAATTAATGACGAAATTCACCATTACATTCACTTTTATTTTCTTCTTCAGGTACTGGCTATTTAATGACAGATTCGTCCTTCACCGTTGGCTGCTGTGGAGTACTGGTCAATTGGAAGGTCTTTATTCAGAGTCGGGGATCAATCAACCTACAAATATGGCGTCCAGAGGGTTCAAAGTATAAATTGATTGGGGAAAATATCTACTCATTTGACTCTCGTAAGTAAAGCTCTCTCTCTCTCTCTCTCCATTAGGAGTGTCAAAATTGTGAATAACTCTATGAAAGTACATTCGAATATATTCAAATATTCGGTATATCGTACTATGTTTTTTTTTTAAACCCCAGGTATATATTAAGCGTTTTGCGTTGGTATTTGGGAATAAAATGTCATGTAGAGTTTTGAAAGTCAGTACAATAAAGTATTTTTAATATTTTTCAGAATATTTTATAGAAATACGAGTGTTGTTCAACAAGTTCGTGGACAACAACTTTTAACATTTTCATCAAACTGAATGGTCCTAGATGTACTAATTATATATATATATATATATATATATATATATATATATATATATATATATATATATATATATATATATATATATATATATATATATTTGTGAAGAAATTTAAATCCGAATGGTTTGGGTTTAATTGTTTGAACTTAATCATTTTGTAAACATAGCGGTCTTTAAAGGTCGCAGGTAGTGCGCGTCATGCGCACTACCAGGCTTAAAAAGCTATAAACTTATAAATAAAGTTTTTGGATTAAAGATATACACGCTATATAAACGCGATTTTTTTACGTGAAACAAAATGATTAAATGATTTGAGAAACATGATGTGTAATAGAAAATAATTACTTTCCACAAAGTTTTACTAAATAAGTCGTTGTAATTACAAAACAATTAAACAAGATCTGCAATTAAGAATTCAGCCTAATAATGAATATTGATGAAGGAAGTGCGTAAACAGTATATAGACACGCATGTCCGCGGGAAATCATAGACAACGAGATACGTTGCACTTTGACTACGATTTTGAATAAAAGTTAATATCTGTCATTACAGAGTAGATGGTTAATACTGGTTGTTTTCAAAGATAAGTATCTTTAAGCATAAAACGTATGCCATCCATGTCAAAAGTTATTTTGTATACCAAACGGCCTACCTCGTTTTCTTGACGCCATTTTTGTTTATCAATCTCAAAGTAGTGACGGTGTCACATGATGCATGAATTTAAATAGAGGCATTACTTTCCTAGTAGGATAATAAATAATTATAATTTGAGATCTTTATAATGCGTTCATTTTCAGTTGTGTAATTTACAATATTTTCGTAACTTTATTTGGTGAACAAAATAAATAAATTTCCAACTTTATTTTTAACTTACGCAAATTATAGCGTGTATATCTTTAAGATATTTAATTATCTTTCATAAGCAAGTCCAATTAAGTCAAATTATACGCAAATAAAGCGGCTATAGTCATTTTCTGATAGCTTTAGTATAAATTATTGGACAGATAGTGAAATTATTAAGAAAAAACCCACAATAATATCTTTCTAAAATTAACAAAAAAAGCGACGTTGGCAATCCGAATGGAGCAGCGTCCAATGCCTGAAATGACGTCAGAGACAAAAAACAAAAAAAATATTCCAACAACTGGAAATTATTGAAATATATTTAGTTCCTTGATTTTGGAGACACTTTACGAAAGGGAAAATCACTGTTATTTGATGTAAAAAGGGTAACAACTACTTATGACGTTGTTATAAATCTAGCGCAACGTCGAATTTGGGGGTGCAGCCTGTGTAGACGAAGTGTTTAACTATAGTATATTGATATGACGCTAGTAAATTATCATGTATTGTTTTGAATTTTAAAAATGTATTCAATTATGGTGTATACATATATAAATTTATTTTATCGTATATATATATATATATATATATATATATATATATATATATATATATATATATATATATATATATATATATATATATATATATATATTATCGTACACGCTTGACAGTGTGACATGATGTGAAGTGATTCTTAAGAAAACTATTGTGTTTGACTACGAACTTCATGAACAACCCTCGTATATTGACTGCAAGTGTAAAAGTCAAAACAATTCAAAAATATCAATTGATTGTCTTACCAAAGGCTAAAATGATAACTCAGGTACATAATTGTGCTAGATTGATATTGCATATAAAGACTAAAAAAAATATTTAAACTAAACTGTGAAGAAAATACAATGTATAAAGCGATATTACGCAAGGTTGTAGGATGAAATAAAATGGAAATGTATCAATATTTGACAGGAGAAAAACGCACCCGTCTCTCAAACGCATTTAATGTAAACATGTCATTCATGAACGAATTGTTAATTTACGTTTATGACAGAAAGAATGAAAACTAAACAGGACCATTTTTTGATTATGTCAGCAAAGAAGTTGTATAAATGAAGATTTAAAAAATATATTATAAATAACAAAATTAAATTAATCATTAAAACAAATGTAAAGTTTGAAGATAACGAACACTGATCAATCTCATCAATCCAGTAAAGAATAAAAATCGTGAACAGGGAAAAAACACGGACCTCCGGAAACACCAAGGATGGGATCAGGTGCCTAGGAGGAGTAAGCATCCGCTGCCTATGTATTGATCAGGCAGATCAAAACGAGGAATATTGGAAATATAATGGAATATGGAGATAACGAACAGTATTCAAGCTCATAGTCCATTCAAACAATACAAATCGGGAGCAAACACGGACCTCCAAAAATGGAATGAAGAGAAGTTGATCGTGAACATTACGAACAATGATAAACTTTTTAACACTTTTAAAACAGGTTATTTTACTAAAAGGCACCCAAGAGGCACGAAAGTGTATGTCTATATTTTACATATAAAATGAGAAAAAAAAATCACACGGCACCTTACGCACGTGGATAAAGGAATATTTCCCAGTTGATTCGATATGCAAGAGCATATTCTACGTGCAAACATTTTCTAAAACGAGACAGGCAACAAATGAGTTGATGATGTTTGTTTGTTTGTTTGTATGTTGTTTAACGTCCCTCTCGAGAATTTTTCACTCATATGGAGACGCCACCACTTGCCGGTGGAGAGCTGCAAATTTTGTCCTATACTCGGCACTTACGGCCATTGAGCAGTGAGGGATCTTTTTCGTGCCAGCACCTACTGGGACACAGGACCTCGGTTTATACGGTCTCATCCGAAGGACCGGTCTCCACGTCCCACAGTGGGATTCGAACCCGCGACGTAAGGATCAACTCCTTACGCCGCGACTCTAGAGCGAACGCCTCACATTTCATTTTGAAAGGAAGTTGATTTTAAAATATGCATATTTATTAATTAAAATCATTAATAATGCTTTAACATGAGCATTAAACTTTACACAATTTTGGTATACCATCGAGTTTATTTTTATCAATGCTACTAAACTCACACACAAATTTCAATATTATATAAACGGCTGAGTAGAAATTTGTTTATCTCATAATCAAAACGGAAAAAAACCCATACAAACAAGATACATGTAATATGTTTCTAATTCTTTTCTGTCACACGTCACAAATTCACTTTGATCAAAAAATGCTTATAAAACTCTACCAGATTTAATTGGCAACCCATGTTTACAACATCTTAAATTTATATAAATAATAAATTTGTAAAAACCAGGACGCGCAATTCAATTTATTGATTTAACGATGGTACAAACATACATACACTGTACATGTACACGTAGCAATAAAAACATACCAAATATACACACGATTACATTTTATTACTTCAACAAGGTATCAAAACATTCTTCCTCATTTCAAAGTGCTCTCTCAAAAATTGAACATTTTTTATGGTACACCTGTTACTAGTGGGATTAACGATGTTGTTAATAGGGTTACTTTTCATAGATGTTTGTGTATTAAAACATCCTTATACATTATTCTACATGTACCTTGAACACGGACGGTACATTACAGAATTTTTCAATTACTATAAACACTAAACAAGTATGACCAAAAAGTTTTTTTCTTCGATTTGGAGGCCTAGAGTGTCTGCCAGTTTCAAAAGAGTTATAAGAACTTATTTTATTTTGGTGAATCGTGATCTATCACTTCTTTTATTATTGTCTTAGAGTACTTTGTAAAATATACTCATCAAAATCAATCATTCTGCTTCTTCAAAATGTTAATTAACCAGAATCTGTACGTCATAGAGATAGTTTTTATGTTAAGTTTTTACTGTGCTTACATAATATTCTTAAAATTTTCTTTCTTGAAAACTTTATACGACCTCAGACAATCTTTGTTTTATTTCTGTCTTTTAAAGTATAAAACTTCTTTTTCCATGAAACTCCGAAGGGCTAGTTTTTATCTTCTTTTTATGCAGACACTAAGAGCTGATAATTACAATCATTACTGACTTCACTCTCTTATAAACTATGATGACATTTCAACATACATCCATAGCAGTTCATACAAAACAGTAAGATTTTGTGATTGTATACACCAAGTATATCTTCAAACTTTGATTTGGAACTTTTTTAAATGGAAAACTCGGAAGATATCAAATCCATTTGTAGTGAGTGATTCATGTTTTAGAAATAAGTAATAATAGGAACTAACATTGGATTTTATATTTTTAACACCTCTAATCTGCTGAAAACTTTATGTTACTGGAAGATCACATTTTATGGCAAAATATTTTTCTCCGTTAGTAAATTTTCATGTCTTGTGATTGGTCATCTACAAAATTACTATGTTAAAAATTATTCTGATTCAACATACAAGTAATCTGAAGTTGATATCAAAATGTTGATGGAGTTCCTCATTGACAATATCAATGTAGTCTTTGGAGACCAGGTCTTCCAACAATCTGTTGGAATTTGATGGACACTGATTGTTCTCCTTTGTTAGCCATCCTGTTTTTTTTATTCTTATGAAGCAGAATTTATTCAAAAACGTCTTCATGAGAAAAAACCACTTGCTGTGGCCTTCAACTCGACATTTAGATATATCGACGACGACAACGACAATTAACAATAGTTACTTTCATTGATATGTCGACTCGATGTACTAGTATCCAAGTGAACTTGAAATAATAAAAGATACTACAGAGTCTGCCACATATGCTTCATATTTGGATGTTTTATCGACTTAAACGATTATGTCCAACTAATAACTAAACTTTATGGAAAACAGAATGACTTCAGTTTTTCCATCATCAACTTTATACGTATTGTCTTTTATTAATTTTCAATCTAAAGTTGAAAATGATCATTTTCAACTTTAGATTGAAAATTAATAAAAGACAGGTTTACAACAATCTGTAAAGGAAGAAGATTTTTAGCCTTTTGATTCATACATTTCAACCATTTTTTTTCAAATCAGACTGTTATTGATTGCGTTGTAACCCATTTCTAAAATCTGTTTATTCTTTAGATAACATCCATTGACATTCCAAATAATTAAATAATATTAAGTTATACGATAAATATTATAGTATTTTTCAATATATGAATGATTTATTTTCTTTATCGAAAAATTAAACAGAAAAAGAAAACAAGAAGAACACATAGTTAGCAGTAGTTTTTTAAGTATAAATGCAGCAGTGGGTGCAAAATAACGTGGAATCTTAAATTTCACAGTTCAAGTCAGTGAGGTTGCTGAAATTATCCAACTTAAAACTATACACGCACTTTTTTCAACGGGGCCAAAATTCCACGAAATCATCATTTCTGTTCAATCTGCGGGTAGAAAATTAACTGGATATCTTAGATTGCAACTATATGCCTTAAATATACTTATTTTACACTGGGACAAATTTCTGCGGAAAATTTGTGACCGCGTACATAGCGTAAATAAGTTACACGTGGAAAAAAAGTATATTTATAGTATGCCATAATGTCTAAACAGTTTTAAAGCTTCTATTAGACGCAAAGTTGTCTAGTATTGTTCTACCTCATATCGTTTAAGTTTTTAGGGAGCCATGATCGGCTCTTTGTAGAATGCTACCATTCTGAGATTGGGATATATAATTGGCAGCATCCCGCCCCTCCCAATGAAAGTCGACCCCCCATTAGATGTTAGCCATTGTTAGGAATTATTGCGAAAGAATTGGATAGACGTATTTAATAAATTATTGCCCCTTTATAATGAAGCAACAAATGATTCTTTTCTAAAGCAAGTCAGCTGATCGTTCAAAGTCTTGACATCCCCCAAGCACAGCAAGTTGTGGTAAAACAAAATGACGTCATCGGATGGTGAGTACATGCAACTTCAGTACATCCATCAGAAGTTTATAACATAGAGTGTAATGAAATATAGAATATATTGCCTGTGCAAATTAAAATATATGTCGAAGCATTGTTTGAATATTGTGACCATTATGAATATCCTATAAAATTAATAGCCCTTAATTGAAATTTTCATTATAGAATATGACGTATCTCTTTAAACTTTTCATCTTTGTCACGATATAGGTACAGTTCATCTAGTGACATGGTTCCATATAAATCGGGAGCGGGATCCGCCAGTGGTAATTATTTGCAGTTGTTTACCACGCCTCCTACCGTGGGGACATCTTATGAATGGAGTACAGCGAATTTCTTCAGCCAACGTTCATACGCTGTTCAATCCACGATAGATGCAAGTAAGATTTAAGACTTGTGTTACATCTTAAACGGTGATCAACTGTCTCATTATCCAATGTACATGCATCAAATCCTATTTTTGTGAACTAAACGTTTTTTTCTTCTCATGCATGATTGAGATTTTTTTAATCACCCATTGTCATTTCACTAAAGAGCTGTTTTGCTTAACTAAAGTTACAATCGACGCAAAACGTGTTCATAAAGAAGACTGGCTTGAAATATAACGCAGAGAATTTTGGGGAATGTATGTTTTAATAGCCCAAACAAAGTAATCTTGTCGGGCAGAATAAAATGAACTTTGAATCCGGTTACTGAAAAAAATGTATGTAGACTTGTGCAAACTTGATCAATAGTGCCATGGAGAGCCTCCGGAGCGTATACAAATACCTTTAATGAAACAATTCAACAGATTAGTGAAAACAAAATTGTCTTTGGTACATGTACGTAAAGTAACCATTTATTTATTTGAAAAATAAAATGTAGAGTTACTTTTTTTCAGATGTCGCACCAACATTCAAAAACCTTCCAGCAACCAAGACGTTCCAAGACAAAACTCCCGCCACAACAGTAATGATAGTGACTGTAACAGACGATAATTCAGGAGATGTGGCGACGCTGTCCGTCAGCCTGAAAACGCACACCGATAAATTCGAGGTGTCCTCTAGTACGTAAGAATTAATCCAATCAACAAAATCAAGCTCATACACTGATGGTAATACCTATTTTATCAACACTTTCTAAAGAAAGTTTGGTGTATTGTTGTTGTCCTGATCCGTCAGTCTGCCTTTCACTCCTTGTTCTTCCTCAAACTCCTTTTACATTTTAAGCAGTAACCAATTTATCTTTTGAATTTAGTAAGTGATCTCCTGTATATGTGAGATAAGGTTAGGGAGTTTTCAATTTCATTATGGGGCCAATTGATGTTGAAAAACTACGTTTTTCTACAAAACCGTTTTTCTAAGATCAACGCAGTAGCCAAATCATCTTTTGGAATTTGATTAGTGATATCCTGTAGATGTCCAAAAAGATTTTGGAATTTTTATTTTAATCTTGGCGCCACATTTTGGTAAAAAAGACGTTTTTTCTACAAAAACCATTTTAAAAGAACTCTTGTTACATTTTACTCAGCCAAACCATCTTTTGAAATATGATTTATGGTATTCTACAGATGTACAATAAGGTTTCGGAGTTTTCATTTTTATCCTAGGAGCCATCTTTTCGTCGAAAAAAAGGTTTTAGTTCTACAAAAAAACCATGTAACAAGAACTTTTAAATCTTACTCAGTAGCCAAATCATTTTTGGTATATCTGGAATTGTTGATGTGCAGTAAGGTTTGGAAAATTTTCGAATTCATGGTCCAATTTTCGGTCGGATAAAGGCGTAGTTCTGCAAAAACCATCTTCCAAGAACTCCTCTGACATTTTTTGCAGTAGCTAGATCATCTCTTGGAACGTAATTGGTGGTGCAATAAGGTGATGGAATTTTCGAATTCATTCTGGGGGGTAGTTGGGGATAGCTAAAAGTCATTTTTTTTCTACATTTCTAAACATAATTAAATTTAATTAAACTGGTAATGAATTAACGATATGAAAATACTAACAAGAAAGGCCCATGAGCCACATGCTCACATGATCATTTTATGCTAAATTTTATATACACCTATATATTTCTGTAAATTATGGAACGAATATTGTGGCTTCTTTACTAATTATCCAAGTACAAGAGAATACATTTAGAGGCTAATACGTGCTGGTATTTTTGTCTTCTTACATCTAGTTCAAAATATTTTAGCCTTGTTTTTGATAAAATTTTAAAGCTTTCTGTTAAATGTGAACAGTTTACATAATTTCTGAAGTGAAAACACAGTAGCTCTATTATGTATTCAATTCAGATATGTGCCAAAAGGAAAAAAATATTAATGACAGTATAAATGTTTGGGTAAAATCTTGGCTTAAGAACAGGGTTAAAGTTATAATTCAGGACAAAAGTGAAAGATATGAATAGATTAACGGTTAGAAATAGAGTTAGGCTCGAAATGAGGGTTGTGGGAAAGTTATGATTTAACCGCAACCCTGGGTAATAATACAACCTAGCAATGTTTACTGGTATGTCCTTGGAAGTTCAATTGTTCCACAGACTCGGTAGCGCCAAAAGCTGGATGGACCTGGTCAGTGGGAACCTTCGACGCTAGTGTTGTTGTTACCGATCAGTGTGGGAATTCTGGGACAGAAACGTTAACAATCGTCATAGAAAACACGGTACAGTATGCTGAAGGGCCGAAAAAGCATTCAATCAGAAGTGAATCTAATCAAAGGTCATCCAGAGTATAAAGAGTGCATGATAATTAGAAAAGCATTGTATTTAAAACTTCGAAATCAAGATAGGAAATTAACTTGATTAAGTAATAATTTTACTGTGTTCATGCTGTTAGTTTGCTTTTCATTTGAAAATGTGAGTAAGAGGTTCAAGATTTGATTTTGATAAATTAACCAGGCACCGGATATCTCTTACCTTCCATCGGCTTCAGAGTTGTCTGAGGTCGTGACGTCAGAGACTAAGCTCGGAGATCTCTCTGTTACTGATGTACAAACCTATACATGCTCTATATATGAAGTTACTCCATCTTCCGGAAGCGCGAAATTTATTCTCAAGCAGGCATCAGGATCGTCGGGTAACTACCCAGAACTTGTGTTCTATAAATAATTCTTGATATGACTAACTTGTGAACCCTTAGTATAACAATATTTATAGAGTATGATTTAACTCAGCTCTGTTTGTAGTGTATTCGATTTACTCTGCGGAAAACCCAAACTTCGTATACTCCATGGTGTCCCAGTATAAGGTCAACGTTACGTGTACCGATGTATACAGTTTGACGTCATGGGGAGAATACACTGTTAATATTCTACCAAATAAGCCACCAGTACTCGGCACATTACCAGGTACTTTCCGGTTTCCAAAATGAATATATCCCTTATAAGTCAACGTATTTAAAACATTTTTATAGCCTAGAATGAATCATACTTTGAAGTCGTTTGTTAGAACTTTCATTGTATTTACATTAATATTATTTGACGTTTTAGCAACACAAGCTGTATCAGCAAAAACCACAACGATTGGAACAGAGATCTTCAGCGCTCTAGCAACTGATACCGATTCAAGCCAGATCTTCTACAACAAAACCTGTTCACCAAATCCGTGTCCATTTGAGATATTTGGAGGTAAGTAAACAGATATTGATCATGTGGTAAAGTGTAAATATTTGAAAAGTGTATATAGTTTTAGTATTTTAGGATTTTGTGTTTATTTGACATGTTTAGTATTATTATCTACAAAATAATTGTGACATTATTACTTACAGGAAATTTATTTAATTTAACTTAGTTATATTTCAGCAGTTTATTATTTATTTAAGGTATATTATACTTTAGAAGATATAATTATTTAGGAATTACTTAAGTATTAATAAATATAAGTTCCCCTTATTGTAATAAACTTTGAGAGGTCAGTGACCTATGAAATAACCCATCAGTGAGATTTCATTGGTCGAGGTTTTTGGAGGGAAATCTTTTTGTGGGCAGTGTATTTTTGGTTGGAACTGGTCATACCAGTCTTTGTGTTCAAACTGACAGGATGTCTTGATGTTCCTGATTTCATACGATTTGGGGTGTAGCAGTTTATTTTCTTTGATTGTTCAATTCCAGAATATCAGGACTGTCACAGCTACATGATTGTATAACTTTCCATATGTACATCCAGACCTTTTGACCATATTAAAGGGTCTACTATAGTATACTACTCTACTCTATTGTTACCATGGTTACTATTATTTAATAAAATACAACAATGAAGCAAGGACCAACTTTGTTTTTATTCAACGAACCCTATTACAATCACAATACACGTACAAACTTATCTGATCATGCTTTTTCAATATCTGATGCTATAGAATAAAACCAATTTAATTTCCATACATATTCTTAATTTTCAATGTTTTTAAAGAATACCATGTAAACGATATACAGAATCCTACTTTTAGATGGAAAGATTAAAGCTACTGAAGACCTTATGCTACACAAAGTTCCAACTTACGATATGCATATTTATGCTTACGATGGACGCACCCTTGTTGGACCAGGAACTCTCACCATCAATATAAATGGTAGGTTTATAATGCGATGTCAAATACATGTACATATTAATTAATTGTGCAATAGGTTTCGGAATCTTTATTTTTATCACACGGATTTACTTTTGATGAAGTATGGTTTATTATGGAAATTTTTGCTATGGTAACTTCATTAAGTATGGAGAATATACTTCTTTTTTCTGTATATCAGATATTAACCACGTCCCTGTTATCAGCAACATACCCACGTCCACAGTTACTGTTCCTGAGAATACGGCCGTGGGGACAGAGGTATTTACAGTACAAGTGACGGACCAGGACCCAGGAGACACCCATACATACACTGTTACCTACAGTCCGGCGGAGGGAGGGTTATACTTAACTATGGATGCTAACAGTATGATGTAGTGAATTAAAATTTCTTTCGAAATAGAAAAGTTCTATATGAAGACATTCAAATATGATTAGAAAGAAGATAATAGACAAGAATAGATATATATATATATATATATATATATATATATATATATATATATATATATATATATATATATATATATAAGAGGAGAGCAATTTGTAACCGGTTAACCGGTTACTCGATTGGAACGATGGTAATCGGTTAGAAAATTGGTTATAAAATCCTTAATCGGTTAGTCGGAAAAAATAAAATACGTGTAAATTTCCTTAAAACTCGATTAACTATCTCAAAAAAACCTCTGAATATTGATGTTATGACGTTTTCACATTTGATTCGGCTGATTTGGAGGTAGATAATAAAGACTCTCAAGTTTGAAATCGTTGGGGTAATTGGTCATTTTGCGAAGTGTTTGCTGTGTAAACACTATGTCGTTACCCAGCCTGTCCTAAATTTCTTTAATGATATTAATTAAATCTTTGTTGAGTTCTGTTAAATGATTTGAATGATTGCAATGTGTATCTTACCCCGTCTATCCTTCGCAGTTATCTGTCAAATTATATTTTTAAACACACATTGTAAATTATGTGACAGTTCATATAGCGTATTAACCAAGCATTAACATTAATATTACTAACGTCTTTTACAGTTTTCTTGTGTATATAACTATAGTTAACTTAAAAAAGAAAATACCAGGAAAATATGTTTTTCGATACGATTAACCGATTAATCGGTCAGAACGACTTGCGGTTAACCGATTAGTAATTCTGTATTCGATTGCCACCCCTAATATATATATAATATATATAACCTTTGTTTTTCTCAGATTTCTACAAAATACAATTTTTTACGGATTTAAAATCGCTTACTTATTGTCAAAATTGTCTATAGTTTTAATGTTTTCAAGAACCAGAACTTTGACTGAAAAAAGAGAATTTCGAGAATGAATTATTTTTGTCTATCGAAATATACATAAAAAAGCCCGGATGTTATTTCGAATAACTCTCCTCATAAAATAGACGAAGTGAAAGTAGTAACGTTATTTTTTCGACCTGGCTGAGGGCCATAAAACTTAGACGAGCTCATTTTGTATCCAAGTTCCACTTTTTCCAAAAGGAATTATTAGTGGAAAAGTGAGACTGAGATCAAGAGTGAGGTCATCTAAGTTTTATGGCCCCGGGGCCTGAAGAAACACTTACCTTAGTTTTTCATTTGTGCTACTTTCTGCATAGCATAACTCAATACCGATTTGATTGTTAACGGTAATGTATCCTTTCAGCTCCATGTTTTGTTGAAACACATTTTCATTTGACTTTCTATTGGAATTATGATAAATCTATAAAAGAAATTAATAAACGTTTGATTCTTGGCATGATCATATGTCTCAAACATAATTATTGGTTGATTGTATAAGGTTTGATTAGAAAAAAAAATTGAAAAAGTTAGTGATTTGGAGGCGGCAATGAAGGAAGAAGGTTTTTTTTTTCTAATCTGTAGTAAACCATAATTTACTAAAACAATTTCCTTATTTTTCTCAAATTAACTCTTTTTTAGCTCACCTGAGCTGAAAGCTCAAGTGAGCTTTTCTGATCATCCGTTGTCCGTCGTCTGTACGTCCGTCTGTAAACTTTTCACATTTTCAACTTCTACTCAAGAACCACTGGGCCAATTTTAACCAAACTTGGTACAAAGCATCCTTGCGTGAAGGGGAGTATAAATTTTAGAATGAAGGGCCAAGTCTCCTTCAAAGGGGAGATAATCAAGAAAATACAAAAATTGGGTGGGGTCATTAAAAAATCTTCTTCTCAAGAACCACAGGACCAGAAAAGCTGAAACTTATGTGGAAGCATTCTGGGGTAGTGTAAAATCTAAATTGTTCAAATCATGACCCCCGGGGGCAGGGCGGGGCCACAATAGGGAATCCAAGTTTTACATTGAAATATATAGTAAAAATCTTTAAAAATCTTCTTCTCAAGAACCACTGGGCCAGAAAAGCTGAAACTTACGTGGAAGCATTCTGGGGTAGTGTAGATTCTAAATTGTTCAAATCATGACCCCCGGAGTAGGGGAGGGGGGACAATAGGGAATCCAAATTTTACATTGAAATATGTAGTAAAAATCTTTAAAAATCTTCTTCTCAAGAACCACTGGGCCAGAAAAGCTGAAACTAATGTGGAAGCATTCTGGGGTAGTGCAGATTTTAAATTATTCAAATCATGACCCCTGGGGGTAGGGCGGGGCCACAATAGGGAATCCAATTTTTTACTTTGAAATATGCAGAAAATATCTTTAAAAATCTTCTTCTTAAGAACCACTGGGCCAGAAAGACTGAAACTTATGTGGAAGCATCCTGGGGTAGTGTAGATTCTAAATTATTCAAAACATGACCCCTGGGGGTAAGGATGGGCCACAATTAATACTACAAAAGGGGGGGAGAAATCAAGTGAAAAACAGCAAGGCCACAGTTACTCAGGTGAGCGTTGTGGCCCATCGGCCTCTTGTTTTAATCTGGATCAGCTTAATGAATGTGAATGTGTTCACCTTCTCCTGTACTTATTCAAGGAAGAGATCAGACTTCCCACAATCTCATTGCCTATGGTGACCATGGCGTCTCTTTGTCTCATAAAATATCACTCATTTGGCCATCAATATCATTACAATGTGGTCGGTATTTTTTTTTTCCTTTTGAAGCTGGTGTAATTTCTGTGAAAGACGGTATTGACTATGAAAGTCTTCGAACAATTAATAAACTTACATATGACGTCACAATAATTGCAAATGACGGTAGAGAAAGTTCAACCTCGCAACAGATGACGATAATCATTACCGATGTAAATGAACAACAGACGGGATTTGTTAAGTCGCTATACACCATAGAAACAGGAGAAGGAAAGGTAGGTTTTATTTTATGTACCATTTATGAGAAATAAACAATATAACTTATGGGTAACACTCGAGAATCGTATGTATTCCATGCAATTAGGAATAAGTATCGTTATTTTGTTATATAATTTTTAACTTTTTTTTTTTTTTGATTTTAAACATGAAAAAAAAGAAACTTCTCAAACCATAAGAAGATGTTTACAGTTCATAGTGACATGACTACAGTCTGACTGACTCTCCAAATTAAATTTAAAAACTTTTGTTTTAAAAAGTACCATAAATGATAATATTATGCTTCAGTCAGGAAATATGTTGACCAATCCATTTACCGGTACACAAGTTCTAGATCCTGATTTTAATGAAGTTCAAACCTTTACCATGGACTGTGGTGCCAACCAAGGAAAATTCAGTATGGATCCAAATACAGGTGCTTGTTGTGAAATAAAGTCCCTTATCATTTTATTCTTTAAAAAAAAATTAGTCCTTGATACAGTTACAATGTTGAAATTTAATCATTTAAATAAGGTTCCATAACCCAGTCTGTAGAATACGATCTAGATTCTGCTGGGAAGGAACAGGAAGTGGTGACATGCACAGTCACAGCGACGGACAAAGGTGGACATACTGTAACAACTCAATTGTCAATCACAATAAACGAGATAAATGACAACGCACCTGTTCTTGACAAAGGGAGCTACTCTTTCTTTGTTTCACAATGCTCATCAGTCGGGTCGTCAGCAGGTCAAGTAACTGCCACTGACAAGGACGTTAAACAGGAACATAAGGACGTGACCTTTACTCTTACTTCAGGAACGGGGTTTTTAGTAGGGAATGACGGTACAATTCACGTTGCACAGGATTTGTGCAATGTACCCGTGGGCACGAAGTATGACTTCACTTTAACTGCAGTTAATGCAGACGGACTACAAGATACTGCTCCAGTTAGCATTGTAATCAGAGGTATTTTCTAAAAGTAGAATGTATTTTTTTAAAGTTACTTTTATGTTTAGAATACATTTGGATTGTGTTAATATTGCACAAGTATTATAAATTGTAAATTATTTTGAAAAAAAAAGATATCGTAGGAAGTAAAACATTTTTGGTATTGAAATTCTTTGCGATTTTCATTCGAATGTCAATCGATTGATTGATTGATTGATTGTATGTTGTTTTACGTCCCATTCGAGAATTTTTCACTCATTTACTTCAACATATACCGGTGGAGGGCTTCAAATTTAGATCTTTACTCAGCACTCAGGGCCATTGAGCAGTGAGGTTTCTTTATTGTGCCAACGCCTACCGTGACTTGGGCCTCGATTTTTAAGGTCTCAGGACCTGCAACTTTCACTTCAAAGTGCCGAGCGCTCGGCGAAGGTACAGTTGCTTCCTATTTTTTGTCGACTTAGGTCAGTCGCGGCCGTGATTCGAACACACGACCTTCCGATCACGGAGCGAGCACTCTACTGACTGAGCTACCGTGATGGCAAAATGTCAATCGAAAGTATAACAAAACACCATCACATGTCAATATATATATCCTTGCCCAGGTGCCTCTATTATATGGCTTCTTTGATTATTTCTGCCCTCTATAGACCCCACTACCACCACTTCCACAACAACAACTACCACCACCACTACGACTGCACCACCTAGCTCTGGAGGATCAAGCATCTCCACAGGCGGATTCTTTGACAACCCAGAGAACCTGGCTTGGTTCATACCTGCTGTACTCCTGGCAGCTTTGATGATGGCTCTATTTATTTACTTCTTGTACAAGTGTTTTCGTCATCCTGGTTTGTTGTCAAGAGTTTGGTAAGTAGCATTTCCTATAAAGTTTAACTATATTTTTTAAATTTTGGCTTTAACAACTTAATTTTTTTACAGCTGCAAGAAGAAAACTTCACCCAGACATAGAGGTACAATGACAGAAAACATGATTTAAGATATTAAGTGAAAAAAGAACGTTTTATTTAAAAGCTCTTGAATTTTCTATTTAATGTGTTAGAGTGCTTTCAAAATGTTACTTAAAATTCTTTATATTTTCAGTGAAAGAGCCGGAAAAGATAAATGGGAAGTACGAGTGGAATGTTTGGTCTCACAGTGACTACACAGACAACAAGTAAGTCTCAATTTTATTGTTCCAAAGCCTGCACGGACAAAAATCAATGATCTTCCGCAGAGATTGCACACATTCACAAAGATATGCTTAGTTTTCTTATGAGCCTCAAAAGCAATCTTAGAGTTATCTTTAACAATGTTATAAATGCAAATACTAGAAAGTAACTGCAATTATTCAATCTTGTCCTTGGGCAATTAAATATTTGTTTACATCAATGGTCAATAAAATAATTATCGATTCTTTGTGTTAAAAAAGTTTTCAAAGGTACTTAATTTATTTTTAAAAAAGGGGTATTACATTAACCCGTTATGCCAAAGAGTAATGGGTGCAACAAATTTCTTGTGGATTTTTCACTAACTTGAGCAACCAGGAAAGTCATGTTTAACTATTTTAGGGAACAGATATACTTTATGTGCGTCACATTTTCCTTTCTTTTGACCTCAGAATCACCATTATTTATGTTACGTAAAGTGTCATTGCGATAAGGATGGTATTTTTTCCTTATTTGTTTTTATTTCAATTTTCAGGATCGAGATGCGTTGAAAATCCTCTTTTGAATCGTCCAGTGCTCTGATAGTAAGGCGATTTCATCGAGTGTTTATACATTTTAAACAAAGACAAAGAGTCTCAATGTAGATATAAAATGAATAGCAAAGATATTTGTATTAATCCCATTGAAATTCTAAGAAACGCTATTTACAAAGCTGTTAGGCTTTTAATGTCGAACAAAGGAATCTGTTGACAACAAATTATGCTTTATATAAGACATTTTTTTCATCATTTTTCAAATACTAGAGTACTGTTTTCAAAATTGTTTTGAAGGAGCTTTGAAATCTCTTTCTCTCTCCTTCCTTCCCTCCCCTCCTCTTGATCGATCGATTTATATCCTATAAAGTGCTTGAAAAGAGGAAATATATTCAGAACTCTCAAGACAACATTTTTACTACTAATATTTGTAATAATGAGAGAAATAAAATCATATGAAACCTTTTGACCAGAAAAAAAGTTGTTTATATCTTCATGAGAAACAAAGTTGTTGGCATAGTATCTTTATTTAATTGTATTAAATTTTTAATGATGAATATTGTGCTGTAACTTACTTACTTACTTAGGCCTGTCGTTCTGTGAGGAACATAGGCCATCGACGACAGTCCTCCAACGAACTCGATTCTGGGCTGCTTTTACTGCATCTTGCCAGGTCATGTCCTGAGTCTGTAAAGCTCTCATAAAAAATCAGTGTTTAAACAAACGCATGTACAAATCTCCGACACTCCTTACATTTTTAAGAAAATAAAAATGTGCTGAAATATGAAATGTCAAGAGTCTCTGTGTTATTTTTAGGTATCTAAATAATTACTTATGTTGTACTATTGACTTCCAGGCATGAGCCATATTTTGACTGACGTTTTTCATACTAATTGATAGGCCTTTATTTACACACTGAATTGTCGACGGAATTTTCCCTTATTTCTCGATCATTACAAGGAACACACGGCGGGTGTGACCGGATGGCAGGGGATAGTCACTCCTCCATGGTACCTGATCCCACCTCTGATGTTTTTAGAGGTCCGCGTATGCTCTGTATTGTCTTAATGGACTTAGAGCTTGAATACTGTTCGTTATCTCCATATTTCTTTTTTTTTTTACTTTGGTAGAAACGTGGAACTGCGATGTGTCTACGTTAACAATATTTTGTATTATAGATATAACATCAGGCACAGGTAAATTTAGACATTAATTACAGTGCAGTGATTTAACTATTTGAATTCTTTCATTATTCTCTCAATTAATAATTAATCTATTATTATTATTATTATTATTATTATTAGAATAATTGATTTGCTTACAAATGATCAAAATTTCAAAATGAAAAAAAATGTTTCTCATATATGGAATATTGTTTAAGAAGTTTTGAATTTTGATACATCATGGAAAAATATTGTGATAGGATTTTATAACAAAAATGAAATGAAATGACATAATCTTTGAATATCAAAATCCGTTATTGCTCGTAAATATTCAAACATAAAATGTATTGTAGATTAGAAAAAAAAACAAACAAACAAACAAGAAAAGTCTCAAGAAATATTTAATTATATAAAGAGTACATGTATATTAAATATTGTTTTCAGAAGTGTGTAAGAAAATTCAACATAAAATATATTCTAATGTTATAAAATGTATCTAAGACAAATTATAATTCATCAACCTATTTTAGAATAAGTGTGCTGTTCTACAATAATTCTCCAGATATTACATATTATTTGTACAATAATATATTTAGATAAAAATACGTTAACATTGTTTCAGCTCTTAAAAAATCAATTGTACTCCGATAGTATATTTAAAACAAATTGGTCTAATTAATTGCATTGCATGTTTTACGTACGGAAGAAATCTAAATAACTGTAAATAGCTTGTGTCTGTTAGTGATTCTCTCTACAGGAATCTAGTTGTTGTTAAAATGTCCTTATTCTCCACAGGCTGCAGTTTTTGGCATATTGACAATTAAAAATAATTCCCATGTTACTCAGAAAGAGAGATACATTTACTACATGGTCCACACCTAAAAAAACCAAAGATTTCTAACAATACCAAATCAGTTGATAGGCATCAAGTTGAGCCTCGTTCACCAATGCTGCTGCCCAAGCGGTTGTAATCAACAATAATGATTTAATGGCTATTATGGCTGCACTTGTGTTTGAAAATGCAGACAGAACAGACCCGGGGACTTAGGAATAACAATGTTTTACATATTTTAATAAGTTAGATTTTACTGAGCATTATGTATATGCATCAATAAATTCAACACTTGTTTTAATTAAAGGGCTTAAAATATAACAATGATATAAACTTTCATACTGTTTGGGCAAATTGTACTACTCTAATGCACTAGTGATATCTATGATATTCAGTGGGACCAAAGAGATAACTTCTCTTAGGATTATATCTAGTATAAATTGGTAAACTATTTAGGAAACCCCATGATTTGCTGAATAGATTTGCAAGTAAATTGGTGTATTAGCACACTTAAACTAAGTTAAAATGAGAAAATGGATCATTTGTTTTTCCATCGATTACATAACAAGTCTTTTAAATCGTATCAAAGAACAATTTTCTCTTCAAGTATTTTTGTACACTTATAGATGTGATTATGAAATTATGCTTTTTGATAATGTTACAAGAGTTTTTCATTACGTAATATGACAGTTTAAATTTTTTTAGAATTTTAATGAAAATCATTTGGTAAATTGCTTTCTAGAATTCTTGGACACACTACATGTATGACTTTTAAAATTTACCTTAGTCAGGGGATTATCAATATTAAAAATTCAATGTTCTTTTAAACAATATTGGCAATAATTCCTGTTTTCTTGTAGTTTGAAAATAAGTTCACCAAACAGAGTGAGAGACTTGAATATGTGTAACCTTCTAGCTTTTAAAGATAGTATGTCAATCTCTACCACCAAAGAAATGGAAAAAAGAGTATAGGTAATGTTAAGGTCGTACATTACATATATTTCAAGCTGAATGGGGCATCCACTTGAACTCTGCAGTCTTTCTCTAAAGGGTTAACTTTTAGGTTTGCCGAATAGAGGCAATTCCATAGACAAGTTAAGAGAAAATACAATGTATTAGGTTTTGTATTTTTGTCAAAATTTACACAATCCTTCCTTTATAATTTTCGTTATAACTGCGTGATAAGTGATTTACACCCTATTAGATAATCCTAAGGAAATATAGGCATGTTTTCTTTTCAGAAATGCAACAATCCACTATCATTTCCTTATCGTTATGAATAATTACCTCTATAGTTTGCGTGTTTTAATGACAGCGTCTATGGTGCAGAAGTCATATTTGATGAATTTGATGTCTGGTTAATAAATGTTTGTTTGAGGTAAAATCATGTCCAAGTACTTTGGTGAACTTCATACTAGTCCATTCGATTTGATTCGGCGATACCTCAATTCATGATCCTCGTAATAGGTTTATCAGGCTTATAGACAACTCCCTCTTCAGTGAAAAATGGAAATCCGACATTTTCATATCTTGTGATTTGTCGTCTACAAACTTTCTGTTTCTACTAGTTCTCTCTGAAGTTAATATTGAAAAGATAATTGACTTCCTCAATGACAATATCTATGATTTCTTTGGAGACCAGTGGTACTACAGTGTAATTGTGCTCCCTTATTAGCAGTTCTATTTTTGCATGTACTCCCACGAAGCATAATTCATTTAAAATGATCTACATGAAAAGAAGAAATCTCTTGTTGTGACCTTCAATGGGACATTTAGATATATGGACGACGTTTTTTTTTTTAACTCAACAATTGTTATTTTCATTTACGTGTTGATTTAATATATCCTGTTGAACTCAAAATAAAAGACACTACAATTTGAAACATCTGTTTCATATTTCGAGTTTTACTGGAGAAAGCCATAAATAGCAAACTAACGAATAAGATATGATAAATGTGTTAACTTCAAGTTGTCTTTTGCCAACTTCTCTTATTTATATAGCAACATTCCTTTATCACCTGCATATGGTATTAGTTCTCGAGTTGATGAGATACCCAAAGGATGTTCTGCATACAAACAATTTTCAAATCAAGAAGACCAATGAAAAATAAGCTGGTGTTACAAGGGTATCAACAATTTCGTTTTATGTCAACATTTCACAAATTCTATTCCCGATATAATGACCTTGTATGCGAATACTACCTTTTGTTAGGTCGAGTGTTGAATGACGTATTTAATACATATTGTTAGGGGATTTTTTCCATAGTAAATTGTCCAAGAATTACTCCCGTTTCCCGCATGAAGTCAAACGGCTCATGCAGAATGTGATTGATTGACAGGAGATGCTTTCTTTTTCAAGGCACCTGATCTCACCTATGATGTTTTCAGACGTCCATGTTTCTCTGGTCTTAATTTGTTTTGCTTAATTGAACTTCTAGCTACCCCATGTTTGGGCCGTGCCAAAAAATATGTCAAAGAACGTACATATGCCGAGAAAATGTAAATGAAATTTTGAAGGTTCAAAATTATGTATTTCGACTATAAAGAAGACAATATGCATATAAAAAGAAAACAGAAATATTGTCATCCCCTGGTGAAAACTTAGATTTGTGAAAAGGATATCTCAGTGGCATATTTGAATCCTCATCCGACATTTATCAAATTTTAAATGTATTGCTTTTTCTTCAGATGAAATGATTTTTAAAGACATTTACCGATACATTCCAATGTAAATGTTGACGTTACGTTGTAACAAGTATATTAATTGCGAGAGCATAATTTTAAGAAGTTTTAATTTTAGTAAGAAGTTTAAGTTTGATTCAGTGGTTCTGGTGTAAAGAAATGTTCTGATGACACCACCCTTATATTACCAATTTAAACTTGACATTTTTCTAAACAAATCCGAATTTTCTATGCAAAGATTTTTGTCTCATATTTTATGGTGAAAACGTAATAGATAGAAAATAATGTGCTTTATAAATAAAGTTAAATTTCATTACAATGTGTATCGGTAACGATCCTCTAATAAAACTAATATTCAAATAACTGTATCTCACTTTCATTCTCAATGGCCCTGTAGTGTAGGGCGCCGCCGCGAGAATTCCATCGGCATCTTCTTCATTTAGGGCAGTTTTGTAAATTTGTAGATTTGTTGTAAAATTGTAAAATGTGCTTTATATATATATATATATATATATATATATATATATATATATATATATATATATATATATATATATATATATATATATATATATATATATTCTGTCAAATGTGATAATATCAATAAACGATGTTACTTTAAAGGAGAATATCATAAATAGTACTGCTGTAATATTTCCTAACTTGGGTATACCTTGTATAAATACGGGGATCAGTGAATAAGGGTGACTATGTAAACATCAAATGCATGCATCCAATGAAGAACACGATAAAGAGAAAGGAGAATTGCATAGTAAAATGATCATATTTTATAGGAAAGACGCAAATATTAAACGTGACAAGAAATGAAAGTATAAGAGGAAGTATTGATAAAGCGAGTGTAGTATAGCTTGCTGTACATGTATATCTAACTACAAAAGTGAAAATGTCAAATGAGACGGAGGATAAATCCAAACATAATAATGGAAATGACATTGGTAACAAAGACGTAACTATACACTCTGAAATTGGTAAGTCTTTCTATATTTATATATCCTAAATTTATAAAATCAAGATTTTAAATTTCAATTTAAAAAATTTGAATGAAATGCTTCGCGGTTTTACAATGTAAAATTGTACAATTTTGTATAATTTGATAACTTATTACCCATAGCAGTGCTAAATCAAATTAGAAAAAGTAAACATTTAACATAAATTTACAACAATGCTGTGTAAATGTTCCTGTTTTCATAATGCTATACACATCTGTAACCTTTTCAGGTGCCGGGTTGATAACAACTATATGTTTGATTGTACTGGTGATGGTTAACCTCGTCTTCACTTTCTTCTTCTACAGGGCATGGAAGAAAAGGTATATATTTCTCATTACTTGAAAATGACTAATTACATAACGAAAATGAATCATATTGGACCAAAACGTATGATCATAAGTATGATTCATATTTCCTTGGCTCTGGATTCTCAGTTTTTTTTTAAAGTTGTACACTATGAAATGAAAGAAACTTTGAGCTATTAAACAATAATATCCGAGCAGAGGGCCAGTCTTAAAAATGCATGTCTTGATATTTTAGCGCCGTGATTTCGATTTAGCGTATGAATTGAAATATTTTTACGCATGGGTCTGACAGTTTTTCTATTTAAATTTTGGTATTTATTTATTTTTAATATTTGAATTTATTTTCAATTTTGATTTATGTTCCGTTGTTTCTATTACTATTTTTTAGTTTTTGTCCGTCGGTCGTAAACTGTAGAACATTTTTAGATTCTTCTCGTGAATCATCACTGAACCAAATTCAACCAATTTTGGCATATGGCATCAATGGGTGAAGGGGTAAAAAATTCTGAATTTCATAGTTCCTGCACCAAGGGTCCTGAGGGGTTGGCCTAAAACCACCAAAATTAGTGCTATCTTAAAGAATCTTCTTCTTTACTCTTTTTTACACGCAAAACGCTCATGGATTTAGTCATGTATACCCCGGTAATGAATGATAAAAATTAAAATCAATGTATCGTAACTTTTTTTAAAAATTAAAATCAATGTATCTTAACTTTTTTTTTAAAAATTAAAATCAATGTATCTTAACTTTTTGTCCAATAGATAAACATGTAAAATAATTATGGTAAGCCAAAATTTAAACATGTTTCTTTTTACACAGACAGGAAGTGCGTCGAAGACAAAGTATGGTTGAAATGAATACCTTAAATCCTTACAATGCACTTGATCGCATGCCTGGACATGTATACTCCGACGTCCTGGATTCACGTTCAAACTGTCAGTCTGGTAGATACGCAACAATCAAATCGGTAGATAAAGTAAAGGAAACGGAAATTTCTGAAGAAAATGTGCCACCGCTCAGAGCCATTAATAGAGACAAATTGAAAACTCTAACGACACTATTTTCATTGCACTCTAATGATGTTAATCGTACAGTTTCAAGATTGAAAGCTGTTAATACAGGTATTCAATGATTTTCAATGGTCGTTGTAATACTTTATATGTATGACTATGCGTATCCTAAATGTAAGGAATTAAAACTGGTGACATTTGTTGACTATATACATGTATACTGTTTTCTGCGGACAATAATTTGATTTTGGGAATAATGGTGATGTTGTTTTTGTGCACGACTCTATCACCAAATGTAAAATGTGTTATCCTTCTCTCTGTCTCTTTATCTGTATTGAAGTATTTTTCACTCATTCTGCGGAAGGTTTTGCAAAGAACCAAGGGAAATTGTTAAAGGTTCCAGGTGATACTAGGCTTGCATGGCTTACTTTTAAAATGAACCGGATTACTTCTGAGGGTGTGAATGCAACGAGTGCTGTCATTACACATACTTTAAGCTCACTTGAGCTGAAGGTTCAAGTGAGCTTTTCTGATCAGAATTTGTTCGTTGTCTCTTGTCTTTTTTGTCTTCGCAAACTTTTCACATTTTCATCTCCTCAAGAACAACTGGGCTAATTTCAATCAAACTTGGCACAGGGTATCCTTGGGATTAGGGAATTCAAGTTTGTTCAAATGAATGGCCGTGCCCTCTTCCAAAATCCTATTAAAGTTCTAAAATCTTCTTAAAAACAACTGGGCCAGAAAAGATGAGACTTTCGAAAGCTTTCTGACATAGCATGGCGTTGATTCAAGTTTGTTCTTATCATGGCCCACGGGGTAGGGTGGACCTACTATGGCTGATCAAAGTTTTACCTGGGAATATATAAAAACATATTTAAAAATCTTCTTCTCAAGAACAGCAATCCGATGATGAGTCATATTCAAATGGAAACATCCTCGGCTGGTGTAGATTCAAATTTTTCAAATAATGACCCTTGGGGTAGGGATGGACCACACTGGGCAATCAAAGTTTTAAATAGTGAATATATAGGGGAAAAAACCTTAAAAATCTTTTCAAGAACAGGAAACCAATTATTAATCATATTGATATGGAAGCATCTTCAGGCATTTTAGATTCAAGTTTCTTGAAATCATGACCCTTGGGGTTGGGGGTAGGGTGGGGCCACAATGGGCAGTCAAAGTTTTACATGTGAATATGTATAAGAAAAAAATCTTAATTTTTTTTTTTAAAGAACAGCAAAGCTATGATTAGTCATATTAATGTGGAAGCATCCTCAGGCATTGTAGATCCAAGTTTGTTCAAATCACGACCTCTGGGGATAGGGTGGGCGGCATTGGGCAATTAAAATTTTAACAAAGGAATATATACATGTAGGAAAAATCATCCTCTCAAAAACAGCAAAGGCATATGTTTAGACATATCGATGTGGAAGCATGGTCTGGAAGTGTAGATTCAAATTTGATCAGATAATGATTCACGGGGGTAGGGGAGCAAATGGCCAATCAAAGTTTTACATGTGAATATATAGGGAACAATTTTTTTAAAAATCGTTTTTCTCAAGAATAGCAAAGCTATGATTAGTCATATTAATTTGGAAGCATCCCCAGGCATTGTAGTTCAAGTTTGTTCTTCAAATCATGACCCGCTAGGGTAAGGCTGAGCTATAATATGTGATATAAGTTTTACGTAAGAATATATAGGGAAAATAATCTGTTAATGAAGAACGGAAAGGCCAAAGTTACTTAGGTGAGCATTGTTAAAAAAAAAAAGATCAGAAAGTTCTTACAACTTAGAAAAATAGCAAGATTCATGAAACATGTTTGCATAATTTAATCATTGAATATTATAAAAAGGCAACCACTGCTGTTTTTCGGTCGATACGATAATAAAGCAACTCTCTTAATACAATATCTTGCCCTTCGGCCTCAGTAAATGGGTAGTTAAATCAGGGCATTGACCTCAACGTGCAATAACTGTATCTAATGAAACATGAATGTCCAAAGTGTAGCCTAGTTGATATGGAGAAGTTTGACCTTGATCTTGCTTATAGAACATTACGCAGTCTTTAAGCATGAACTTCTGTGTCAAGTATGGGCTGGTAAATTTTTTTTGGTATGGACCAAACAATTCTACTCGCCCTAAAAACATGCCCTAGCTTTGTCTTGGAATGACATTTGATCTGTGTCACACAAAACCCTCTAAGCTTTACTTAAATTGTGTTAAAAACTTTAAACTTTTAATCCCCATGATTTTTCTAGGGTCGAGGATGCAGGCGTAATTCATAATTAACATGTTTATGATAACTTTACGCTAAGTAAAGAGTCTTCATGTATGACCAAGTAAGTGTCAGTTTTACTAAAATAATTCATTTGTGATCAAACGAGGAAATTTATGTCTTCCTTATGATATTTAGTTTTTAGTGCCAAATAATAAATAGAAAAAAAAAGGAATTGTTAACAAACAAATATTGAAAGGAAAAAAAACCTGTCATGCTCATCTAAATTAATAGTACATGTAATCAGAAACGAATAATCTGTAGTGTTAAAATGATTTTTTTTTAACTGCTAAAAAGAACATTCATTTAAGTAGTCTATGATCTACTGAATCTGATTTGATGATAACATGTACATTTAAAAAATCAATGTAAGGTTGCAACATGTCTAATAACTTGTCTTTTTTTCTTTGTCTATACGTGGAAGAAAGGTTGCAATCATTGCAGAAAAAAATACTATTGTATCTGTTTTTCTGCAAAGTTACTATTGTGTATAGCCGATTTGGCAAAGAAGGGGTATTATTGTTCGAATAAAATCAATATGAAAATAAGTACGTCTACAAGAAATGAGTTTTCTCAACAATTTTTTCCAATAATTGTCAAAATATCACAGGATACACGGGCTTGTTGAAAACAAGTATAATATATATCGAATACTTATATCGAAAGGGCTTCAATTGCCACACGATATTTAATGTCCTGACTATTTGTTCACACCATGTCTAGTTTCGTTTACGACGAATTACGTGCACTGATTGTTCCAATTCCTTATGATTCCTTTTACTCTGTATAGGATATTCTTATCTATAAAATAATTAAAAGCCAGTTATATGAACTTTTAAGGTACGAAGTGATGTCGATACTTTTAATCAAATACTTTTTGGGGGTTTTAAGATAAACAACTAATTGAGAATCTCTCCTAAAATGACGTAATTGCACATTTTTGATTCGCAATTTATAGCAGAATTCTAGGTGAATTTATGTAACCTTCTTATCAAGTTCATTGTATTAGACCTCATTATATATATTATGGTAGCATATTTTTGCCCCCTATATGCAAGTTATTTTTCTACGAATTATGTTAACATGCAAGATGTCAACATGCAACATGTTTATGATGACGTACCATATAAATATATTAACTTGCATCTAACATTGTAAAACACACACACAGTTGCATTACAAAGGGCAAAGTGTAGGCAATTGTGTCATCTTATTTGCAACGTGAAATGTGAAGATAACGAACAGTTATCATGCTCAAAGTCCAATCACACATTTAAACAATACAAATTGTGAGCTAGCAAACACAGACCTCTAAAAACAGAGGTTGATCAGAAGTGAGCATCACATGTCGGCAGGTCATATCCGCCATGTGCTCTTTGTCATGATCGGGTAAACGAAAAAAAAATCCCTTGACAATTCAGTGTGTAAATAATGGCCAAACATTTTATGTGAAGGCGTCAGTCGACATTCGACTGAACGATAGATTGTATTTTCAAACAAGTTCATTGTATCGACCACAGAATTTGCAAAATATTGACTTTAAACGAGATTATTGATATCTTTGTATTATCAAATTATTTGTTAGTAGCCTGCCTTGTTTAAGAAATTGTTCGTACGTAGAGTATCGAATCAACAGGGAGGCATAAACCCCATATGCAGCAAAATAATGGTATATTGCAACATAAATAAGGGAAGTTGAGGATAGAAAAGTTGAAGTCTTCACGTTTATCATAAAGTTTAGTTGTTAGTTTGCCATCAATGTCTTTTGCTAGTAAAACATTCAAATATGAAACAGATTTGTCAGACTCTGTGCTTTTATTTCAATATCATTAAGACATGCATATCGAATCAACTTAGGAATGAAAATGAATATTGTTAATTGGTAAAACGTCGTCGATATATTTATTTATGGAATTGGAGACCCACTGCAAGGGACTTCTTCCTTTTAAAAATAAATTCTCTTTCATAAGAATTTGAAAAACAATGTCTACTAATATCGGAGCACAATTAGTATTCATGTGAATTCCAACGGATTTTTGGAAGACCTTGTCTTCAAAGATTACATAGAATTGTCATTGAGAATCTTAAACATCTTTTTAATGTCAACTTTGGAGCACTTATGTGTAGAATAAGAATGTTTTTTAGCAATTTGTCTGCAGATGACCAATGACAAGGTACGTAAACTTACGTGTACCATTTTTGGGAGTTGAACTATGTTCAATCTCCCTTGGTCATCACGGGCTTTCTAAGCGCAGTAATTTGTATTGATTATATAGTGGCCGTCCGTGGGGCTTCTGTGTCGACCAATTTACTCCTGTGATATTCAATGTAAACTTGCATAAACGTCCGCCATAAAATAGTCCATTTCAATTTTCTGAATTTATCTAATTTTGATAAATAATATGAAACTAAATCAATTGAATTTCATTTAACTTAATTTGAATACTATATTTTGATTAAATTAAAATTGATTTATACAGAACTAAAAAAATGTTGAAAATTGTCGTCACGAACCTCCTTTGCAGCACATACAGCAGCATCTATAAACAATGAGAGGGAAATTAACGACAACTCTGTACAAGCGACTATATGACTGCGCGAAACCTCTTTGCATTGACTGACACGTGGTAAAAATTATTTCACAATCAATGTAATAACTTTTTTTAGCCATAAATATTCGAAGTTTTCAACAATATTTATTTGGTAATACAATAAACATCAAAAGAATAAAAAAAATTACATTGATTTGGATATAAATGAACAATTGTTCGTTTAATATTGAATCCTAACACGTTTAACATCGAAGAGGAAGAAAATCGAAGAGAAGGTGATTAACGTACACAGAAAGGTGAAACTTTAAGATAAATTACTAGATTAAGCTTTTTGAGTTTTCAAGTTGTTTTCATGTGGCATAAAATTTATA